TCGGCCGCCTGCATCGCCCGTGTGTCGGACGAGACGGATCCACTGCCATGCTTCATTGACAACCGGGAAAGGAGCTGCGCCGTGTTGGGAGCATCCTTTCTGCTTTCAAGACGATTAAAGCAGATTGCACTTTGTCCCGCCAGAAAGACCGCGTATCTGGCCTCATCGCCAACTCTCCATCGACGGCGATGACTCGTTTCCAACAACGCCCCCGGCGATCTTTGCTGAAAAGATAGATAGTGTCCAGAGACAGTGGTGCATCACGAAGTCAAGAGCGGTGTAAGTCCACGGACTACCGGTGAACCAGTCTCCCGGTCTCTCTTCGTAATTGCTGGATAGTATGGCATTTCAGACAGTCGATGGGCGGCTCACACCGTCAACTACGTGCCAAGCCACCGATTGCATTGGGACGGGAAACTCAGCGCAACACTTCTATCTTGCCTCTCTCAACCGCCGATATTTAGTGTCTTTGAATGAAGCAACTAGCAAGCAAACAACATTGCGAACCGGGAATAACCACATGGCCTTAGTTAGGGTCGGGAATTCCCATGTCGCGTGGCAGTGTCCAGGTTCATGCTATGCCATGCCCCTAATCTACATTCTAAGCCAACCAGTCTCAAGAATGGCCACCAACCGGCCGATGATAGTCAGGGGTCTTACTGAGGATGGCTTGGGCCGCGTTGCTTGGCCATGTTGTGCTTCACCAAAACCACGTGTGAGAAACGTGGGCAGAGAGTAGTGAGGGGATATAATTGGTGTAAGGAACTTGAATGGTCGAGATTGTACTCGAAGTGTTTGCAAAGTTGAGCCTAATACTTTGACAGATATCACACTTGCTATTCTCGGATCCTGGCCGTTACTCTTCACTCCTAAAGATTAGATGGACGGGAAGATATCAGAATGTTTTTGCCCAGATTTGTGAGTTAAAGCGCTAATACTTGCAGGTTCATCGTATCTGGCCAACTGATCTCCTCCACGTCTCTTCCCACTCCCATCTCTCATCTGGTCAAGGAATGCTCTGAGCTGATGACCTCTAAAATCTAAACCCAGAATCATTGAAGCAATCAATAAGCATGCTATCAATTTCTGTGACGTACGCTAAAAGATGTGGCAGTGGCCTCAGTTTCTCAATCACCCTTGAAGCTATCTCCCTTTAAATCAGTATATTCGTCCAGTGCGGATGATCACCAGAAGCGTGACCAGAAACTCGGATGGTACAACCGTTGCTATCACGCCTATCTCTCTCCCCGAAGAGACACTTGAATGAATCATGCACAAGACTCACTACAGTACGTAGGCTACACCTCACTGCAATCCAACTAATGAGGAAGACAGACGCGGATGGCCCACGACATCTGCGATTGACAGTTCAGGTATGTATGTATCAACCACAACCAACCGATAGTTGACGGACGGACGGACGGTGTCTTCATGAACAGTCAGTCAGACAGTACCCGCCTGGGTACCTTATACCACCGTAGGTAAATCACCCCAGCCTCCTCATGTCACAGTAAACGGCATGGACAAACCATGCAGTACCACCAGCATCATTTATACATGCAGGTGATGTGATGTGATGTGGTGTACGCACAAACCGTAAGGTAGGGAATCACCAACAAGGAGACGAGTCAATCCATCAATCAATCAATCAATCAATCTGCTAGCGGAGCCGAGATCTCTTCCTTCTCCACGTGGCATCCATGATCTTTTTCTTTTTTTTTTTCGACGTACATTTCGAACGCCACCATCAGGTACTAACCAACCGGCCTGTTCATACCGACATCCCCCCATCCCATCCCATCCCATCCTTTTGCTTCCACAAGAAATAGTGTACCTCTATATAGTAGGTCTTTGCTTTCTGCCTGTGTCTACACTATTCTCAGACCGTACCGTGACAGCCTGAGGCACTAGGTAGATAGCTAGCATGACATCGCCAGGCGCCAGGGGCTGGCTTTACAAAGACCACATGAACATCATACGACTGGCAAGCAACCAACCGCTACCGAACGACACGGCTGCCGCCCGCTGCAGGGGGCTGGGCTGGGGACGATGGTCGGCAACCAAATAGGTAAGGTACGTGAGACCCACTTTTCCTAATCACGTGAGAGTCTGGGAAAAGTGGTCATAGTCATTGGGATCTGGGAACTCCCCTCTCCCCTCTTTTCTCCTCTTTTCTAGTTAGGCCAAATCAAGCATTCGGGTTTCCAGTGTTTCATACGGTAGTCAATGAATCTGTGTATATAGCCATTCGTTTGGTGTAACATGATCGTTGATTGATGCTAGTAGGGTATGTTCTACATGGATGGAGGTATGAACCGGAGCCGAACAACCTATGAACGGAACAAAACAAAACAGAAGGAAGCGAAGAGAACATTCATTGTTCGTGTACCTACTAGCGGGAAAGTCATAGTCGTAGCCGTAGGCTCCAGTTTATTCCTTCTTCTTCTTCTCAATCTGGGCAGGTACTAGGTACATAGGTACCCACCTGCCGTCAGCGATCCAGATTTACATCTTACGAAAAGGAAGGAGGCACCCAGTCTCTGATCTCGGAGTACACACATTGGAAGGTACTCCTGAACAGGGCAGGATCTTCGGTGAAAGGGGCAGATCTCATCTCTCTGTCTCTTGTGACTCGCGTGACTCCGTCGTGAGACGACGATGACTACCTATAGGGACGGGTATCTGCATAGCTGGGATGCGAGTTCGAAATGGACGAGATATGAACCATATCCAGTGATTCAGCTGGGAGTACTAGGTACTATCCCAAATTATTTGAGGCTTGGGTGGGACCTCGCTGGGTGGGTAACGTCTGATTGTCTCCTTTCGGTTACGGTGAGGAAGGAACGTTTTGGATTGCGGTGAGGAAGGCTGGAACATTCGGTGAGGAAGGCTGGAACATTCGGTGAGGATGAAGGTTGAGACAATTCAGAGGCGGTAAGCATCCTTTGACACGGTTTGAACAGGTGTCAGAACATACCTAGAGGGTGTGGAAGATGTGTTTGTGCTTATCGAACAATGCATCATTCAAGAGGATATTGTAATGTCGACCGTTATGGAAACCCCAATACCAGTTTTGGTTCAAGCCAGTGAGCTGGGTCTTATGTGCATATGTCGAGAATGCAATTGTGCTTCCAGGCGTTAGTTATTTTTTTGACCTAGATGACCACCACGGTGAGCCACCTAAAAGAGATACATACCTCTCGCCACATTGGGTGTGGAACATAGAATTCTACCTAGGTTGCGGTGACTTTGAAACTCTTCCTGATATTTCAGCAGATCTAGAAACCCAAAGAAAGTTTGAGTAGCTGAGAAGGTAATGGAATAGCTCGTGAGTTCACTACTATGGACTCACCTAGACCAAACAAGCCCTTCAGAAACCCGCTTCTTTCCTGCCTGTTCCAAAGCCGTGAATCAAAGCCACATGTTTTCGAGTAGTACCACGCTGGTGTCGTACTTGAGCACGCACACACTTATGTAGCCTGACTCGGCCATGACACGAGCCAGTGAGACGAGACAAGACAAGACAAGACAGCTCGATGTTGTTGAAGGTATGATGAGACAGACAGGCAGTGTGAGAGACAACCGATGATGCGCAATTGAACCAATAGGCCATTACAACAAGAAGGACAAAGGGAGGCACACCATCGTACAGCGTACAGCGTACGAGAAATTTCCCACGCGACACATGAGACTCGACAAGACCGCTTTCGTTGTTGACTGTCTGACGGATTGCACTGGACGACTGGGTGCTAACTGAAGCGAACGGATGGAACATTGACTGAACTGAATACAACGGTGATGAAAGAAAGGAGGAGTGTTTGAGTCAGGCGGGCAGGCAACTGCTGATACTTAGACAGAACAATCACACTTGTGCGGCTGCCGGAATGGACAAAAAGAAGAAGAAAAAAAAGGACGAGTGAACGTATGGAAGGGATTGTACCCGATTATTGAAGGATTATACTATACTTGGCGGTATGTGATACCCATCTCTCATACTGCATTTCACTCGTCTCGCCGTATATGTAGATAGGTGGTTGGGCGTGACTCACCACCATGCTGAGTGGCCATAGTTGATCTGGCTTCAGGTGACACTGCCACATTACACTTCCAAAGAGTTCGATGTCCGAAGTCTTATTCAGCAGATAAGATGTTTGTTTTGATACAATTCAAGGCATCTCGCGCAGTGGTTTACCAATCGTGATTGATGGCTTGACCACTTGAATTTATGAATGTATGTTGTAGAATCACTGATGCCCAGTCTCTTCAATGGAGTTGACAGGCTTGGAAAAGAAATCCGATAGAAGGCGTTTTTGGTGGCAGGGGAACAAAAGTGCGTGAACTAATGGAAAGGGTGGAAGGATATAGCAAGGAACCATGAGCACAATGTCATTGCGCGTGGATGGGACGGTGAGGTGAAATAGCATACCTAGAAGACGAATGTGAATGAGAAACAAGAATCACCGCTGCTATGGATGTCTGCATATATGCGGTAACATGACAACAGCAGACGTGACTTTCAAGTTCTGCCAAAAAGAAGTGATGTGCTGGCTCCGCCCTTTCTGATGGCGTTTGGTATTGTTTTGGTTACTCGTCCAAACGCGTGTCTGCATATGTAAGAAGATTAGAGCTTCAAAAAGTCAACAAGAGCTAGCAAAAAGGTGTCTTTTAATCGAATTTTCCTAACTGTAACTCCGCGTAGGCCTGCCGGTTTCCTTTGTTCTCCAGAGACAAAAAAACATATTGAAACCCTCTCGAAAACGCCACTTGAACGCCTAAATTATGTCCTATCAATCTGATAAAACAAACGACAGGAAGACCATATACAACGCGGCACACGCTTTATCTATGAAATGGGAGAGGCAGAAAATATCGGGAGGGAAGAGGCCATGCGGAGGGGCAACGTATCCGTAACATACCGCGATGTTTTGAGGGGCCCAATTGCAGAATACCTTCTCCGCTCCTCTCCTCCACGCCCGAAGAAATATTACGACTGACTGTATTCAAATAGACGTCGGGGCAGCATCCTTTCGCCAGCCCTTAGAACGCATGTTCCCCTCAATAGCCTTCCAGATACTCTCCACCACCTCCCTGTCGCGCCACCGGTTTTCTGCGCCCGCCGCCGCCGGATCGCGCACCTTGTCAACGGAGGTAGCCAGAACCCGATGACCGAACGACCGCACACTCTCAGGTGGCTGCTCGCCTCGCCAGCCGACATAGATACCCAAAACATGGCGGAAGAGGTCTGTTGGTTGGCTCCAACGGTAGTTCTTGAACTGCCACGCCTGGCCGGTTGTGAAGACGGCCACCACGCGGTTCCAGTATTCGGGCTTGAACTGCTCCGGGCCTTCGACGAGGATGAAGCGCATGGGGCGGTTGGGATCGATGTCTTTCATCATGCGCGACACGTGCAGCACCGAAATGGAGGCGTTGTGATCTGGCAACGTGTATTTGCCGTTCTCGAGGAAGTCTCTGATGTTGGACATGCGGAGAAGCGAAGAGGCGGAGGGCGAAAGGAGGATGATGGGGTCAGGTCGTCGCGCTGGCTTCTGGTTGATGGCAAGAGCAGGGTTGTTCGTGATCGCTGTAGGGCCGGGCTTCTTAGACATGAAGGCTTGCGCGAGCTTGCGAACGTGGGAGAAGTCCTGGTTGAAAAAGTCCGAGTTAGTTGTACTGCGACTGCGAATCACTGGCCACTTCGACCGAGAGCTTCAAGTACTCACCGTGGGCTTAATTCCCCTGAGCACACTGTTCCTGTCCCCCATGCGCCGTTCGCCGTTGTAAATCTGGGCGAGCCTAGGGTCTAGCGTCCCACGACCAGATCTCGCAGAAACAGTAGGGGCAGCCTTGGAGGCGGCTGTCGTGCTAGCAGCGCCGGTCGCGGAAGCTCCATCCCTTTCACCTGCCAGCGGCTTGATGTATTCGCTCTCTTCACTTCCACCTTCCAGCCAGGCGATGAGCTCAAGACGCTCAACGAAGGCAAACTTGTGGACCGCGCCGGCACCACTCAATTCCTCGTTAAGCTTGGTCGCAGAAGCATTGTACTCGGGAATGGCGACTTCATGGTTCAGCCACGCAAAGTAGATACTGCGGAGATCGACGGGGCTGCCGTTGGAGACAAAGCGCGTCGGCGCATCGATGGGGATGACGACACGGGTTGGGTGGGTGAACAGAAGGTGAGTGGCCTGGGAGAGCGGCACTTCGGCGCTGCTGTCGGAAGAGGTATCGGCGGATGTCGTCGGGATGATGGCACTACTGGATGCGATTGACCCCCGCAGAAGCAATAGAGGATCGTGGTCGACTGACGCCATCTTGGGATTCGCGCTGGAACGCTTAGCTGCCGACTATGTAATTGTAGGCCGTGCGGGTGGATTGGTTGATGACCTCGAGGTAGGGATGACGCGCTTGACAAGATTCGCTAAGAGATGTACTCGGCGTTCAATTGGCGGTTGAAGTTGAGTGCCACAAAGAAGCGATGTAAAGAGTGCAGCTTGGTGAAGAATAGCTCGATGATGCCCAAAATAGTTTGACAATTGCAGGTCCGGGACGAACAAAGGTGATGGATTCACTTGACCGGTCGGTGGTCGGACCTGGACGCGGCGCGCTCCACTTTGACCTATCTTATCGGCACAACCTGGTCCAAGGTTGCAACAAAGGAAACCGTGAAACCTCAAAGAGCCAAGCATGGCAAGTGAAGGGCACACAGATAACCCTAACCCTTTCACTTGTTGACAGACTCAAGGGGCTGAATAGGGGTAATTGAAGCAACAAGTGATACAGGGTGAGACAGGTTCCAATTGCCTGTATTCTAGGCCTTCTCAAAACCTTGAGTTCATGCATTCTGAATGACTTCTTACGAAACGGATGAGGATTTATTAGATGACAATCTGATGCCGCATACCACGCGCGGTCATTTGCGGGTATGCCTCTGTCCCCTCCCTTCCTCTCTCCCTGCTTTCACTTCCTCTCTGCATCCATGCCCATTCTCGTTCGATGTTTCCAGTAACTCCCTCTCGCCCCTCATGGTCTTCCAGTCAATTCAGGGCTATTGCTGGCGGCTGGACTTGCTGATTCGCTCATTGTATCTCGAGTGTCGTAAGCATCATCGGACATACTGGCGCTTTTTCTCCGACCATGATACTGGTGTATGACAGTTAGCATCTCTTTCGCGGCTCAAACAGACTTATAACGGCGGGTTCTGGCAAGGCTATTTATAGAGAATTCAGCCAGATAAGCTTGTAGAGAAAAACAGACACTCACCACACAGACACCCTTTCCTTTGGACTTGTGTTTCGGGTTGGCCGGACACATTGGGCTATTTGGTAAATGTTCAGGGATATCAAACGTGAATTGTCCCTTCTTGCGCAGGCGCCCGCCTTCTCCATCACCACGGCTTCTTCCACTGGCCAAGCGTTCTGTCCGCTCTGCTCGTCTGGCTTCAGCCGATCTCGTTGGAGCGTCCCACCATTCTCTTCTCTTCTTATCGGCCGTCCCGGGGGTTGTTGGCAATGAGGGTGCCCCGGGCGTTGGTGGTAACGAGGATAACCCGGGCGTTGGTGGTAACCCGGATAAACCGGGCGTTGGTGGTAGTGAAAAATCACCTCTACGAGGGCCTCGATGTCCCCCTTGCTCCTCTTCAATTCTCTCATGCGGATGGCGCAACGGCGTGGGTGGCAACGACATAGGCATCGTGGTGCTTGTGAAGTTGGTTTCCTTGCTTGAAGCAGACGACTCGGTAGTATCTGCACCGATCGGTATTGAGACATTGAAGAAATAACCGCGCGGTCGTCCATCAGCCGTGTCCTCTTTCAGCGGGGGTGTGTGAATTCGTGTAGCCTCCTGTGGTCTCATCGTAAGCAAATGCCCGGGTTTGTGAGGTGCGTAGCCAACGGCTATATAGCAAACAAAGCACGCAATGCCTTATCAATATGGAAAGCGCATCTCAATGATGTTTGAAGTTACTTACTCCTCCTGGATATTGGCTGGTAGTCCTCAGAGGTGGTATAACTATATATGAGTCAGTTCTTACCCATAACAGCGAACAGGGTTGTGCCAGTGATCATACCTGAGAACGCGGTCCTTAGCCCTGATATAGATGAGTTGCTGCTTGCAGGGGTTGCCGATTCTGCCACCGCTGCTGTACCGCCGCTTGATGAGTGGAAGGATCTTCTTTCAGACCATGCGCGCCTCGGAAACCTGATATAACTCAGTCTAGAAGCCCTTCGACTTTCTTCCTTTTCCGGAGTCTGTTTCCTCTCCTGCTCATCACTATTCCACCTGGCGTGCACGATAGAGCTATCCTTCGATGAATCTGTCACAGGGTCGGAGCGCCGTTCACTTGCTGGTCCTGATCCAGAGTATTTCTTTGCTTTCTATCGCGTTCGATCAACGTCAGTATATATCTGATTGTACAATTGGCACTTGGAAACTTACGTCCTTTGTTTTCTGCAAGACAGACATTGCGCTGATTCCTCTCTTGGAGAGAAACCCAAAAGTCTCGCGGGACTCAGAAGGGGTATCTGGCCTGACTTCAGCAGGTGTTGATAGATCTAATGGCCTAGGAGTTTGGAGGCTATGTTTTGGTGCGAGCCACTCGCTTTCCACTATGCTGGTGCTGGTCAATAGCTGTACACCTGGGCTTTGTAAGGCAAGGATATGAGCCTCCTCGGTGCGAAAGGGGCTTAGTGGGGAGGTAGGCGTATTGATTAACACCGGTGGTTGTTGTTGTGGTTGGTTCGTTTTTGGTGAAACTGTAGGGGCGTCATTGTCCTGGCTTCCGCTTCCAGTCTTCCTAGACCGTCTTCTCCATTTCCAAACTTTGACCTCAGGGGTTCTGCCACTGGTTGCAGCGAAGTCAATCGGTCGAAACTCGCGCTCGGCCCAGTACCCCTCCGGATACCAAACCCATTCATATCCTTCCTTGGGTGGCCGAGGGGGGTCAAGACCGTACACTCCTCGAGGAGAATTGCCTTTGGAGTTTCGAACCAATGCGCCGCTGGTCGATGGCACCCTGCTCAACGACCCATCCAACACTGTGCTACCGAGGCTGGGTAAAGAGCTTCTCCTCCGTTCCCCGCCTTGTTCCCCGCCTTGATACCTAGGCGACGACGACGAGAAGCTCATTGTACGTGAATTGAACCGATTTGAGAGTGTGGTCACCCGAACGATGGATTCTGAAGGCTGGACAATGCTTCGCCGTGCTGCTAGATTGTTGTAATCGCTTTTCTCTGCGTAACGGGGGGAAATGCCCTGTCAAGGTTGAGGTGGTGTCGGGTCCATTAGGCAAAGCGCCAGGGTGCAGCGCCGAAAATCATGGTATTGTGGGAAAATGATAAGGGAAAGTTGTTGGCTCGGGGTGAAGAAAGCAGTCTAAGAATAGATAGGGAAACGAGAGGGGCGGAGTGCGTAGAATACTCGGGTTGACCGGATGTAAGGAAGAGAACAGTAGAGGCTCGTGTGAAAAAAGTGATACAGGATGATGCCGTCAGATACATGAGATATCGAAGTAGGCGAGAACTGCATAACCTTCGTTCTCTTTTCACTGTTCTTTCAATCCGGCAGTGCGGCAGGGGCAGAGGATCGTGACTGCCTTGGAATCGAAAAACAGGGGAAGGGACTCCAAACCAGCTTCATGCAAAAGAGAAGAAGTCAAGAGGCAGCTTCCTTCAAATAACTGAATATGCTGATTCTAAGGCACATATACAATGATGCCTCTTGCTAAAACGGGTATCTTTATTTAATAACTTTGCGCACTAAAGCAATACAGGTCGTCAACAACTATTTTGCTGGTCGGTCAGCACCACTCAGATACAAGGGGTACATGGTGACTGACTTGGCATAACCACTTCCTATTCAAGCGGCGTGATGAGTAGCCACTGTCTAGGCGTGACCTAGTATCATCAAAGGGGCCCATGTCTAAGGACTGCCCCAAGCCACCAAGGTCACTCAACAATACAACTCCCATCTCTATGCGCGTACCAGGCAAGAAATCAACCACATGTTCTCGTTGCCTGCCAAGGGTTCATCGTCTATAAGTCATCACCGGATCACCGATGTTGTTCAAGCGTCCAGCATCGTGTCATCGCCATCAAAACCGGGTTGCGCGACAGGGACACCACCTCCGCGACCTGCGAGAAGTTCTCGCCTGATCTCGGGCGAAATCTTGTCATGGCCGTGAGTTAGAAGAAGGTCCAGAAGAGCCTCTCGCTGGTCCTCAGTGACTACACAAGAAGCGCGGTTAGTACTAGAATACGATAGGGACGCATAGTGAAACAATGACGGTAAAAGAAGAAAACGCACTGTTCGTCTTGTATCTCTGAGCAAATGAGAGCATGCACTGATGGAAGATGACTGGCAAGGCGTTGGGTGCCATGTGCCCGCCGGTGGCAAAAGCGGGATACCGAAGGAAGTGGAAGACGAGGGCATCGAGCGCTTGGAAGGCTGTATTACAGAGTCAGAAAACGCCATCATTGACTCCTCGGGAATTGGACTTACGCAAGGCGTGACGCTTCTCAATGAGAGTCTTGAGGAGGAAATTTGTAGCGCTAACGCAGTCGAGGCGCTGAGAAGCCTGCGCAGAAGAGATTTCGCACAGGCCCTTGATGGCCATACCGGAATGGACGGCCGGAATGGTGACACGGGTCAAAACACCGGCTACGATCTGCGCCTCACGCAGCGAGCACGTTCCGGAAGCCGCCAAAGGAAACAAGAAGCCTGCCAACGGTTAGCTGGGTTGTCCCCTTTGTGCAAAATACCGAGTAAGCGTGAGCAGTAAAACAACATACCCTTGAAGAAACCACCAGGCTTGTAAAGGGCCTTTTTTAGGGAGTTGAAAAGATGGACATTGAGCTTCTTGGTCTCGTGGATGTCCTCGCGGACGCGTTCCAAGATCACCATCTCCATAAACCGTTGAAGAACAGCCTCCTTGGCGGCCGCAAATATCCTAGTGGCCGCGTAGCTAACAGTCGCAAATGTTAGCAGGGTTTCTCCAGGCCACCAAAAACATAAGAAGCAACCTACCAGGCATTGGGAGTCCAAGCCTCGGGTCGTGTAATGGGCAAGATATCCTCCCAGTGGGGAATCTGAGGAAGGACCTTGAAAGGCTTGGGAAGCGGCCCAGATTTGTAGCGAGAAAGGATCATGCCAATCCTGCGAAAAGGAGTCTGTCAGTAGTCTGCGAAGAGGGTAACAGAAACAACGGCCAGCCTACTTCTCAAACACCTCCACCACTTTAGGCGGGATCTCGTAATCCTCATCAATTGGGCCGGGCTCGTCACGGTAACCGCCTTGAGGACCACCGGCTTCCTTCTCTGCGATCTTGGCAAGAATGAGATCCGCCAAGTTCACGCTCTGTCCCTGCTCTTCTGCCCCTTCTGGCTTTCCATCCCATCCGTGTGTTAGGAGCGGGTCCTCGTTCATTGTGGGTGTGATAAACTGGTTGAATGTCTCGAGATCGGTGGCGTCGACTTCGATTTCCTCTACTTCCTCCTCCTCCTCCTCGCCCCAGGCCTCGTCGTTCTCGAACTTGTCGTCTTCGTCATCGTTGCGGTCGAATCTCGATGGGTCGAACTCGAACGCCGAAGGGGCAGATCCGGAGGCTGCGTTTTGTGTTGTGCGGAGGTTGTCCTCTTCCTCGATGAGGCTACGGCTCATAGCCAGAATGTTGCGCGAAGCCTTGGCGTCGACATACTTCTGCTCATCTTCATCGTTGTCGGCGCGAGTCTTCTTGCTCTTTTTGCCGGAGTTGTTCTTGAGGACGCCGGTCGAGACCAGGTCGGCCTCGAGGGGGTTGTGGCGCCTCTTCGACGTCGCCGCTGTTGTCTTGGGCATCTTGAATGGCGGTCTGGGTTGTGCAATCGGGGAAAGAGTTGATAATACGGAGCTCTCCCGGTGGTCCTCGTCTTGCAATGTCGAATCGGCTGCACAACTGGGGATATTTTTTTCGGCGACCCTTGGACAAATTGTTCCCGCCGTGGAGAAGTCTTGGCACTTGAAAGGCTTGCGCTACGCTTGTGGTTGGTCACATTGCTGCTGTGTGGGCACACTTTATTTTCTGATGCCAGGGCGGTGAAAATGATAAGCGGTACAGTAGCTGTTATCGCTTATCGTCCAGCTTGGACGCGCCGGTCGGGGCAGCGATAAACATTTTACTGCCCCGCATTTTCGTCACTGTGCCCCTCCTTCGGTTGCAATTGGAATTTTGTCATAAGAGCAAGTCGCGACATAGCCACGGTTACGAGCTCATAGCAAGTCAAATACAACAACACATCCAGCCACCACCGACAACATGCCGACCGAACTTGAAGAGGTAATTCTGCCAGAGCCAGTGCAGTGTCAATGTCAATGGACAGGCAACTAATCACTACAATCGCCTGAAGCTCGTGGGCTTCATTGCCTCGCCGAACGCCCAAATCCGCCTTCTCGCGACCGAGAACCTGGTGCCCTTCTCAGCGTCCCAGCCGGCCCTCTTCAAGACCGACGACCTCACTCCCATCAAGCATCTCAAGTTCTTGATCCGCGACCACCCGGTAGGCCCAAAAGATCTGTCTTGTTTGCGCCCGAGCAGCTTCAGCTAAGACGTCGGTACCATGTCCAGAAAATCGCCGAGCACGCCCTGACATGTTTGATCAACTTGACTGCCGAGAAGGATGTGCTTGAATACGTCGCGACCGATGACCGCTTTCTTGGAATCCTGCTCGAGCTTCTTGTCGTATGTGTATCCATTCCGAGCTCCTACGGTGCGCGCGCAGCAAGGACTAACCGCTGCGATCCCGTCCCTGTAGGACCCCGATGAAGTCAACGCCAATCTTATGGCTATGTTGCTGGCAAACTTGACCAAGTGGGATGGACTCAAAAGCCTGCTGGATCGAAAACAGCCCGCTCCCGAGAAGCTCGGGTCCGACGATAGGGTCATTAACCAACTGATGGACCTCTTCGTCAAGGGCGCCGACGGGACTTACAACAAGCACGCCGATTACGACTACCTCGCCTACGTCTTTGCCGACCTCTCGAAACATGACGAGATTCGGCACTACTTCGTCAACAGACAGGACTACGACGACGTCATTCCTATCAACAAGATCAAGGTCTTTACCGAACACAAGTCCGATATTAGGCGAAAGGGAGTGGCGAGCATTATCAAGAACGCTGCTTTTGACATTCCTTCGCACCCGGCGTTTTTGGATGAGGATGATGTCAATATCTTGCCCTACATCTTGCTTCCTATCATGGGCGGCGAAGTTTATCCCGAGGATGAGGCATTGGAAATGCTTACCGATCTCCAGCTATTGCCGCCAGACAAGCAGCGCGATCCCGACAGCAGCAACATTCTGACACACATCGAAACTCTTACTCTTCTGACCACTACGAGGGCTGGCCGCGATTTGATGAGGAGCATCAGCGTTTACCCCATTGTTCGGGAAACCCACCTGCGTGTTAATGATGAAGCCGTCCAGGATGCCTGCGAGCGACTAGTAAACGTGCTAATGAGAGACGAAGCTGATGGCGAAGAGATTGAAGGAGGAGCAGCAGCAGCAGCAGAAGAAGAGGACGACATCGTTGAGGTGTAAAATATCTTGGGAAGGAGCCAAACGGAGCCGGTTCGCTACATTAACGTCCACCCGAAATCGACGGCACGAGGACAATGGTATGCTCATACGCCATTCACTTACCGTTCGGAAGCACCTTGGGTTACATGATGCTGAAAGTCGTTACACCGCCACACAGCCTTACCAAGACACTAGTTGTCCCTTGGGTCGAACCAACCACGAACACATTGTCACCATTGCACCGTATTGTCATGCCTTCAACAGCGTCATCACTATATCAACCTTGGCAAAGGCTTGAGGGTCTTGGGTAGCTTCCTGTGCTTGTGTCGACGAAGACGCCCTTCTTTCCGATCTGTGTCATGATGTCACCCAAGCCCACCCACAACGCACCGGAAGAGTGCTTCTGCAGAGAACAGAAAGCTTGTGTAAAGGAGGGAAAGCTTGTGCGAAGGACGGGAAAGCTTGTTTTAGCCAATGGAGTGACACAAAAGCCCTGCGTGCTCACGATATGGTCCCGGAAGTTCGTTTGACACCGGCACGGCTCGCTGAATGATGTATGCCGCACAACATGCAAAGGCATGGTATGCACCGGGCACTTGGGTTGACAGATCAGCTTGGCATACGCAGGTTGAGCACCATAATCATCAAGAATATTTATATCGGTTTATACCACAACACCACACACGATCTCGGACTTTACGGTACTGCGAGTTGTTTTCGTAGGTCTATCAACTTCCAAAATGGGTTGATATCAACGAGAGGAAATCCGTGGTTGATATTCCCATCTCGTGGTCGAAATCAGCGCCGTGATTGGCCGAGCATTGCGGATTTGCCAGGAAATCATACGGTACGTGCTGAAAGCCCGAGGGCCTGATCGGCTCGCTGCGAACGTTCGCACTTTTTGGAAGAGGGTTTGGTTATGTAAAGCCAAGGCGCCAACCATCCTTCTTTTGGCTGGAAACCCGAGCCCTTTTTTGGTCAGTCGAAGAGGGTTTCGATATGCACAGAATCTACTTTATACTTTTCTAGAGTCGTAAGCTTGCATCCGATTAACTTCAAGGAGTTTAGTAACTATCCATCGTCCCCTAAAGGCGGTTTGGATGCCCCTATTCCCGTGCATTAGTCTACCCAAACCCTCTTGCGAACTTTATTGCAGTGTTCGCACGCGAGCCGATCAGGACCTGAAATTGAAGGGTCCTCTACCGTCAAAGTCACACACACGCGGCTCCCATGCTTGCTCGCACATGCATAAAGACAAGCTGGTGGCCAACCTTGAATCTCAAAGCGAGATGTCTTGACGAGTGATGCCCCAGTTCCAGCTGATGGACAAGCACAGGCTTTGAACGAGGATTTGGTGAAGACAAGACGAAAGGCATGTCGTTCATGTCGTCTGTTGTGTGCGAAGTCACGGATGAGTCCTTGCATGTGAACAAACGTGTTCGACGTCTCACAAATCAACAATGGTTGGAGTTGGTGGGTACCGAGTGCGTGGCTCGCGTGGGCACGTGGGTGGGTCAAACCAGTGTCGTTAAGGTTGTTCTCCCGCGACAGGGGTTCACGGAACCTTAAAAGGCCAATCGAACCAATGGTGGAAAGGCGAACCACGGCGTATCGTGCTCACACGTGTGGCCTCTTTCAATGCGATTCGCGGGGAAGAACCCTCTGAAGCGAGCGGCTCTTGTCTGGGGTTGCAGTGGCCCACGCAGGTGGATGTGCCAAGATGCCAAGTGAGGTTAGAGGCGAAGAGAATGCCCGGGGGTCTTGGACGGAGCATGACGGGCAACAGACCGGTCCAGACTTTGCGACCTGGGACTTTGTTGTCTGAGAACCACTCCACGAAGTTCCTCTCATCACTGGTTTATGATGTTCCTGGCGCTATGGGTCAAACAGGTGCTAGACTCCGCCCATTATGCAGCAAGATATTGACAAATTCGGGCACTCCCGATTTGCAGGTGGCCAGGCGTAAGAAACACGTTTTTGTTACCGACAGATCGGCGACCTTTTTCGCCCTTTTCCTCCTCTACGGCCGACGGTTGGTCCGGTTGGTGGAAGAGGACCCGGAGAAAGAGGAGCTGGACAACGGGATAAGCTTCTGAAAAGAGTTTTCTAGACCGGGCTCGAAATCGATCTTGTCCCGAAGCCGAGGAAGCTTGTTGTCAAGTTTCCAGACGTGGGAACCCCCACCCGTGAGCAACGGGCCAATCAGGTGTAATGCTGAGCCCACGAGCTTCATGCCTCCTTCAGACTGGATACCAAGCATCAGCAGCCAAGCACTTCTGCGATTGAGCATTTGCAGTCAACGGCGTGGCCTTCGGTATGTGATGCCCTTTCGCATACGGACCATCGCTCAGCTAGGTAGCTGTGAGAGGGCACTGGGCGCCCAGGCATCCAGACGCTTCCCGAGTGCAAAACTGCACCTTCACGCATGCCCAAACATATGCCAAGTGATCGAAGCTTTCAGAGCTTTGCCATAGTTACCTCCACTGTCTTGTCTTGGCCGAGTCTTGGTGCGTTGAGGTTGAACAGCTCGCTGGGTTTGGAAGCTACCCACGTGTCCGTAAAGATAGGTTCTCTGTCTCGGGTGGGAGGAAGATGCCAAGGGCATTATCGTGCTCTTCGCAGCGGAGAGTGAACAGGATGGGTTCGCTAGCTCGTAGAGGCAAAATATCGATCAACCATTGGTGTGGGAGTGGGTGCGTCAGACTATTGAGGATATCCCGCAGACAGGGTGATGTCTCGGAGATTGTCAGCCTTTCACGCCATCCGATGTGAATGCCTAATCCTGGGGACACTGTAGTCCTATTCCTCCTATACCTCTATAAGATAAATTCCCACGCATACCACCTCAATCCTTCCCTCCGATCTTTCTCGACAACATAATAACCAGGTTCTCGCACCATTCTACCTCCCTTGGTTCCCCTCGGACCAACAAGTCTCTTCACCAAGTCCGACTTCGTTGCCTTGAGCACCATCACGACAACAAGCCATGGGTGCCCCTCAGAAGACCGCCGGTGGCAACAACGCCTACCACAACTTCTACAATGACTTTCTTCACATCAAGGATCTTAAGGAAAGACGACGCCTCGCCCTCGCCGAAGTCGACAGAGCACCATTCGGATGGTACCACGTCCGAGCCATTGCCGTTGCCGGCGTCGGTTTCTTCACAGACTCTTACGACATCTTCACCGTCTCTCTTCTGACCCTCATGCTCGGCATTGTCTACTATCCAGGCGAAGGCAAGATGCCTACAACCTCCGACACAGCCATCAAGCTCGCAACATCGGCCGGCACGGTCATTGGGCAGGTTGGCTTCGGCGCCGCTGCTGATATCTTCGGTCGTAAGAACATGTACGGATTGGAATTGTTGTTCATCATCTTTGCCACTCTCGCTCAGGCCTTGACCTCCGGGTCTCCTTCCATCAACATCGTCGGTATCATCATCTTCTGGCGTGTTCTTATGGTAAGCAATCATTCAAACGATCCCCTTTCATACGAAACATATAGCTAACTTACATTAACAACAGGGTGTCGGTATCGGTGGAGACTATCCTCTTTCCAGTATTATCACGTCCGAGTTTGCTACAACCAAGTGGAGAGGTGCCATGATGGGTGCCGTCTTTGCTATGCAAGGTCTTGGCCAGCTTGCTGCCGCATTCGTCATGTTGTTCGTTACACTCGGTTTCAAGAAGTCGCTGGAGGCTGCTCCTACTCTGGCTGCCTGCACCGGAGACTGTGCCGTTGCCGTTGACAAGATGTGGAGGACAGTCATTGGTTTCGGTGCCGTTCCCGGCTGCATCGCGCTCTACTACCGCTTGACCATCCCCGAGACTCCTCGCTACACCTTCGACGTCAAGAGGGACATCGAGCAGGCTCAGGACGACATCGAAGCCTTTAAGACGGGCCAGCCCAAGGGCAAGCCCGACGAGTCCACCCGCATCGCCACCCAGCAGGAGGCCGAGAAGCAGATTGAGATCCCCAAGGCCAGCTGGAGCGACTTCTTCCGCCACTACTCCAAGCGCAAGAACGCCATGCTGCTCGCCGGCACCGCCCTGTCCTGGTGCTTCCTCGACATCGCCTACTACGGCGTCTCGCTCAACAACGCCACCATCCTCAACGTCATCGGCTACTCCACCACGGGCGCCAAGAACACGTACGAGATCCTCTACAACACCGCCGTCGGCAACTTGATCATCGTTCTCGCCGGCGCCGTCCCCGGATACTGGGTCACCGTCTTCACCGTCGACACCGTCGGCCGCAAGCCGATCCAGTTCATGGGCTTCGGCATCCTCACCATCCTGTTCGTGGTCATGGGCTTCGCCTACAAGCACCTCTCGCCCCACGCGCTGCTCGCCATCTTCGTCCTCGCCCAGTTCTTCTTCAACTTCGGTCCCAACTCCACCACTTTCATCGTCCCCGGCGAGGTCTTCCCCACTCGTTATAGGTCTACCTCGCACGGCTTGAGCGCCGCCATGGGCAAGATCGGCTCTATCATCGGCCAGGGCGCCATTGCCCCCCTGCGCACCAGGGGCGCTTCTAAGGGGAACCCCAACCCGTGGATGAACCACGTGTTGGAGATCTATGCTCTGTTCATGTTGCTCGGTGTTGGTACCACTTTCTTGATTCCCGAGACTAAGAGGAAGACGCTGGAGGAGCTGGCGGGCGAGTATGATATGAGTGGTGAGGAGGAGGCGCAGACGAATGATACCACCGTCACTGAGAACAAGACGGAGGCGCCCACGACTAGTGCTGCTGTGAACGTTTGAGGAGGGGTTGTCCCATTAAGGGTTGTTGGTTTTGGCACGTATTTTCCATTCTTTTTATTCCATGTTTATGATATAATGGTTTGATGAGGGCAAAGAAGGGCAGGAGCGATAGAATCTAGTGAGGGAAGAATTATTTTAGGGGGGCAAAAAAAAGGGCAGGAGCGATAGAATTTAGTGAGGGAAGAATTATACCCGGAGGTGTCCAATGAAGAAGGAGATTATGACAGTATTTCTTGCATTAGCGCTTCACTGTATTTGGTTGACAATATGATACATTAAAAATGGAACTAGCAAGACAAGAGTGTCTCAACAGGCTCGGGTGCCTCGAGTTTTGGTTCGAAATACTGTGTACATGGTGATGTGTACCGCAACTGTAACGTCATCTTTACGCTCTCAAGGGTTTAACTGTCAAGACCTTGTCCATGTAGTGTAGACAATAGAGTTCTGTCTTGCGAGAAGAACCTCAATCCATCTTTACACAATAGTACCTACCTATGCATTGTACACCCCATCCGGTGACATTCTCTCTTACGACAATTCGAGCATCTCGGCATCTTTCCGTGGTTATTGGAATGTGGTGCCTTTACCGGGCACAAAACCGAGCTTAGTGTCACATCGTAGTTAAAGATGGGTACAATGTGTAATGACTGTACCACTTCACTAACTTGCGTTGAGGATACCAAGTTGAAGAAGGACGAAAATACAAAAGGGAAGGTTAGATGGGGGGAGACGGAGTTTTATACCTACGACTTCAGAAGGGAAGGTTCAGATCTAGAACTTGAACTGCACCCGTGAATGGAAGCCACCCACATGAATGAGATCCGTGACGGCACTGCTGATGCCAGCCGTCACACTTAGGCGGGTGGTATGATAGAATCAAGGAGCACGGTACTTAAGCTAGAGGTAGACTTGTTTGTTCGTCTTTGCCCGTCCAGTCTGTAAAGTGGTTTTCTAGATCTTGGTCCGATAGTTTCGTTCCGCTGAAGATATGCATGTCCTTCATGAATGTCTTCAAATCAAAGAGAGGTGTATTGCTCTTTTCTTGCATTAATTCTTCTTTTTGCCTTCTCCTGCCCCGCTCATCTTGTCTGTATCCTTGAATTAATATGCTTCGTGACACTGAAAATGAGCAGCGCAGCTCTAACGCAGTTACACAGAGGAGGAAGGAAGAACATTTGAGATAGCTAAATACCTATATAATCCTGCATGCGGATTCGAGATAGGCACGTAGATGTGAATCTGTTCAACGTATCTCACTCGTAAACATAAGGGGTCAAGCAGGACTTCCGCTTCAAGAAATTGCATGGGATCCCTCACGCGTAGAAAACATCGCGAAGCTTGGAACCCGAGTTTGAGTGACAGACACTTCAACACATGAATATATTGCCCTGTATATAAAGACACATATCAGGACTACGTTACAAAGCAAATTTATGGCAAATGGAGTCTTTCAATATGTAGAGGTAATTGTCTATTGACTGTAATGCTGACAACAGGTAATAGTTTGCCTTGAGTTCGTAACCAATAGCCTGTATGCTAACCCTCATAATCGTGGTGCTGACTTGCCCACAGTACAAATGTTATGACTACATTGTCTTCAGAACCAAACCTGTTCCGCGTGCTCTTCTGTATACCTAACGATACTTAAACAACAGCGACTTCGTTACGGCTACAGATGGAGCAAGACTCAACTGAAATAATGATACTGAAGTGGACCAAACAGAAAACTGACATCCTTCCAAGTCTAAGCCAAGAATACCTCTGAGTGTGTATATATGTGCCTATCAAGAACAAAGCCAACCAAACGCCATGAAAATGTGTCTCGTGCGTACACCCCAAGTACAAACAACCCTTGTAGTAAGTAAACCCAAGCTTTACCGCCCGTTTCAAGACCCCCCTAGCCTAGCAAGAAAAGCTCTTTATCTTAGATGCCAAAAAATGTCTTTAACCTTTCGTAAGTGTAAAAGCTCACAGCCACCATGGGAACCACCTTCGCATACCCAATGGTCAAGCCGACAAAGAAGCCGCGGAACCCACGTTCCCTCATTATCAGCTTAGCCGTCTCGCCAATGGTCAACCTACGACCATCGCCGACCGCTCCGCCAACCTGCATCCGCCGCCTGATGACCTCCAAGGGGTACGACACCGTCTGCGAGACCAGTCCCGCGAGACCACCGGCCGAAAGCTCTGCCCACGAGCGCAGGGGGGCAGCCTTGCCGGCCGGCGCATTTTCTGGTTGCGGTAGTGTCGTCCATTTTGCAAGCTTCGTGTGCCGGAAGATGTCGCTAACCGTGTCGTGCGTGAGGAAGGACATGCCGGCGTAGGGAAGCATGCCGAGGAGCGTGGGAGAGAAGCCGCGGTAGAAGTTGACGAGTCCGGTCCGCGGAATCAGAGCGGGCGCGTGTGCTGAGGCCACGGCCATGTTTCGCATGAGAGCTGGCGCGTTTTCGGGAATGGTGGGGGCGTTTTCGCTGTATATTTGCCTAACGATGGATCGAAGGGACGATCGGCCTTCTCGTTTTGTTTCGAACGCTAGTCGTACTCGGATGACTTCGAGGGGGTATGTGAAGAAGACGGATGTGACGCCGGCGAGCGAGCCGCTGATGAGCCGCCGTAGGGGAGTTTCCTGGTCCTTGCGAGTAATGACAAGTGCCCTGATTTGCTCGTAGGCCAGAAATTTGATACCGGCGTACGGAAAGATCCTGAGGAGGGTCGCCGAATGCCCCCTAAAGAGGCCCCTCACCCCATCCTGTCGATAGATGTCTTTTATAGCTTCCCCAAAGCCCCACCACGAGCCCGCATACTTGAGGAAGTGTGGATTGTGAGCCTGGAATAGGATCTTTACCCGATCAAGCGGTGCGACAACGGTTTTGGCCTGCCGAACAAAAAGAGTCAGTCGGGACCATCATGATCGAAACGTACACGAGATGCGACAAATGTAGTGCCGACAGAATTGAAAATACATACCGCGCATCCGGCCAAGCCCCCTGCTACTCCCGATCTCCAAAGGTAATCCAGACTCCGTTTCTTCTGCGAACCCGAATCCTTCTTGGACCGCGGTACAGAAGCCTCATCGTCTGTCGGGCATACCGCCGCTTCACCTTTCTCTTTCTGTATCCTGGCCCCTAGCCGGAACGCATCGGCTGCTACCTCTCGTGGTTCGTTTGATGCGCTCCCCGGCATGGAGGCATGGCTGATAAGCGCCGGGGGCATTCCCTCTGACGCGGGCCTCGAACGGGCTCAGAATATCGTCTGCGGTGGATCGTAATTCGGAGAAAAGGAGAATGCGCCTTCCTATAAGCGCATTGCCGGCGGAAAAGTCTTCAGGTGAAAAGATGCGGGCTCGGCGATGCGACGGGGTAGTTATCGGTTTTGCTTTGCGATCACAAGCCAGAAACACAACCTTAGAGTTGCGGCGCCGAGATGGAAGAATTGGAGGGCAATGGATTGCGGAATTAAAGGGGAAGAGAGCGCTGGTTTGAGAATTGAGTCTAGGAAGATGTTGTTGATGGTGTGTTACAGGAACTGAAGGTATTTTGGAGGATTGATTACATCACACACTTTGCAGCGGAGCCGGTGAAAGACATTGGAGGGCACATGTTCAGGTCCCCATTTCCATTCTCTCCAACACCGCTTCGGGTGAGATGCTCTCACTTGACCTCTAAATTCCTAGGTAAATCCCCCCGCTAGCTGGTCCCTGCCAGCCGAGGATTGCCGAAGACATTCTGGAAACCTGGAACCTACCGGCCGGCCCGGGCTGAGTAATCTGCAAAACCACCATTTGTGTTGGTCACACGACCGCCAGCGATAGCGCGCCGCCAGATGGCCGCCCATTTCCTCGGCTTCTGAATTGTTATCGATTGTTACGTACGGCCGTCCAGGGTCGTTCTTACCAAATTTGGGGGACCCTTTCACCCGCATCCATCCGCCGCGAATGCGGCTCCACAACATCATTGCGACTGGACGGGACCTTGCGGCGGTCCTGCACCACTGAACATCCATCACGGCGTCAGGAATCCCACAGTTTGGATCTGGACCTGAATCGTCTTTCCTCCGCCCTCCCGTCCCCGGGCCCTGTTTCTGTTTTTGCGGGGTGCAGTGATAAACTGGGTCTGGCTGGTCCCAGGTCCCTCACCCCCAGCAAGCACAACCGACTTAAACAGATCTCGATCGCACCACCAAGGCTGAACCAGCTCTGAACATGGTTCACTCATCTGTTCTATATCACAATGATAACCAGACAGTGCTCCTCCTTGATCTCCCTCGTTCAATCGAGGAAGCTCAACTGCTCCCAAGCGAGCTTGATGATGGCGCGCTAACTCCGGGGAAGCTCCGGTCACTGATCTCGGCAGAACCTCCATCGTCCCCGTTTCCGACTCCGGAGCCCAAATCGAAGAAATCGCGGTCATCCCCGGCCAGCGCTGCTCCAACTGCTTCCGCTCACATAGCAGAACTGATGGCCCGTTCTGCTGCCGAGTCGGCCCTGGAAGATATTCGGCACTCTTACGACAGAGGAAAATGGTGCTTACCGCGTCACTGTCCGCCAAAGACAGATCGCCTAACGACAGTCAACCGCAACGGGAAGCGGGGTCCCGATGGAGAAGCTCTTGTAGCCATCTCAAACACAGCCCTTGACGATGCCCCTAGTGAGGCGCCGCCAGACCTCTCCCATTACATCATCCCAAAGGCATCTCACTGCCTGCTTGGCACGGTGGAGTCTCAGCGATCTCAGTTTCTTGCGACAGCTCCCAAGAAGTTTGACCTGATCCTCATGGACCCGCCCTGGCCTAACCGCTCCGCAAAGAGGAAAAGGGGCATCTACCAACCCGTCCGTGACACGGACTCTATAAGGGACCTCCTCTCCCAGATTCCTGTCGCATCGCACTTATCCGAGGATGGTCTCGTAGCTGTGTGGGTTACGAACTCGGCACGAGGCGCCGAGCTTCTCACATGCCCACAGGGTATCTTCGATGAGTGGCAAGTCGAACTGGTCGGCGAGTGGATATGGCTAAAGGTGACCACAGGCGGAGAGCCCATTGTGAGTCTTGATTCCGCCTGGAGGAAACCGTGGGAACGGCTTCTGCTCGCTAGGAAACGTGGAACCGGTCCGGGTGTCAAGAAACGAAGCCCTATAGAGACCAAGGTTATCGTAACGGTTCCGGACCTCCATTCCAGGAAACCTAATCTTCGAGGTTTGTTCGCGGACCTTCTGTCGCCCGATTATCAAGCTCTGGAAGTCTTCGCCCGGAACCTGACGGCAGGGTGGTGGAGCTGGGGTGACCAGTGTCTGCTTTTTCAGCACCGAAGCCGTTGGGTAGACGTTATCTCGGATGAAGAACAAGAAGAGCTGCTCGTTCCTCCAAAAGAAAGGTGAGGCAAGCAGTATAGACAGACAACCGGAACGCCTTCTAGTGTTGTTCCGTCTACTTCTTCTGTATCGTATCGTACATGTTACACGGTAAAATCGCCAATGTCCCGCCCAACAGGTGCAATATATCATACAATCAGGTTCCAAGCCAAGCCAATTTCTATCCGCTCCAAGATTATCATTTCCATTGCATGAGAGGACCGTCGTTTCCTCGCTCTTTCCCTTCCCTTCGTCCCACCTATTCCCGACTCTGCGCAGAACCCAATTCAATGGGTGCGACACAGTCAAGAAGTCCGGCCCTCATATTTATTGCTTAGTCTCCGAAGCCTTGCTGCTGCTCTCCTCCGCGGCCGCCTCCGCCGACTCATCCAACGGCAAGTTCTCTTCCACCTCGGACCATCCCTCCTCCTCCGGCGCGATCTTCGAATTCAGGAACGAGTTGACCTTTCCGGGCGCCCACGTCTCCTCGCCCGAGAGGAACTTGCTCTGCCGTGCCTTGATGGCCTTGCGGTCCTTGGTCACCTCAAACTGCGACGGTGGCACGACCTCGCCCTGGGCCCTGATGCCCTTGAATCTCCTATCTTCCTCCTGCGCCGTGTTCTGCTTCTTCCACGTGCCGTAGTCGAACGCTTCGCGGGCGTCCTCGGCGGGCGGCTTGGGCCAAACGAACGGCTTGGCCAGCTCGGCGATCATCATCTTTTGCGACTTGGGGCGGCGCCAGTTGCCGACCTCGCCGTGCCTCTGCTCGTGCATGCGCTGGTTGACGAAGGAGCGGACGCCCGTGACCTCGACGTTGTAGACATGGTAGAGGTAGTCGCGCAGGTCGAGCTTGTTGAACTCGAGGGGGACGATGAAGGTCGCGAGGTTGGGCGGCTGCTTAGGCAGCGGGCGGACAAATGTGATGACGTGGTTTGGCCTGGTGGTTGAGAGCAGTTTGTTAGGGCCGGCTCCAAAGGCTAGGAAACGAGACGGATGGATGTGGTGTCATGTCTGCGATCACACGAGCTCTAGGGGAACAGAACGGGAGTCTTTTTGGAGAGAGAGAGAGAGAGAGGCGGACTGTGCAGGTATAACGGGCGCAATCGCATCGCAAATTTGGTAGTATCTTTCTTACAGGAAGATCTGCTTCTTGCCCACCCTGAAGGGGGCATTCCTCAGTGCCTCAGCACCCGTCTTCGCTACGGAGGCCATTGTGCCGGATCTGGTGGGTATATGGAGGACGTGAGGGAACGCGCCTTGTCAATGAGTGAGGTCGCGCCGGGGATCCGTACTCGCAGCACCCGAGAATCTGGAGCAGCCGGCCGATTGAAAGATTGACGGTTCCCCGTTTCGATAATATTTTTCGCATTCCCCCCGGCCCGGTGCCAGCTGGCGGCCTCGTGAGAGGAGCTGGTGGGCTACGTCCCCCACAGAGTGGAGCATCTAAGCTCCGGCAGCGATTGAAGTGGGTGCAGTGGATCCAGAGACTAAACTTTAAGTTTGGATGTAAGACCCATACGCCATGCTCCCTGCTCCATTTTAAACCACGACGGAAGAAAGACGGGAGGAAATCGCGAGATGCATCGACAGAAGAGATGAATTATTAGTTTTTCTTTCACTTCAGTCATTCCTGTCATCCGATGTCTTTTCACCCTTGTATGAGTACATATGGTCTGGAAAATATCCACTTTCCACGTGGGCCGATTTCCTCCTCAAAACCGAGACCATTTTGTGTAACCACCAACGCCTCGCTTTAAACATCAAGACCATCAACAACAACGCCCTTGGTCCAGGTCAATTGCATGAACCGGGCAACTTCATTAGCAGATTCCTCAGAAACCATAACGCTGACCAGATACAGAGCTGCATCCATGCCGGCGGCCACTCCCCCACTCGTAATGACACGCAGTCCACCTAGGCGCATCGCTGCGCGGCGGGCAATGGATTCGCGACGTGTCGCACCCTTGAAGGACATGGATCCCTTTCTGTAGGCGGTGTCAGTAGAGTTCATTGCTTGCTGAAGCACAAGCTAGTTGAGCGAAGATCCCAGCACTCACCGGGCATTGGAAGGACGACGGCCAGCGTCAGACTTGCGTCGCACGTAGGGATTCTCATCCTCGTCTCCAATGTCGAAGCGCAAGTTGTTCACCACGTATCGGGCATCTTCGATGACATCAGTACGCTCGGTAGCATCACGGACTGCCGAATGGCTGCAGAGGTTCTCGAACTGAGTCATATAGTCGGGGTGGGTGGTCGCAGAAAGACCAGACAGGATACCAAGTTCGGCCAAGAAGATGGATCCGGTGCAGATGGAAAGCAGGGTACGCTCGCGAGTGGGATCAGCCTTCTGGATCTCAGAGTAGGCAGTAATGAGGGGCATGGGCTCGGCCTTCGCCTTCAGGATGGCATCGTTTACGTTGCCGCCGACGACAATGAGGACGTCAAATTCTGATAGGCGCTCGTGGGCCTCCTTCCAGGTGATCTGGGACTGAATGGTGACTCCCTGGTCTGAGAGAACGGTGGGCTCACCCGAGGCGATGGTGACTTCGAAGGCTCTCGAAGCTGTATCATAAACCCAATATCAGCCATTTAGTCTTCGACAGTGACGTAGAGAGTCGAGGATATGACGTATAGCTGACTTACAAGGATCATTGGCGTCGTGCAGGGCGGTGGTAAGGACCTCGAGAGGGCCAGCAAAGTCCATGAGGTTAAACTTGGGATGCAGGGCGAAGAGCACGTCAATGGGCTCATCAGCCACTGCAGACGATTTGTGTGCCATCTTGACGACCTTGTTGTTGTGGTTGAGTCAGAGGTGAGAGAGGAGAATGGATTACAATGGTCTGATGCTCTGGCAGACCGTGAACTAGCAACAAAGATAGAATTCCAGGATCGTGAAATGTCTTGGAGAATAGAAAACCCTTCGGCTCTCTCAAAGATCGCGTGTTGATAGATTTGAAATGTATAGATCACCTTTGTGAGATGGACTGAACAGGAAGAGAAGATGAGTGCCGCGGGGTGCACGGGAAGCTCCTCCATAAATGAGACGGGACGGACCTCAATGGACAGAGCCCGATGAGGAGATTGAGGGGGACGGGAGCCATGACTGGAAGGAGGGCGGCGTCGTGCCAGATGATCACCCCACGTGAGGAGGGGATCGAGCCTCGAGTAATGGCCCAGAATTGCCAGATGAATGCCCAGTCAACGAGGTGCACCTCCGTCCGCAAACAGTCGGTTGCATCCGCGGCCGGCAAGCTTTGCGGCAGAGAACCTCAATGGCGAATGGGATGGAACCTCACTTACACCTCAGAAGGAATGGCGCGTGCCGTAGCGGCAGTCGTACCACTCGCTGCAGCTCCGGGTCCTGGGAGCTTGTTTGAGAACCCCACTTGGTGGGACCTGACGTGCGTTGAAAATGCGGGGTAGCGTTGAACCAGAAGGGCTTGGCGCACCAAGCCCGGAAGCGACCAGGGGGACCTGCTGACAAGCGGGTCCTTTCCCATCGCAGCTGCCCCGCAGTGGAGCCGGACGACCTGATGGGTGGTCTGTTCTTCGGGCAGGTGCCGCATGCCGGACAGCTGTTAAAAATTGGAGTGGACATGCTCGGAGCCACCTGCAGTGCAAGCGGGCCACCTCAGGGCAGGCAGTGGCACGATTCAACAGATGGATTCCACTCGTATGCGACGGACCAAACCGGACATTGTGACCCCTGGAACAACAAGACGACCAAAGCTCCCTGTTCGATTCAAATCACGGCACAATTGACCACCTAGACCACCCAGGCAGTTGGCGCAAGAACACGCCATACCGTATCCTTGAACCTCCAGTCTACTCTTTTATCGAGACATTGGAACCAATTGCCGTGTCGCGCCGTTGGATCTCAGGGGTCGGTAGCTTGAGCTTCACTGACTAACCGGATCGCCATCCCAGTACCTTACCTTACAGTCGCGGTTACGCAGAACCTCACCACAGCATACCTGATACAGCTCCTCCGTGGGAGATAGGTACCTCGAGACAGGTGTCTCAAGCTAGGTACACTAGAGCTGTCGGCCTGACTTCTGTCAAAAGCGTGCAGTTCTGATAAGCGAAAAGGAGGGGCCGTTGCAGAGCGCCACTTCTGGAGCCGCCTCGGGCAGCCTCAGATAGTGCGGGACAGTCTGGCAGCCTTGCGGGAGTGATTGCCTTGAGGTTGGGCGGAGATTGTGGTATCCGATTCGCCAGCCTCGGTCGGGTACAGCACTAACTTCCTCATATCGTACTCCGAGTTCCAATACGCATACTCAACAACTTCTCGCCCTTGTCATTCATTTTACATTTGCTGATCTCACAAGAACCCTCATCCTTGGGTTGCCGCTTCAAGAACGAGCGGGTCCGTATTACGGCTTTTGAGAGCTCTAGGCACACCAATACCCAACGGTAACTCAGGAAGCTCCCAACCTCGAAACGCTACGGGACCGTACCTTTAATTGCATGTGCCCGCCACCCCGCCAATCACGATGGCCTCATCTGGGTAAGTCTGCCCGGGCATTCAATGATCGCTTGTCCAGCATCGACCTACAGGTCTCTATGGTTGATGCAGAGTCTGACAAGCCACAATCGTGAAATAGGTCTACCAAGGATCTCACCAAGGCTCTTACTAGCTTCATCCAGACACCAAACCTGCCTCTCCCGGATGAGCTCACCACTTTGATTAGCAACTATTTAGACCGACACGAGCATGCCGAAGATGGAGCTGCGGATCGGTTGAACGAGGAGCTTCTCTCTATCTACACCAAAAATGTTGAGAACCAGCCCGGAAAATATGCCGCCTTTCTTGCGATTCTACGCGAACTTCGTCCCGCCATGAAGACGCCTGCCAGGATCTTTGAGTGGTGGGATAGACTTCTTGACCCCGTCTTGGAATATGTCGGACAGGAAAAGGGCTTGGCTCGTGAGGTTGCCACGAACACGCTGGACCTGCTCATGATTGACCAGTTCGATGAATCATCAAACTCGTCTGAGGCGAGCCTTGCTCCCTTCACTGAACGTCTGCTGAGTAGATGGATGGACGCTCGTGCAAGCCAGATAAACTGTGTTCCGATGGCGGACTTCAAGGACCGCATGGTGAAAAGGGCTTTGATGGCCTTCGGAAAGAAGGACCCCAAGGTATGCATTAGCCCTCCTTCTTGCGTATGCTGCTCTTGACTAACCGCTCAACAGGGCTTCATGACTTGCTTGGATCGGTATTTCGTCAAGAGAGAGTATCGTAACTTTGCATTGAGCTTGCTATGCGATTTCGTTCAGAGCCAACCTCCACACCTTCATGTTGTACTACAAACACCGCTATTCAACAACATTCTCAACTCTCTACAAAAGGACGAGTCGACAGCCACCGTCACCATGGCTCTGGTGGCGTTAATCATGCTCCTGCCTTACATACCGAGCTCGCTGGTACCGTTTTTATCCAAGTTGTTCAACATATACGCAAGACTTCTATTCTGGGATAGGGATAGCTATTTTGCTCAAGAGCACACAGAAATCGGCCCTGAAGGTGGATCCAATGAGGTTACCTGGGAGAGAGTGCTTCTTGATCCTGATCATGACGGAAGCTCGATCCCTTATCTATCAGGTTACTTCACTGTCCTATACGGCTTATATCCCATTAACTTTCTCGACTACATCCGCAAGCCGCAGCGATACTTGCGTCATGCGAACAACGACGACGATATTGATGTGCAGGCCATGGAAATCCGGGACAGGTCCGAGAGATTCAGAAAACAGCACCTTTTGCATCCGAACTTCTACAACCTGACGATTGACTCGGAGAAGACGGATATGAGCCGATGGCTTAACAGTGAGGCAGACGAGGTTCTTGCTGAGTGTATGGCTCTGTCCCTAGAGTCTAAACACAACTCTTCCGATGCTCGCAACACCACCCCACTACCCGTGGGCTTGGACCATGTAGTTGGAGAGGAACTCGGTGACGATGACATGGAAGCCATCCTGAATGGGTCTTTGGACCGTGGAGGTATTTCCTCAGGGGTTGAGTCCACGCCCAGCATAGTGCGTTCACAAGTTGAACCATCTAGAGAACCTTCTTTGCATGGCCCGACCATCGACGCTGGAAGCCAGCAAGGTGATAGCACAAATCATGTTTCTGACCAGACTTCGCTTGGTGGCCAGGAAGTTGCTGAGAGTCCTATCATCTCACCTCATCAACTCCAGTCGTCCCCACACACCCAACTTCATGATAGGCTTGTCACGTACAAGGCCAGCATATCTGGGCTTCGTCAGTCACTAGCAAATGCCAGTGTACCCTCGCTAGCCCTCGGGACCCAGGAGGTCGTAGGGGATAAAAGCCAAGGACAGGTTGAGGCATCGTCTGATTCTCTCAACCAACCACCACGCACTGGTGAAGCGAACAATTATGTCTCGCTTCTCTACCACCAAAATCTGTTACTTCTCAATGATTTGCAGTTTGAGAGGTATATCAAGCAGCAACACATGATACATATGGGGGAACTGCGTCGTAAGCAAGTCAGGGAAGCTGCCACCGAAGCTGAGACGCAGAACCTTGTCATGGCAAACCGAAGTTTGAGACAAAGGCTTGACGAAGCCAAGCGAGGAGAAGCACAAGTTAAGAAAGAGTTCGACCACCGTCGAAACATTGCTAAGAAATGGGAGAGCGACCTCTCTACCAAGTTACGGGCGTTGCGCGAGGAACAGAAGAAGTGGGCTGCGGAAGAGCTTGCCTTGAAACACCAGCTTGAAGAGTGCCAGAGAGAGTGCGAGCGGCTGCGTAGCGCTGCTGACTTGGCCGAGAAAACAATGCTGCAGTATAAGCAGAGCAACGAGGCAATCGACATTAGCACAGAAGAGATCGACAGGCTAAAGGGCGAAGTAGCTCGTCTCACCGAATCGGAGCGTGCATACCACGGCAAGGAATTGAAGATGCAACAGGCGATACAGAGCGCTGCCTTAGCCGAAGCTCGGGCAGAGCAGTTGTCACAGCAAGTTACCGCACATGAGCTGCAGATCGAGAGAGTGAGGAAGCACTACGAATCGCGAATTGCAGACCTCAGTGATCAGTTGGCCAAGGTTGGCAAGGAGAGTCAAAGCAGGAACGTCGACAACGTGGTGGCCGTATTCGAATCCGCTCTCGCTACAAGCAGAGCGAAGCAGATGGAGCTGCAAAAGGAATGCGATATACTAAAACGAAAATGCACGGAGTTGGAAGGGTCTCTTCTGGAACTGAGGTCTGCGAATGAAGAGCTGTCGAGCAAAATACTCTCTAACGACAGTCAATCGGCTCTTCTGGATGGCGGACCAGAAGCTATGACGCCTAGATCAGGCAGTCCGATTATTTCTCGGACGGCAAATCGAGGATTCTCTGACACAGACAGTCTCGAAAGTATCTTCCGCAGTGCTACCCCCTCGTTGATACCAGCAACAAGACAAAGCTCTGTTTCCTCACCAACTTCGGTCCGCCGCCCAGGAACTCCTCCTGGAGCTGGAGTGAGCGGTGATACGTCTAGTCGTTCGTCTCAGAGAACCAGTCCAGTTGCCGAAAGGCACCATGGAAAGGGTAAGTCGCTATCTTCCTGTCAACGTTTATGTTAAGTGAAGCCGCTAACTGTGAGGTGGAATAGGGGTGCTCGCGAACGCTCTTAAGAAGGAGCGTAAGGATAAGAAGGAAGATAAGCCTGAGAAGAAAAAGTCGAGTCTCCCTGCTTTCAAAGGAATGAGGGGCTTTGTGTGAGTGTCATGACAGCAACGCTGGAGTTTGAAACAAAGTTGGGAAACTTGGCCCGGGGTAACAACATGGCTTTAAAACAACATTGCTGTTCACCCTATGGCCTAACTGTTGCAGAATACCCTAGCTCAACCGGTTGAAGTCTAAGCACATCACGGTATTTTCCCCTTCGTGATGATTCCGTATGCGTTGAATTGTAGATGTTTATAGGTAGAGGTACATTTGTTCATTGTCAGTGTTGCAGTTCTTGGCACTTAGGCTTACCCCTGCCGAATCGACGATAACCCCGGTCCGATGGTGCATCCCCAGCCTCCCACGACAGACTGGACTCTCCACTCTGCCACCTCACGACAACGGTGCCGCGAAGATACACTTTTGTCGTGCAAATGCGCGCGCTATTCCGATTTTTCCTCATCATTGTAGAAATTTCTTATCCTCGGCTGTAACCACTAAAGGCTGGAAACATCGCCAATTTTGTCAGCGGGAATATCAGGCCGTGACACGCCCAGAGGTGAAACAATCCCGCTATCGTCGTCGCCCAGCTTGCAACATTATCCCGTCTGCTGCTTGCATAACCGATCTCCCGTGGCAGATTTGCAGTGAAAGGCCGAAACAGCTGGACCGGAAGCTTCAGCAGCTTGAGGCCAGAGAGGTACATCTGCGACCAACCGAGCCAGTTTGATTTGGCATTACCCAGTGCCTGGGTGTAACAACAACCGGATCATCGCGCCACATCACAGGCAAACTTGGGAAACCATCCTTCCGAACATTTCTTCTCTATCAACAATACCCGGAGATCCTTCGATCTCATTCGGGCGGCCCTTACTCTCGGTCGGCGCAACATCTGTTATCCGTTACGTGTCGCAGCAGTACGCTTTGGAGCTTGTTGCAAGACGGAAAGCCAGTGACAGTTGCATGTCTCGGCTTATCCCGCCAGCCACGGGCGCAAGAGCTGGACGGAAGCATCGGGCTGAATATCGCTATTAGGACGAGACGAACAATCCCCATTGTGCGCGCACCCTTCAGGACCGGACCTACTACCTCTTTGTCAGCCTGGTAAACGATCCACGATGCCGCCAATAAAACGAGCTCCGAATCAACGCGACACGGTAGCGCAAAAGAGTTCCTTGGACCTCGTTGCCGATGAGTTTTTCGAGCTATCAACGCCGCCAAAACACAAGCGCGATCCAATCCCAAAATCCACTTTGCATCTCGAAAATTGGGACGGAACCCGCCCATCGGCACACGACCAGGTAGCCAGGATAGCAGCCCTCGCAGCCGCAGGTAATCCATCATCAACACTTGCGATCAGCGGAGCCCACCTCTCCGAAAACTCACCACCCACCCGTGTGCTCCCGCGACAATACGCCGAAACCTCAACGATCCCGGCCTACTACGGGGCTCTCTACTCGAGTCCGTCTCCCGGAGCCGTGGTGGGCATCACGCTCGGCGCAGTCGCCGGCTTCATCCTCATCCTCTTCCTCATCTACATATGCATCAATCTAGGCGGCTTCTCAACAGCGATCAGCGAATCCGGAGGAACCGCGTCAGTGGTGACGCGGAGGAGTCGACACCATTATCGCTCTTCGCATCACAGCGAGGCTGGTGGTGGTGGCCGCGGTGGCGTGTATAAACACCGGAGGAGCAGCAGGCGTCGGTCGCGGTCTACGTCCTCGGCTGGTGATGGTGGGGAAACGATGGAGATCCGCAGGACCAAGACCACTCGAACGGATCACCGTGGTAGATCCGGTTCTCATGGACATGGACATGGACATGGCGACGGTATTGTTCTGGAGGAGCGGCATCGGTCAAGGTCGATGGGACAGGGACAACATGGACATGGACAACCGGTTGCTGAAAGGATCGTGATCGACGAGAGGAGGAGGAGCACTAAGAGGCAATCGAGGACAGCGAGATCGCGGTCGCCACCGGAAAGGGGGCCGATTGTGGTGGAGACCTCGGAACCTTCGCATCCTCATGAGAGAGAGAGGATTGTGGTTGAGGAGGATGTTAGTAGTGTGTCATCGCCGCCGGGACCGCCGAGACGGAGGAGGAGCTCGGGGTACCGCGAGATTAGACCAGATGAGTTTGCGGGTGGGGATGAGCCGTTGAGGGAGGTGCGGAGGTCGGGGAGTATCAGCCGGCATAGGGAGTGATGAGGAAAATGGGACTAAAGGGTTGTTTGACATGATGCGATCAAGCTGGCAATGCGTGGGTTATGTATCCTTCAACTTATAAGGCTTTGGCGTTACTGCAAGGGATGCGGATTGTTTCGAAAGATTGGATGACAGCCGGCAGTGGATCGGCGTGTAAGGGATACTCGATATCGTGCGTTCCAGACTCTTGGGTAGAGCAAGATTATCTATGAAGATTGCCAATGCTTTCGAAGTCCGCAGGAATATAATCCTCTTTATCTCCAGTTTCATTTTTTCGGGTGCCATTTTTATGTAGGGCCAGGACTAGATACCCATGGTCATGGTATATAGAAAGCCTTCTCGTTACCATGTAGCTTGATATTGCCCGGCCTAGGCACCTCGCCCATCTTTCACCAGCTCTTGAACAGGTACTAGTAGTTTTGGAAAGGCCTGTAAATGAAACTTTGCTCTGTTCCTGATCAAGCATATCCCGTCGTCCATGTGGCGTCGCCGTGTAAACCGATGGCCAGGGGCAGTTACTTAATTCACATGCGCTGCAATGCAGCTGCCCTAACGGCTTGCAAGGGTGGCAGGTTAGCACGGAAATCCCTGCAATGTGCCTGGAGCACGACGTCGATTGGCGCCTTCCGACGAACGGATAAGCCCAATTCTCCACTATCTCCTTCAATGACATCACCGTTGGTTTTGTTATATCAACGTTACTGAACCACCTTTCATGTGAACTTGGCTTGTCCCTTCGAATTCATCTCCCCAATACTTACGGCAAACACCTATCTAATATCTCCAAGAGCTACTCCGACCCAATACATCTGAAAGACTTGTCATTGGTTATTACGACTACCGAGCAGGAATTCTGAATAATATCACACAACATGGAGCATCCAGGTAAGCACAGATTTGGGCAGTAAAAGAAACATTGCGGACCTCATAGTCTAACCAAAACCACAGTGAAGGACGTCCGCCGAGTCATTCGCACCCTTTGCCAGGGAAGCCCGCAAGAACAGGGAGAAACCCTTGAGCGTTACTTCACGCCTTCGGCGTCGTTCGTTCACCCCTTCTGCCGAGTTCCCCATTTCGACAAGATCTACATTCCTGGATACGGTTTCCTGAATTCGCGAGAGCTTATTCAGTACATCTATAAGTGGTATGTATCTCCTTGACTAGACGTTTAAAAATGCGTCGGAATGTGTGTCGGAAAGGAAGGTGACTAACAACATACTTCTAGGTACAAGATTCTAAGTCCCAAGATTGATATCGAGGTCGAATCAGCCGGTAAGTGCCTCCCTCCGCATTATCATGCAACATCCTGCCCTAAAAGGTCCATCAACTAACCACTTCCGCAAATATCCAGTCTTCGACCAACGCCTCTCCCTCCTCTACGTCAACATCGCCCAAACCTTTTCCATCTGGTTCCTCCCCTTCCACAAATCCCCCGTCCGCCTCGTCTCAGTCCTCCACCTCGTTCCCGAAGACGAATTCAAGAATAACAACAACAACTCCGGGAACCTGCGCCGCCGTCTTGCCAGCAATATCAAGAACCCCTTGTCAAAACAAGAAGCCGACGACAACGACTCAGACTACTCAGACTCCTTAGAAGGACCCAGCTACGCCTCGGTAGCCGCCGGCGACGCCACACCAGAGAAAACGGAGGAGGGAATCCCCATGGTTCACCCGCCCAACCCAAGCAACCCGGTTGCTGTCGAGAACGCCCCCGTTACCTCGTCTTCTGCTCGGGCAAGTGGCGAGGCGGAGAGACTAGTCAACGGTGACAACAACGGCAACAGCAGCAAGCGGTACCTGATCGCAAAGCAGGAAGACTTTTACCAGGTGAACGATTTCCTCAAGTTTTTGTTTTCGAGTCCGGGAGCGTGGGTGTGGTATGCCATTCAGGTGTGGAACTCGATCTTGTGCGTGGTGGGCGTGGTACTGTTTGAGCCGTTGATCAGGGCTCTTGGGATCAGGAGGGAAGGGGGCGGAAAGCCTAAGTGGACGTGAGTTTCCGAGGATGTTGATTGTGTAGTGGTCTCCTGGAATCTCTGAAAAACCCCTATGAGTGGGAGGGGAGCAAGAGAGAAAGTGAATATCAAACCGGATGAAAGAGTTTGGACGTTGCATCATAACCTGAGGCCTCACATTAGACACGACCTGCATCGATAATGATAGCCATAATCTAATTCCAAATGTCGCACGGGGAACCGATCATCTTTTCATGCCATCTTCAATGACTAGTCTACACTAGTTACCTGCTTTCCACTATTATACTTGTACAAAATATCCCAACGCATGGCGATACCGCTGGAAGAGGGTTTAACTCGCCTTCAATTCCAAGGTAGGATATTCTGTTCTTCTAATCGCGTATGCTACTTTCTTTCACGTCTTATACTCCTCTCCTTCCCTAACAATGGGACCTTCGCGTAAGAATGGTCGGTTTGGTCCATCCCCTATACCGTTTTCCCGTTTTCGTGAGCTCCAGCCATGCTCCCATGGAACACGATTCTTCGAATCTCCTATCCGCTGTCTCTGTGTCTGTTGTTTTTATAAGACGTCGCCCATGAGACGTGCAAGCTCCCCCGGGTATCGCTGCGCAGTTTGGGGCGCTTTCCGCATGCAATGTTTCTCGGCAGCCAATCGCCGATTGGTCTCGCTTTCCCCCTTCTATCCCACTCCCTTGCTCTTGGGCGAATCGTCAAATCATTAACTCGCCCTAGCATTTATCCCCCTTATACTTTTATATCCATCTTTTTCAAGCAACCTGCCTCTTCAACCACGCAACAGAGACGCAGCATCCCAGAGTAGCACTCTCTCGTCCCAGCCCGCCGACGCGCACCAACCGCCCGCACCGAACAAACACCAATCCACGCCCGTAACGAACTCAGTATGTCTGTTCATAAGGCCCAACTGGGTTCCCGCGCGAACCGTGTCGGGCTGGCGCCCGCTCGGTACCGGTGGCTGAACGTGCTGCGGCATCGTGGACCCGTCCGTCCACACGCGCACCGACATGTCGTAGCTGGCGCTCACCAGAATGTCGCTGGCATGCGGGCTCCACGCCACGCGCCGGACCGCGTACTCGTGGCCCGTCATGAGCGCCAGGGGGCCGCCAGCCGGGTTGCGGATATCGAACGTGCGTATGACCTTGTCGACGCCCGCCGTGGCGATCACCGTGTCGTTGTACTTGTTCCAGTCGTGCGTCAAGACTTCGTTCGGCACCGTGCCCGAGTAGATCTGCCCATCGACAAGGCGCGAGTAGCCCTGCCCGCCCGTAGCCGGCGCGTGCACGGGTATCACGTTGGTTAGGTGGTACTTGGATGATACGGGCGTGCGCAGGTCGAAGATGCGCAGGGAAGAGTCGCCGGAGACGGCGGAGATGAGGGCCGGGTTCGAGGGGCAGTAGGAGGTACTGTAGGTGCAGCATCCGATGGGGAGGGTCTTGATCGATGCGTTGCGCGTGGGGGACCACTGTGGAGAGAGGGTAGGAGGATGGTCAGTAAGCGAGCAGTGATGTTACGGGTGGTAGGTAGGAGGACAAGGGCTATCAAGCACTTACAACTTTGACGGTTCCATCCCAGGAACTCGAGATGAAGCTGTCCTTGGTGACGGGATTCCAGCAAACAGAAAACGTTTCCCGCTTGTGTTCATGGAAGTTCATGACAGGGAAGTTCTCAACCCCCAAGTCGAAGAGCTTGATGGAGCCATCGCCGCAAGCGACGATGAGCTGATTCTCGTTGATTTCGGACCAGGCGAGATCGTATTGGGCATCGTTTGTCTCGAAGGTCTTTTCGCACTGGACGCCGGCCGCGCTCAGGCCCAGGCAGAAGAGGCGGCCGTTTCCGACGATGCCATAGTTGGCGGCAGTGGCGACAGCGAGGCGTGAGTCGTAGTAGGGAGAGTATTTGACGGCGTAGGGATTGTAGCCCGGGGTACGAAATTCCAGCATGGACGCCATGTTGAGAAACGTGGGGTTGTTATGCGCTGCCCATTACCTGTAAGTTAGAGTTGCAGTGGGCGCGCGACCTCTGCCCGACGTTAGTCACGGCCTGGTGGACCTGCCTGCGAGAGTCGTGAGCGGCGTTGCAGCTGGGACGACGGCGACGACTTGGACGTATCGGCGGGCTTTGGAACGGGCGTCGGGTGTGAGAAGTGATGGGCGTGACGTCGGGTCTGTGTTTGGCAGAATTGTGAATCTCGGAATTGTGACGGGATGGAAATCAGCTGGACGAAACTGGGGAACGCCGAACGCCAAACCGTGGGGAAGCCTCGGTTGTCAGCTACCCCGGAAGCCGCCTGGGATCTGCCTTCTGGTCCGCACGTTGCCGCGGGCGTGGAACCCCTGTGAAAGCGTTAACCCCACAGCATGTGCCCGCTAACTCTTGTGGGTTAGCGCCTGCCTATGACGTCGCGTTAAAAAACGGGACGGCAGCTAGAGACCAGTCCCGTGACAGCGCGTCTTGTGCCACTTTCAATCACGTCTCCCCTCCTTCCACTTCTTAACAACGACGCGTCTAACAGTACAAATCCATGTTCATCTTTCATTCCGCGCGTATCCAACCACCAGGAACTCGGTCATGGTGACAGACACTCAAACATGTCGAGTTTCTGTACTCACTCCTCTAAGCCGTGGCAATGGATAGATTCGTAACGAGGGGGAAGAGGAAAGCCGAGTCAACTCTGGAGAAAAATGTGGATACCACACAAGCACAGCAGTCTATCACCGCCTTGCGTAATCCCATCGACAACAATCCCGACGGCGATGGAGAATCAACCGATCTCAAACTGGCCATACTTGCTTCATTGCATCCAGGCTTTAGCCATGATTCGCTACTGGATCTTTTAATCGCCCACGATGGATCTGTGGAAGCCACCACGGAGGCTTTGAAAAGCGCCCAATACACAGGGGCAGCCAAGAAGAAACCATCGGGTATCACTTCACAGGCTTCCTTGCGCTCTTTCGCCGTTTCATCTACCACTACCGATGGCGACCATGGTAGTGCTAGTGGTGCCACCCCGAAGAAACCCAAGCTCCTCTCCCGAAAAGGCGCAACACTCCATCTCTACGACCCCTCCGACATCAGCACCCACACGCCCTGCACCGTCATCCACAACTTCCTCCCTCCCTCGGTCGCCAACGCCCTTTTGGTCGAGCTTCTAGAAGAAGCCAAAACCTTTGGCAAAACCACCTTCAAGCTCTTCGACAACGTAGTCTCCAGCCCTCACACATCCGGCTTCTTCGTCGGCAGCGATTACGAGCTCGCCGAGCAAAAATCGGCCTACTTCTACAACGGCGCACGGCTCTCCGACATCCGCCGGCTGACGCCTCAGCTGGAAAAGGTGCGGCCGTCGGTGCAGGAGGCCGTCAACGAGGAGATCCAGACGCGCATCCGGACTCACGGCCTGTACGGGGGAAAGAAACTCAAGTACCAGTCGCCCGAACCTTGGTCGCCCAACGCGGCGTTTGTGAACTTGTACGACGGCCCCGAACAGAATGTGGGCTGGCATAGCGACCAGCTGACGTATCTCGGTCCGAGGGCCGTCATCGGGTCCCTTTCCTTGGGGGTGGCGCGCGAGTTTCGGGTGCGTCGGATTTTACCCAAGGATAAGGACGAGGACGGTAACTCTAACAGTACCTCCAACACCAACCTCGACTCCCTGAACGAAGGCCAAATTTCCATCCATCTCCCGCACAATTCCCTCCTCGTGATGCACGCCGACATGCAAGAAGAGTGGAAGCACTGCGTGACGCCTGCGCAGGCCATCGATCCGCACCCGATCTCGGGCAGGCGGCGCATCAACGTCACGTATCGCGATTACCGGCCGGAGTTCCACCCGCGGTACACGCCGCGGTGCGCTTGCGGGATCCCGACGATCCTGCGGGTGGTGCAGAAGAAGAGGGAGAATTGGGGCAGGTATTTTTGGATGTGTCATGCTGGGAACCAGCCGGGTAAAGAGGCCTGCTCGTTCTTTCAGTGGGCGGAGTTTGATGATGATGGGAAGCCGTTGTGGAAGAAGGGCACGGGTGGTCGCACCGCCGGGCTGGAACTCGATACGAGGGAGTCAGGTCAACCACCCAAGAGCGCGGCTGGATAACAGCTATCACCGATAGCAAGTCTTGAAGGATACCCGGTAATAAGAACACCACCGGTGGCGGAATAGCCTTGTCCCTCGTAGACAAATACTCGGTGGAGTCATATAACAAGTCATGGGGTTCCTTCTTAGACATTACAAAATCAATTCACTTTCTACGATGTAGGTATGCATGTTTCCCTTCAACCAAAACCCACCTATCTATTCATAACCACCAACTCGGCCATGCCCAACGTCCTGACTGCTTCTCCTTCTCCTTTTCCTTCCTTTCCCCCGCTCTTTCTCCCCTTTCAACTCCTCTCGCCCCTCTCCCCTGATCTCCCCTCTGCCTCCAACTACCACCACTGGTACCCATCGTCATCCCACCTACCCTGTTATTCAGACTTCCTCCTGCACCTCCTCCATTCTCGTATCTGGCTGCTGCTGCCGCTACTCTACCCCTAAAATTGTTCGGTCCATTCACACTGCCTGCAACCTGACGAACACGGTCGATGCCAAGGAATTCTCCAGAACCATTTTGTAGTTCACTCTGTCGGTTATTTCGAGACGGTAATGTCTGCGTTGTGAAGCCAAGGTCCATACCATAGGACTCGGTGTCTCGAGGATCGTCGTCACTGTGGCCATCATACCCTGTTCCCCTTCCGCTTCTTTGTTTGCAACCTCCCCTCCGCGCAGTGTCAATAAGACCAAACTCCATGGCGTCAAAGTCGGCAGGGCTTGCTATGCGCGTGGTCATGGATGAAGTCCTGCTTAGGCTTGTTGTGCTAGACAGGTGCTCTTGGGAGGGAGTGGTGCCAGGAATAGGGGGACGCGGGGGAGGAGGCGATGGTTGTTTTGGAATCGTTCTGCCCCTGTTCTGTCGAGAGTCTGCTGCTCTTGCAGTTGCCGATGATGATGCAAGAGATGAAGAGTGTGATTGTTTTGATGGCCTCGTCCGAGTCCGGAGACTGTTTGAAGTCTGGTGGATCGATGCGTTCGTCTCCAGGTGTCCGCTACCATCACTACTGCTGATGGCGCTGGTACCGCTGCCCCCATTCTTCTTTATTATACTACCGGTACTGCCACCACTTCTTGGTGTGCGGCTGAAAGGGGAAGCGTCCGAGTTCGTTTGGTCGGAGTATGAAGAGCCTGATACCTCTGGTGTTGCCCTTCCTTCCGCATTAATCAACAGAGAAGCGGCTTTGTTTGATTGCTGCTGGATAAGTTTAGCCAGCTGGGCACTTGGCTGTTGACTTGTCTCTGTTTCTCCGTGCTCATCCAGTTCTTGAGGCTGTGGTTGGTAATCACCACCCCTATAGCCTTCACAGAAATATATTGAAGCAGTACTGAGAGGCCGTCCTACAACACCCACGTCGGATGTCCGGATCTTGCGAGCCGCTGATCCGTGTGCATGGATGTCGGCTCCACGACCAGGATAACCGGCTGCGTGGGCGGCGGCTTTCTGAACAGAATCATTCTCCGACAAGTCTAACTCTTCACCCGGAAGAAACGGGAGGGCTTTCTCGTGAGACAGTAATGTGCCCTGTTTCTGGCTACCACGGCCTTCTTCAGCGCCCGAAAGACTGGGGGTATGCGCCCTGATATTAAGACTCATCTGCCTTCTTGGAATAGGAGGTGCTGCGCGTGTAGGCGGAGCAGGAGGTCTGACAGCATTGTCGCTCTTTGACTCCATTGTTCTCGTCCTAGTTAACCTTGCTGTTGGCTTCGTTGCTGTCCGAACGGCGAGTGCACTCTGGCTTTGTCTCGGTATACGAGAAGGTGTTTGAGCTCTTGGGATCGGAGTTGGTTGTGGGCCAGAAGAGATGGAATGTGCACCACTAGTACCGCTAGTATCATACAAGCGGACAGGTAGAGACGATTGTTGATGGTTTATCGCCCTTCGCTGTGACGGTAAGGATCGCGAACTGAGTAAGCGATGGATTACATCACTAGTCGTTTCCGCGCCCCAATGACTTGCGATAATTTCAAACAAGGGGTTGGGTTGTAGCACATCGCGCGGCGACCAGAGTGATGATGAACCTTGTCTTGTGATGGCAGCAACCGCCGTGGTCTCTACCATGGTCTTCTGGCTCACGATGCCGTCCATCGTGATGTTGCGCGATAGCACTGTACTCTGCGAAAAGCCGGAGTGCTGGTACCTGATTCGGACCTGTAGGAAATCGAGCTTGGTACCGCCCAAATGATATTCAAGGTCTTCGATGAGATCATCAGAACTCTGTCTCCTGTGGCGGTTACTTCTGCTATTGCATCGAGGGGTAGTAGGAAGTAGTCGAACATGCACCAACAGGAGTAACCTCGAGCCCAGGTAAAGAGTGGTCCTTATGTTGAAGGTCAGACTCACACAAAATATATTGTAATGGAATTGAAACGAGATCAATGGTAGGAGTGAGTTCGAAAGGCTGCATACCTTGCGCATGCTTTGTCGTCTATGACTTCAATGACCTCGCTGTTGGCAGTGGGAAGGATTTCAACTGACAAATCGTAGAGACAACCGTATCGTAACGCATCTGGAGTTAGTACCTTTCCGATTCAATGACAAATCCCCCGAGACATTGGCTGGCATGTATGGGACCTGTTGATCATACCTGGTGAAACTGTGCCGTCATTGTATTTATCCCGCGCTGGGGAGGGAATACTAGACTGATAATCGGGGGCGCTGGAATGGCAAAGCTGTGTTGTAAGCTGCACTGCCGCCTATAGCGTTGTAACTTCATTGTCTAGAGCTTTGATTTCCGGCGTGACTATTACTTTGGGTACGAGCATGAACGGCTCTTCTGCAGGCTGACCAGGGAAGCCGGAGTGCAAGGCGCTCGAGCGGCCTCGTCGTGATATTTCTCCAGCTTCGAGCATCGAATGAGAACCTTCTCCATCATAGCTTGCAATAGTATCGTCGGGGTTGTGATCGTTAAGGTGAAACATACTCTTCGAGCTTCGAAGACGCGGCGATGACTGATCTGCCTCTTGTCCCAGACCGTGAACCTGTCGAGATAATGTAGTCGGGGTGTGAGGCCTCGATGTATTGGCATGAAAAGCTAAGACCAGATCTTTCCTGTTGCCAGCCCTTTCGCGCTCGTTGTTCAAGTTTTTTTGGTCCGGAATCAGCTGTCTGGCTCTTCTGAGGAGAAAGTTGGGGCTTTTGGTCATTTTGAAAGGCGACGGGCTCATTCGAGGGCGTTGGTTCTGGAGACTTGTGCAAGAGTTGGTTCTGGGGGAGCCGAATGTGGTATCAGAGATCCTATTGTGGTCTAAAAAGAGGTTAGAAAATCCGACCACCGAGGCACTGGTTCTGAGAAAAACGCCGAAACTGGATTTCTGCATGCCAGGATAGATTCAAAGAAGAGTACTCGGTCTGCAGGAAGTCACTTACGGTTCGGCCGAAAGGCATTTACGGTATTCACTGGTTCGTATTGCTCATATCCTTCCAGCAGGTTGACCATCGAAGCCGAGGTGTACTCAAGCGCCTTGTTCTCTCTGATCTTTGGTACAGCGAGGGGTGTATTCCCTCTTGGTGACTCCGGTATGCTGTCCATGCTTGCATCAGAGTTGAAGCTTCCAGCGCTGTTATTTCGTCTGGCCGATGGCGGCTGGTAGCTCCGGCTTGTGGTGCTTGAGCTCACGGAGCGCTTGATAATCTGTAGTGGCTTCGGTACGACCTCATCCTCGATAGAACGGACGTATCGATGGCTAGTGCGATAATTTCGCGAGGACGAGCCGGTTATGTCTGCGGTAGCCATGGTTGACAGCAGCAGCAGCAACAGTTTTGTACGCAATTTTGTATCGAGTTGGGATTTCGGACAAACTCCACGGTCAGATATGGTGGATTTGCTGGACGAACGGGTTGAGTGAAACTTGCAAGTGGTATGGTAATGAGAAATGTATTTCGAAGTGTATTTGCAAAGATTACTGCTAGTCATGTATGTCGTTTGTCCACCCAAGGACGAATTTCGATAACAATCGAACTGTCGACGTTGATGATGTTCGAGTATATTATTATTAGGTTTGGTTTCGGCGCTTGGAGGATCTAATCAAAGCCGCCTGCCCTCTCATCATCGTCACGCCACATCTCCTCGAGGAAAGCAAAGAGGGAAGGAATACCCAGCCCGCAGTTGCTTCCGTGACCAGTTTCTCACATGTCCCTGCAAACTTTTCAAACCTGAACCGTTCCCAGGGAAGGTGTCACCTTCGCAGAGTGAGGCACACCTCAGAGTTTCGGAACACCGTCGGTGGCAGTAACTAAGGGATAGCACCAAGGGTCCTAAGGAGGTTTTGTTTTGTTCCCTCAACGTCTGGTTCCTCCATGCTGATGAAATTGATCTGCCGATACACCTTTGTTAGCAATAGCCCGTGATTTTCAAAGCTAGGAGAATTAACACAATGCCGTTGACTTACCACTTCATCTGCCGCCCCAGCATTTCCAAACAAGACCGGCTCTGACAAGCTAGTCGCGATACCCCTTTTGACCCTCTCTTCCCAGACACCGTCCCAGTTCCACTCGTCAGGACGCTTTGGCGCGGCCGATTTCAATGTGGCTGAATCTGCCTCAGTATTTCCGCTTGGCGTAGGACTCGTGATGGTCTCATCTATCTTGGCCAAATTTGAGCCCGTATCAGACTTTACTGAAGCGGGAGAAGAAGTCACTTTGGCAGCCTGTTGCCGCCGGTGAGTGCGCCACGCATGCCAAGCGCCCGGATTACCAGCGGCCTCCAGTGGGACTGAATCAAGAACGTTTGCATCGTCAAAGGTGCTACGGATGTACCGGAGGACCTCGTAGGTTGAAACATCCCGTCTGGCAGCTGACCTGTTGCGGCCAGAAGCCACATCTGCGCTGGCTTCTGGTTCGAGAGTAGACTCCAATGTCCCCTCCGTTCCTCTGGCATTCTCGGACCCGTCTTCGGATTGGTTTCCGGTCTGGACCCTGCGAGTGTCCGGCGGCGGCGTCATCTGTAGAGACGCAGGCGGCCTTCCTCGTTGACCACCATCATGCTCAACACGGGACCGACTGGCCCTACCAAACCAGTGCGGGAAGCCATGACGTAGACTGAAGCCTCCAGGCGGAAGGCGCTCCTCGTCGGTGGCACTGACGGTACCGTTGTCCTGGACGTCGGTGCTGTACATGTACGTTGTGAGAGGCGTGATGAGGGGATGGAACATGTCTGTGGAAAAGGTAACCAGGGGCGGCAGGTTCGGATACGAGTCCGGGAAGGAGACTTGGAAGCGGAGGACGGCATTGGCGTATGGACCTACGGAAAGAACCGAGACATGAGACGTCAGCACCTCATGATACACACTCGCTTTCTCCCTCATCTCCTCGGAGATGAACAAGACGGCTTGGCTTCTGTGGACCTCGCCATTGGACCGCCTGCCTTGGGCTTTCCAGTAGTGACAGCGATGGGATTACCTTTGCGCACAAAGATCACGCCCGACCACAGATTAGGGTCACCGGGCGTGAGACTGACGAAGACGCCATTTGGACATGCCTGTTTGAGACCGGCACTGTGTGAAACCGTAGTCATTAGCCCGTTGGTCCCGTTGAGTGAGCTTCCATGAACCGGCCCGGATTCCTGGTGGCTTGCGTGCTGTGCTCGGGGCTGCATGTGGCACCTACAACTCGGCAAGGAGATGCTGCCGTCGAACGGCGGGCAGGTTGCCCATCCGGGAGAATGGCATGGATGTTGTCATTGGCGTCGGGGAATTACCGTGTTACCTGGTGGGAATGTTGACCGGGATGGGGATTCTTTTCGTCGGGGAATGTTTGTCCTGTACTTGGACACACAGCATGCGGGGGAGGAGAGTTTCTCGCCGATATCCCAACTCGCAAGGACCGAAGCAATTCGGGGTGCTTGCGATTAGCTGCCCCTGTGACAAAGTCTTGGTCTAGGTATCGAGAAGAAGAAAAGTCTTGGAGATTCAATACGACGATGGTGCGGAGAATAATTCCTGAATTTCTAAGTAAGCAGGTCGCGAAGTGGCGTGGATGTAGAGGTATGGTGAGCGGTTGTGAGGCGATCGAGAAGGTGAGGTTGGAGCTATGGTCATGGAAGGTCGTCTGCCCCTGACGGTGAATGACACTGAAGCATGCCTAGAGGTACCCCTACTGTGTACACTACCTAGCGGGGGTTGCTCACGACGGGAACAGCAAAGAAAGGGTTAGGGTTAATCATGGTAACGCAAATGTACTCTGCATACTGCACTGTACTGCCGGGTACTTCACATACATTAGCGCTGTCTTTCAGTAAGCTACGGAGATCTCCGGCCAGGCGGGGCATTGTTTGAGTCGACAACACTCAGACATCGCTGCAGTGCAGTGACACCTTCCGTGTCTCTGTCAGGCAATCCTTCCTAGGCTAGACCATGAAGCATGAAAGCAGCTGAACAGACCGACAGATGGGAAACTTTGGGTTGGGAAGTACATACCTACGTAAGGTACCTCTTGCGGCGACAAACGCGGCAAGCGCCCGGGCTTTCGGGTCTACCCTGCTGCAGGCGGACCGGCACCGGAACGGCGACATGAACAACAACGACAGCATTGGCATTCATGATCATGATCTTACCGCACCCTGTCCTCCACTTGGAAGAAGAATCACAGAACGTCAAGCTCACGTCCACGAAAGCCCTGTGCCTTACAGACAGTGCCCGAGGTCAACGCTAGATAGTATCGGGGCTAGACAGGAGTCTAAACGGACGGCTTCTTCGATCCGAGTGGACAAGGGGGAAACCTCAGGAGGAGGAGTCAGGAACACCTCCGTAGGTTGGGTGGACCCCCGAGCACCCGGGCCCGGCCCTGCCCGCCTTCCAGGAATCCCGCCTAGCTCCACGTGTCGCCAAAGTGGGTCGGGGCTCCTCCTTCTCCGGGCTCCTGGGCATGGAACTGGGTCACTGGACTTCGCCTTCACAGACCGCAAACCCACTCGACCACGGCCGGACAAGGGACACTTCACCACCTCAACTTTGTTGCGCAGGCACCACACGCTAGAAGCATATTGGATACCAAACTTCATCACGATGCATTCCGGCGATTGGGTCGACCGTGAGCTGCCAGCGATCGAGACCAATCAGGCCGACCAGCCAGCCACCGGCCTAGGGACCCGACCGGCCTGTTGTTATCGTTGTCTTGAAACCCCTCCTTTATTTTCTTTCTTTCTGGTCTTGCTGTTGTTCCGTCACTTCATTGTACTATACAGGAACCCATCGAGAGGGAAAAAGCAACGAAGTCGGTCACCACATCAGAAAAAAGGCAACTTTTTGCCTTGCCATCCACCGGCCATCTCCTTGACCGCCTCTTACTACAACGCACTTTACACAACCCACGGCTCCATAACACTTCATCATATTATGCTGAAGTAAAAGTCCCTTTTGTGTACACAATGCCATTTCCATTTCCCAGGTACCATCTACAACCTGAAAAGGGGGCTTATGTGACATCACCATCCTATCATACACACCGTCCACGACATCGTATACGGAGTTTTCTTACCAGAGCCCCATCAGATCCTTGCGCAACTTCCTCACTTCAAAGAACTACCGAGTCCATTATCGATACCCCTACCGCCTTGCACACCCTCTTTCATGAGGATACTGTAAAAATACCCTTACGGCCAGTCCGTTTGCTGTTGTGAATACAACGTGCTCGAATCCGTGCTGTGTCTGCGTGTAAAGCAAGCAAGACCGCTAAGCTTGAACAGGTGAGCAGATGGAAAGACCCGGCGCGGCTACAAGCGTCCCTGCCCTTGGCCAGTGCATGGAACCGTACGAAAGCCGGAAGATGTTGATGTGGCCGTCAGACGGAGAAACAAAACATCCGCGCCAAAGAACTTGCTCGGTAGCTTTAACGTCTGGACCCAAGTCGGGCCTCGATCTTGGTACGTTCCTGCTCCTTGAGCTGGGCCAACTCTTCCCTGGAGGCGTCGTAACGCGCAGTCACCTGGTTGAAGGGGTTGTCGGGGTGTTTCTCGAATTCCTTCTTGATCTTCTCCTTCTTCTGGTTCAGGCGCAAACCTTGGCCACTGCCGTCCTGCTCCATCTCTGCAAGTCGTCGTTCCTCAAACGCCGCATATGCTGCCTTGAAGCGTCTCTCGGGATGCCGGTCAATCTTGTCGGCGGCTGAAGATGTGGTCAACGACAACGCATCCAGAGCGTTGTCAATACCCGATGCGTTGAGTGCCGCAAGAGGGCCACTGCCGTCGTCGTCCAGCTGTGACAGGTCAAGGCCCCTTGTCTTCTTGACCGCCGTCTTTGCATTCTTGGGTTGCGTACGCCCCGGGGTGTTCTTCTCTTCCTCCTTCAGAAGTGCCTCCTTCTCTGCCTTCTTGCGCGCCGCCTCGGCCTTTTTCGCGGCTTCGGCCTCCCTGTAAGATAGCTTGTAGTCAGTACCAATGTTCGGGTCAGCTTTATCGCGAATGTCGTAGTCCATCTGTGCGAATGTGCGCACTTCGCACGTCGCCATCGGACTCCTCGACCCTCCCCACCCAACCAACGTATGTGTCCCTCCCGTACTGTAGGAGAGCGCATCGAAGGCAACTTTGCAGTCGCGCAAGGGACTGTGATAGTGCACACTGGATAAAAGAGCCAAACAGAAGCCCACTAGACATTCGACCGGCATCATATCATGGCGGCATGCAATGCGACGCTTCCCCAAGGTTGCACAACGGTCCCGCGGACATCTTCCGATAGCGAGTCGGAACGCGTTCCTGACGGAGGGCAATGTTTTTCTCTAGGAACAGGCGAACAAGGGTAAGGGTGCCTCGATGGGCAAAGCGAGACTTCGAAGGAATGTAGGGGCCGAGATATGGACCCATGAGATGTCGCACGAGGGCACGGAGCCTGCTGCTGAGCGAGGATACAGCCCCCTCCTCCTCCTCCTGTAGCGTCGGAAGGCCGAACAAGGGCCAAAGAACGGACCGGTAAACAAAATCGGCAGTAACGTGGAACCGAACACCAGACTTCATGTTGGACTCACTTCTTAGCGTTGCTCTTGGCTCCCTTATCCCAATCCGCGGCTTCGGCAGCGGCCTTCTTTGCCTCTTCGGCAGCAGCCTTCTGGGCCGCAGCGTCGGCCTTGCGCGCCTGGCCGGCCACTTTCTTGCTGTTGTCCTGACCCTTCTTTCCAGCCATCTTCTTTTCTTGTGTTGTTTGTGCTCGAATCCTTCACCGTTCTCGAGACTGTCGGTAACCCGGTCCTGGCCTTGTTGCGTCGCGCGGACTGGCCGATGGGATCAGCACTTGGTGTGGTTGTCTTGGTTTTGGGGTGGCAGGGTTATCGATTTTTTGCGCGTGCGGGCGTGACGACTATGGGCCAACTATCGATGCGGTCTTGATCCGGTTGCTGGCGAGTGTCTTGCTGTTGGTTTTCTAGTGTGTGTAGGTCTCAGCCTGGATGATCTACACGAAAGCAAAGTTGGATGTTGAGTTGTCGACGTCTTTCTTTGTCAGTGGTGGGGTTAAAGCCAAAGCTGCTCGTAGGGCGCGTTGAGGGGGGTGACGTTTTCGATTACAGCTGCCTTTTGGTGGGGCCAAGGAACCACGAGGCTTTAAGACGTTCCATGCCGCCTTCTACTGTGACGCATTCGCCGAGCGTTACGTGCAGTACAGTACGTCTACTTCGCAGCCTTACATACCGAAACGTACCTGGCTCCCTGGTAACTTGCATGCTCTGCATTACGTTACCATACCGGACTGCCCGAAAGTTATAATCGTACGGTAAATTACGCGCACTCTTGGTCACCACTGCGATGGCATCCCAGCCAGACACATGCAAACAACCTCCAACGCGACACCCCCTTCTTGCACCTGCCCGTATCAACGTGCTCTGCGCTCCTGTGTCAAACTCCCCGTCCGATGGAGGCTCTTTGTCGACACACGACATCTTCAAGCTTGCCTTACATTGGCCGTCGCGCGCAACGGTGGCATTGGTTCGTCGATATCTGATCCGAGTTAGTGAAATCATCGGGATCTTAGGAAGACAGAACACACCGCAACTATCGGCATCAGGCCAAGCTGACACAACCACTTGATTCGAAACAAGGCTGACTATGAGCGCCCGTGGCATATCACGACGTCGGATTGTGTGGACGATCTTATAGTTTACGGGCCTTGCGCCGTAGAGGTCGCTCAGCTTACCCATGCCGTCCTCCATCTCCGTGGCTTGCTGGCCTTGCTGGCCTAAGGCTTAGGCTGGATGCCGATGCATTGCCTTTTTTTGCCTAACCAACTGTGGTTGAAGTTGAAAGTCGACTACACCTCCTTCGAGGTTCCGTACCACCTCAGCCTACCATGCCGAGCATATAGTGAGAACTCGGAGAGAGGATCGGCAAGGTCCGCCTCCACAGACAAACACCATCCTACGAGCTTACTACTGTACCTTGGGACCACACAAAAGGTTTCAACAGTGAATGGCGTCCTTTCCCTTTCCTCTCAAGCATGCATTGCCGAGGCGGACAAAAGCCTCATTTCTTGTTCGTCATGGTCCAATATCGGATGATTTTGCTCAGACTTGGGCCCCGTGGGCTGGCCGGATCTTCTCTTAGCTTCTTGTAATTTCATTATTTCATGATATTGTCCGCCGGAACTACTGCGCTCGAGCGTCTTCGCGAGAACAAACATCCGAAAGGCCGTATCTCCGAATGATCTCAGCTCAATGGTTTAGAAATTTTGATTTGAATTAGTTTAGACGATTCCAATTTTCGCCCTGAATGAATGCAATCTCCTCGGACATGCTAGAGCTGATGTCTGTCTTTTCGAAACTTCCTGACCCGAGCTGACTGACCTACGATGGTGTCATGCTGCGAGTCATTGAAGCCGACAGCTAACATGAATGACTATGATGGTGAGGATGCACCTCGGGCGGTGTGCCCGAACCGCCCATGTTGGGTTACACAGGCCATAGCAGTTGTGGTTACCGTACAATGCTGAGTAGTGTCAAAAGTGGTCTCTCCCTAAACGGGATATTGGTTGGGGTGCTTGCATCCCCAAACAGCGGGTGTAAGACCGGAAAAGCTATAGTTAGAAAGCAGGGCAGTAGGTAATGGTACCATCACCTAGAACTATAACGTTTGTTGATTTCACCGGTTTGATCTTCAGTTGTTGTCCTGTGTAAGACCTGGTCTTCATCATGTTATTCAGTGTAGCTTGATTCAGCGTTATGACTTCAGAGTGAAGTTCACGAGACATCATCTAGTTCGTCAACGTCAGCAAACCCCTTGTCTTCTCGTATATCAATGTCAGGGGTTCTTGCGCAGTTTGCGCAGGTATCTGGCGCTATGAAGCCGATCTTGTTGGTGAGTGACTGGTATCAGCAGTTATCGCTAGTTTAAGATACCCTGCAAATTCCCCATAGTTGATACTTTCTATTTCTCTTGCGGGCTGTCAGTTGGTTGTCAGTTTGGCCTCGGCTCTGGCCCAACGACTCTCTCTGACCTATAGTTCACAGTACTATATCGTGTTAGTAGCACATGGTACAACATTCATCAACTCTGGTATTCGCGGGTGTGTTCTCGCCCTTGGAAAAGTTCTATTCCGATTCAGCCGGCCACAGGAAGGTGTCGTAAGCACATGGGGGGGCATGCTGTCCTGTACCAAACTTCACGGACTGTGGTTCGAAAAGGGACTGGTACCCATATTGGTTAACATGACATCCTGTTGATGATTGCTTGGGAAAAATGAACAGTGTTACGACGAAACCAATATGTTTTGCATGCATAGCTTCTTGTGTGAACTTGTTAGATGGTGGAATTCACCACATTCTTTTTTTCGCTACGAGCGATATTACCTACAGCGCAAAGGCATTTTACAAGCGTCCGGGCCATAAAGACTAACGCTAGATTGTGTGTAGGGGTCACATGAACTAGTGATGACCCTCTTGATGGTGGATTAGCGAAGTGCTTACGGCCCGCTGGTGTTAATATCACAGATGATCTCTCATGTTGAGTCTGTTGGGCTGATTTCATGATCAGTAATCATCCTTTCAACTCGTCGGAATAAAATGACAGTTGAATTAGCGTATCTAGTCTGCTTGAGCCTCCCATTCACTAACGAATCAGCATGGCTGACACTGGTAAAAGGTCTCAGTTCTAGTTGCTCTTAGTGCGAACGCACCCAATTTGCAAGGCTGATGTAGGGTTTGTGAACTTCCTCATTTGGCGGTAACGCTGACTGTGAACGGCAGTGAATGGTCCAGTCACTGATGGTTGAAATTCAACTGCGCGACGGCCCGAAAAGAGCTATCATACGCTCGCAAGAAAGGGTTCGAATGACAGGTCACCCAGTTGAACCTACCTAATCTTCTGTGAGTGAAACAGATTGGGTATCGAGTTTTGTATGTTCCTCCTGCCCGTTCGTTTACACTGAAAAGTATCATCAAGATGAACTTATGTGAAGTCAAGCAAGGACGATTCCGCATCCGGATACCGCTTCTACTCACTCAAACCGGTTTTGCTCGAACAGGTATAGCGCTATGATTTAGTCCTGATCGCAACTGATCCAAAGTGGCTACTCAGATGCTTGGGGCGCTTGAGAGATAGACATTGGTGGATTCGGAAGCATTCTTTGCACTATCGCGCTGGACTTTGCTACTCTCAGTTAGGCCCGGAGCTGAACAGGGGTTGAGTAAACCCGGTTTGAGTTACAGAGCTACCCGCATAATATATGTGGTCAGACGACTGACAACGTTCACTGTTTGGGGAATGAAAGGTTTAGAGATGTAGTATCCGACTCTTTCAATCAACGTGTGCCTATCCTATTTCTGTCATATTCTTATGACACCCGCGTCGGCCGATCGTGTGGCAGCAAATAGGAAGGAAGGTGACGAGACCTGCTTTCTATATTTTGAAGCATGCGGGTAAGACTCACATAGGTAGCTGAGAACACCATCAGTGCCTTTTGCAATGATATGCATGTCCGAGCTGTTATTCAATGCCCAATGAAATCCTCTCCATGGACCGTTTTGGGTAGAGCTTCTGGTCAAGCCATGGAGTACCCTACTTGGCTATCCTCGGTATAGGGACAGAACAAAGCCGCATGCCCAACGTATGCTGAAATGGGAGGATGGTGAGCAGAGCCAACTCGTAGTGAAGTTTGTCCGAGAGTGTCGTCCTCCAAATTCATCCTGTCACAACCAGGCTGCTCGATGCATGGGCCTGAGCTCAATGACCGGGTTCATCACCGGCCCTCCATGAGCACTCGATAGTAGCCCAAGTGCATTGCGCAGTCAAGGTAGACATGCCACTGTCCTGGGTGACATCTGCTCTCGAGCTAGCCCTCTCTTAGCAAAATCCGAGTTAGCAAGTTGCTCATATGCGAGTGACGCTAAAGTTCAGACCTAAGACATCTCAATAGCGTCGAGACGCCGTCTGCGGATGTAAACCCTAGTCGATAATCAGCTTGTTAACGAAGCCGATGATGGGCACGGGCTACTATCTTACGATATTTGCATGCTCCTTCAGCAGACGGACACAGCTTGCGCCCCAACAATCACCGGTGCTTGGCCGTATCAGGAGGTATAAAATGCAGATCTAGATCCAACGGATGGCTGCCTCTCGTGATGGTTCCTCGCTAAGCTGGCCTAAAGCCGCAAGGAGTAGCGGTTCCCGCTTGTTAGTGATCAGAGAGGATCTCGAAGGCATGTTGGCGAGACCACCTGGGGCTGCACCGCAACAGAGCCACTGGGCAACACAATCATGCAATTTCCTGCCAGAATGGATTAACAGTGGGTCTTGGATTAAGTTGAAATAGGTAGCAATCCTTTGTTTGTAGCTGTATCGCAGTAGGTGCCGTGGGATGGATGTTAGCGCTCGGATGCTGAGCAAAATAAAGAGGATATCCGGCAGGGTGTGGATGGATTCTCGCCGTTTCCTTCCAGGGCACTTGCGGCCTGGGGGTGGTCCCTAAGGTACCTCTGACCCAAAATGAATTTCTACACCAAAAACAGGTAAAACTCAGCATCAGCACTTAGCTGAAAAGCAACCACGAACTTCATAAAATCAAATACAAATTCGTATCCAAAGAAATCATTAGTTATAAGAATGCCTCAATTATTTTTTCTATTTCCTTTCCCAATGATGGTGCTTTTTAACTCTACCAACGTTGAACATAGTAGGTGAGCAATTTTAGAGACTACTATAACCCTCTGTAAAGGCGCTATAACTTTTTTGGTTGACATTTTGGAACTTTGGGACAATATTGACCTTGCATGGGAAGAGAACTCGTTAAAAGGAATTAGCAATTAGAATGATATTACACTGTATTATCCGTCTCTTAGCTAGGTTTGGTCAATATTTATTTTACTAAGCGATCTTTTCGTGAGTGTACTTCATGAGTTTTGCGGGGATTTGGCCATTTGGGTCAGACTTTTGTCCCCCCACTGTACACAGTAGAGCCGGAGGTACCTGCCCTGTAGTGACGTACATACCTCTAGGTACTGTGAGCATTTGGGTGCTCGTGGCGGGCAGGCAGTTGCGAGTCCCACCGGCAGCGATAGCGCAGGTGCCACTGGTGGCAGCCCACCGCCCAGGTTTCCAGTTGTCAACCTCTCAACTTAGAGGTAACTCGACCTTTTTGCAATCAACAACTCGATGGCCTGAAACTGCGATACCCAAAGCTATCACCGCCATCCGTCTCACCTGCGTTCTTGATCGAACCTATCATTTCTTACTCAATTTAATACCCCCGCGACGCCTGTCTCTTTGCCTCATCACGTTATGGCCTCTACCTCTTAAGCTGTCCCGACAGTGTTGTCCATGGACAAGAACACCCTGATGGTACCATTTGTCTAGTGCCAGAGACACGGCCGCGATCCCCAGCCATAACCATCTTAATCTTCTACCAATCTTGCCTCAGTTCCATGTATTTCATGGGAATTTCAGAACCACCCTGGCGGAACTTTCTCCAAGCTTGGTACCAGGACACGAAAAACACCATGGGAACTAAAGCTCTAGCCCAGACGGGGCAGAGTCCGGCGTCACCCCTTGAAGATCCAAACTGAAACCGATTACTGTTGAGATCACCGTGGCGTAGATGAGGAAAGTGTCATTAGCTACCCTCACTGCGGCCCACATATCCCAGGCGAAGCCTTTCCATATCCTCGGGACAACTCGACCACCATCAGACTAGCGCGAATCGAGCTCACACTTCAAGATCTCCCTGCTTCGTCCGCAGTGTCTGCATCTTGTTAGGACTATGCCCCGCCACAGGTATGCAAGCCTTTACACTCCGAGTTGTATAACGTCCGGGCACATACTCCAGATGTTGTCCTGTTGACGAGATGGGAGGTTGTAATCTTTTGGAAGTTAGAGCGTTCTGCAAATCACCCGCCGGACTTGCATAATTTCTCGCAAGCATGCCTGCATCATACATCACCCTACCTTACATTGTATGGAAGTACCGTTACCTACCGCTTGTCAGTATACTTTGCCGCCGTACGCTAGTACCTGTCACTGAGAAACCTAGTAGTCGCAAAGTGTCGTGCATCTCAGAGGCCTCATATCTATCCCTCCAACTGCCTTTAGCGCTTCTCTACAACATTTGAAACGAGAAAGCCTTTCACATTTATGCGTGAACCATCTCTATCCTTGTAGAGAAGCCAATATTGAACGGGTACGTCTTCTATAACAGCTTCGATTTACACCTACAGATTTGCTAATTTCCAAAGTTTGGTACCAGATAAAAGCTTTGTGGTCGTGTGACCTTGGCTCCTTGGACAGCATCGGCATGCTGATTCCGTTAGAAGTCGACCCAGAAGCCCCTCACCCCTCTTCTCGGCAAGAAAGCGAGGGCGGGATGAATAAGAATGCCAAGGATACCCTCCTGAGAGAAGGCCATGGACGATGAGCCTTAACAGGGCCTCTCAAACATATACGTTTCTTCTAGAAGCAGGTTTCCATGCTGTGTCATCATGTTGTGCTACTCAGGGACACCAGTAAGTTAAGTCGCCCTTGAGATCCTATGCTACCTACGTGTTTGCTCATAATGAAGCTTGTAGAATCAACCAAATTTTGTGCGTGACGATGGTGGGCGTGTGTACATCCGAAGAACAGACGGTAAAATCAAAGTCATCCGGCACTTCGGATAGACTTTGGACTTCTGATACATGTCCGGGTTTGTCTGCCGCGAGTACGTACCAATACTTTTCCTACTGTAAGGACCGCCCTGCTGTTATACACTACAGTACGGCTGGATCGTCGGTCCAATCGCAAATGGGTCATCAGATTGGACGGTTTTTACTCCGAACATCGCTCCTCGGACTGGCCAATGAAATGGCAGAGATCAACTTTTCCATGCCACGTTTGAAACGACAGATGGGAACCCACTCTGCTCCTTTCTGTCGGTAACGGAAGGGTTCCGTCAACGATCACTGGAGGCTTGGCATCAAGAGTTCGGGTCCTCCAGAAGCCCACCACGCGATGATGGGTTGAGGTGGAACTGCCCAAAGGGAGGCCCGGCTCGATGCACACCACCTCTGGGCCTGCCGTGCGTCATTTGTGTAACTGGGGGACGCAAGCCGGGTTCCGTCTACAGGTCAAAAGGCTCAACAAACTTCTACGATACGACCTGGTTTCACGGCCGGCTCCCGCCCAGGCTGATCAAACTTTGCTACATACCATACCCAGCCTCCAGAAAAGAACACGACTTCGCTGGCTGGCTGGCACGGCTGGGTATCGTACAAGGGGGGATTGACAAAGTGCTCAGGGGCGGAGTCGGACTTGGTGTGAGTGCGGCAGCCTTGTGGCAGAGGTAGACCGGTAAGCTGCAACTGAGACCCCCAACGCACCTTTCAAGGAGATGGCACGCTTGCAACAAGCAATAAAGTGCCTCCCTTGCCTTGCCGGTGTGGACTGCTGAAAGAACAGCAACTCACCGGTAAGAGCCACGCACCGCTCACTATGAGCTTATGCATATTGACCATGGACTCGGTACATTCACGAGCTGCCTTGCTGGGTGGGCCTGTCAATGTCAGTGTTGAAATCGGGATGGGCTATACACTAAACAAATATGGCGTGAACGGAGCGCTGTGAGTGGTCACCTCGCGTTCTTCCCCCTTGCTCACATGTTGGCACTTAACAGAGGAACGATGGCTAACGAAAACCCAGATTGGTTTTCATTACCATGGGAGCCTGGCTCCTGGGCAGGACAACGAAGTCATCCGCTTGAGGGAGCTTGGTCAATTCGCAGTAATGGTTCCGGATAACCGAAAGATCAGCCTCCTTGGGTCCTGCCAAGCTTTGCGGTCTCAACCCACGGTTTCGCATACACGACATGTGGTTACCGATATCTCCACTGCGTTCCGCTCCGGATTGAAACGCCGATAGTTCGAGTGCGGTGATGCACGGAAAAGAAGTCTAGGAGATGACCGCGACAAGCGCTTACTGCCCCATATTATGTATGGAAGCTTTCCAGCTTAGTTCCAGGCCTGGAGCTCCACCAGGACAGTATGCCAAGCTTCAACCACCGCCCGGTCAGACATCGCATTTTCCAGCACAGTGCACAGTATTAACTCACGGCCCAAGTACAACTCTACACACCAGCTACGGCGTGCTAAAGGTGCTGTGGTTCCAGTGCAACGGGTCGCATCTGCTCGTCCGGCGGGATCCCGGACGGATGCCGCGGTAGCGTGCTGTACAAACAAAGTACTTTTCGTTGGTCTTCAGCAATCAGATCACGTTTCGCGGAGACGACTGGGGTTTTCGCTTCGTGGCATCGGCCCATCTGATCTACAACACATACATATGCGTTCGGACACACAAGCTACGGGGCAGAACAGCGCCAACCCAGCCATTAGACCCTCCGTCTCGTCAGGCATTGACGCAGTGTACAATTGTATGAAGCATAGACGGAACTCCCTCCGACGTCACATGGCGCAGAATGGAGATACGGTTAGCTCTTCGCGCAAAGGCAAGATGATCTGGCTCCGAGGCTATCGGCGCTTGCTACAGCATCGGCTAAGATAGCTACGTTGTACCAGGAGACGGGCTAGGCAAGATAGCCGTTAGCGAAACCTGCACAGTTGTCATCTAACCAGTGCGCAGGGAATATTACCTCGGCTTCCACTTAGATCTCGCTCAAGATCAATAGGGCAGCAGGAGTCCCAGGTCAAAGCGCGACTATACACCTGCCTACGTCCAAACTACTGCACGGCGGGAGTATCCAACGTTGCCAACGGTCTTGAGTCCGAACTCAAATTCCCTCATTACTATAGCCTAGTGGCATATGTTTGCGTTACTACTTTGCGCACAGGACGGAACAGGCAAGTCCGGAGGGAGAGAAATAAGGACAACGATTCAGTCCGTATCACATCTTGGCTGGAACATCGCTCTAGCCGTCTAGGGAGGTCTTGGAAAAGCTCACTGATCCGTGATGAAAGAAAAAGGCATAGCCAGGGCAGGACTAGGTCGGCCCCTTGCTGGCAGGTCCCTATGTAAGTCAAGGTTTTCCAGGGTCTTGGATGGTGTCATTGCTCCAATGATACAATGCGCCAAATCCAGCAAAGTTCAAGCTGCAAAGCGCATCTTTTTTTTCTGTTTCAGTACCTGGCAAGCGCTGGAACAGTGGATAACAACAAGCTTCCGCTCTTTCAATACTGCGTAGCCTTGTCCTATACTCATGCTTTACAGTCCTTCGGCTTGAGGCCGGCGTGATGAATTTTCGAGCATTTCACATTACAACCAGCACAGTGAGCAACCAACCTACCACTTACTGTGTACTATTCCATGCATGCAACGCTTTCCCTTCTCGCGTGTCACTGATGGGGCTCCCTGATGGCTGATCCCCAGCCTGTTCCTTCAGCGCTTCAGGTCCTCTACGCCGGATGCAGTCCCGCGTGAACCTTTCGTTTCCCGACTCGTCCGAGGCGTCTTTTCTTTTCGATTTTCGATTTTTTTTTTCTCTGTTTCCATTCACCGCCTCCCACCCGATCAACGTCGCGAGCCTTTCCTCGGTTCGCAACAACATTCCGATGCATGTTTAGGGTCGGTTTCGGCGCAAACTTGTCCACTTTGTCACTCCAAGCAATTACCCACGCGAGCCGCGGACTGTGGTCCACCATTGAGCTACCAAGACGCTACCCGGACGGGCTTGACTGCTGCTGGGGATCCTGGAGAGCAAGGCCTTGCTTCCTCCACACAAGACCGCCACGCCAATCTCACAGCCTGTCATTTAATCGTCATGCAGTTAGGAAGATTTTCGCTGCTTTGACGAGATTTTGCGGGAAGCGTGGTGCTAAAATGTCGCTGGGATCGGACGTACCATGCCTCGATGGGAATGGTCAATTGGCGCCTCACTTTTGAATCGAGACATTCCCCTCGTTGCCAATGATTGCCTGTCATCTCCTTGCCCGTTACCGGTCCGGTCGACTAGCCCACAAAAGCCATGCACTCAAATGCCGGATCTGTGCCCTGTAGCCAGTACAACAGCTAACATACTCATCCTATCCATACACAGTACTGAGGCGCGAAGGCACGCAGCAGTTGCCTTGTGTCTCAGTTCCTGGAGGTTGCCCATCAACGTAGCTGGGTGATCTTTCACATTGCTCAAAATTGTGAGCGCAGGTCTCAGTCGAGGGCCCTTCATCCTTATGGTCCCGAGGTTGTGGTTCGACCACAAGCACGAAACACTGATGCGCACAATGCGTCCATGCGTAGAAGTACACTGTAGGTACATATCCATGGTTCCATATAAACAACATTAAATATGCATCTCACCTCGCTCGGACTTTCTATCATCATTGCTGCTTGTCTGATCTGTTCCGGTTTATGCTCAAAGGTTACTGGCCAAGGCAGCTCTTGCGGGCATGCCTATTTGTGTATCCCGACCGGTTCGAACCCGTTCGACCTGATCGGCTTGCCTGTTCGACCCATTGTCCGAAGGTGATGCAGCCACAGCTCAGGTGGTGGTGGTGGTCATCAGTCGAGGTAAGAGGTTCGTGGGATAAGGCGGTCTACCGGCCCGCTGTCGTGCAAGGTGTTTCCCAACCCAACCGTACTCTCCTGTCAGCAAGCAATAAAGCGTGTCTATCACCATGCAGCCCAGCCCGCGCGTTGGAGGTGAACAGGTTGCTCGAGGAGCGACAAAAGGGCCCGGCCGGTCTGGCTATCATGCCGCCCCGAGTTTTTTTGGACATGAGTTGAAACCGGGAAAGCTGGATTGCTCACGACTCGCGGACGCAGGTAACCGCTGCTCGATGCCTTCTGAGTCGCAAGGCAAAGGCCCGAAAAGAGACAAAAGGGACAATTAGACGGCTTTGGACCTTGGGGGCAGGCCGGTTATTCGGTTCCGTGGTCGGGGCCTACAGACATAGGTTCTCCAACTCACACGACATGATTTTCATTTCTTCTTTTTGTACAAGACCGCGATACGCGATACGCCGCATTGAGGTTAAGCCAAGCCCAAGGATGGCCACGACCGACCATTACAGCAGCCTCAGGAGTCAGGAGCTCAACATTCACCTTGACGTAGTGTTGCAAAAGCAATGGTAGACCCAAGCGGCCATTTTAACTTTATGGCGGGTTCCATCCATCAAATTCTGCGGCTGAGGGTGGAAAAGGATAAAGCGATCTGAGGGTGGCGAAAAAAGAAAAGAAGAAGAAAAAAAGAAAGAAAAAAGAGAGCAAGAAGAAGGAAGTGGCCCAAACATAAAAACTAGACAACTAGCGTCTACCCGTCATCAATGTACAGTAACCCCATCGTCACCTCAGCAGTGTAGCGCTACCTCGAGGGTACCGCCCCAGATCCCTGGCACGGTCATATAGCACAGGTAGCGAGATGGTGACCTCTGCCGCAGCGTGCGTTGTATTGAGAGACAGAATCTTACAGTTGCTGTAGCTGTGCGGCGCTGAGGTACTGGTCCATCAATGGCACGCCAACAAACACTGTGCGCGGGTTCAGCGCCGGCCATGGATAGCCCTGCATCACCGCACCTCGCACGCTGGGGCCTTGTTCCTTGCCTTGGTACCTGACCTGCTCTAGCTAGTCCGGGGTTTAGAAAAAAAAAGGTAGGATGATCTTGGGCCTTTACTCCTCGCCATGTACAGCAGCAAAGTTTCTTGCTTGTCACCGCTGTTTCAACGTTTCCTACGCCTGATTACGGATACGTCCTCCTCGCTCGCTCCTCCTCCTGGGGCCCTGTTCCCAATCCCAACAGCCATCATTCATGTACGCAATATGCTTGCCAGCGGCGGTCCTCCCAAGGGGTCCACACAACCTCGTCCTCAACGGATGATCTGGTGACCATGTTCTTCTCAGCCCGTCCTGCGCCTTTGGCCGCCTTCTTTTTGGCGATAGCCGCCTGAGATGCTGGCTGGCTCGGTCGGGTCCCCTGCCTGTCATGTACTCGTCTATGACTGCCTACTTACGTATATAGCACGTAGTCCCTTGATCACTCCTCCTCCTCCTCCCCCTCCCAGCTTACTCAGTCCATCTCTCTGTCTCTCACGCCCCCTTTCTCTGGTCACCCCCGTATACCGATTCTGTATACTACATATACACCCTGTCCCACCCCTGCTTCGGCACTCGTCCGTCAGCCTTGGTCCTTGCTGGACTGGTATCTCAACACGTCTTGACGTTTGTCGGTCACTGCCGGCACTGGCCGGCCACTTTGGAGTCTCCTCCAACGGAACAGTAGTCAGCTTCTCCCTTCGGCAACATCCTTTATGGTCCCAGGCACAAACGCAGACAACATGGTAGTTGGACCTGCTCGTACAGTGGCCGCTGTTAGGCATGGAGTGAAAAAAGCTTCAGCCAAGCGGTCACCACCGCCGTACCCGAAGCGGCAGTTGCTTATTCTGGGTATGTCTTCATTCTTTCCCGGTCTTTGTGTGACCACCGGAGGGGAATACCAAGAACATGGGACGACAGAAACTAAGACTAGAAATAATAGCCCTATGCCGGATATGCGAGCCCATCGCCTTCATGTCGATTTTCCCCTACGTCTACCACATGGTCAAGGACTTCAACATCACCAATGACGAAAGCAAAATCTCCATGTACGCCGGTTGGGTGACGTCTTCTTTCACCCTGGCTGAGTTTCTGGCGGGCTTCCTGTGGGGACGACTGAGCGACAAGATCGGCCGGAAGCCGGTTCTTCTGACGGGAATGGGCGGCACGGGTCTCAGCGTCATCCTGTTCGGTTTTGCGCCGAGCCTTCCAGTTGCCTTGCTTGCCCGTGCTTTGGGTGGAATCTTGAACGGGTGAGTTTTCAGTCACGAGGAAACCCGGTGCTAGTACTCGGGGGAAAATCGATCTGAGCTGAGCTGACATTTGGGGGGACAGTAACATGGGTGTCTTGCAAACCACTGTTGGAGAGTTGGTGACTGTGAAGGAACATCAGCCACGGGCATACACGGTTATGCCTATCGTGTGGTGCATAGGGTACGATTTAACACAGCAGAAGCCCACGTCAAAAGCTCGAAGCGTGCTAACTCTTTTACAGATCGATTGTTGGCCCTATGATTGGTGGTACGCTTGCGAAGCCAGTAGATTGGATCCCGACCGTCTTCCAACGCGGGAGCATCTGGGACCGCTTCCCATATTTGCTGCCTAACCTTTTCAGCGCTATGTGTGTGTTCTTTGGGCTTGCTGTCGGCTTTCTGTTCCTCGAGGAAACCCACTCCGAAAAGAAGTATCGACGTGACCGTGGTGTCGAGTTCGGCAAATATCTGACGTCTCGCCTTTTCGGAAAGGACAGCTGTTTCCGGCGACGACTCCGACGGGGAAAGAATGGGGAGGATCAGCCTTTGCTTGGTGAAACGGACGAGTCGCTGCCTGGATACCGCACCGCAGATGGATCGCCAAAGCTCACTTCAGTCGAGGGCCCGATTATGCAGGAACCGCTCGATCTTGAGTCGACGGGGGAGATTGTGGAGGCCCAGCCAGAGAAGCCGGAAAGGACTTTTACCAAACCGATCATCTTCATCATTATCAACTACGGCCTTCTTGCTTTGTAGGTTCACACTCTACTGCAACGGAGAAGTTGGACGGTACTGACTAAATTTGCTTTATAGCCACACTATGACTTTGGATTCTCTTCTCCCGGTCTTCCTCAGCACCGAGCCCACGGGTAGCCAGGACAGCTGGTCGCTACCATTCAAGTTCGCAGACGGCTTCGGATACGACACCCGAACTGTCGGCATAATCCTGTCGGTCCAGGGTCTCTACTCGATGATCTCCACCTCGTTCTTCTTCCCCCGGATCACCGGTCGCCTCGGAGCGCTTCGCCTATTCCAGATCATCTCGATGTCGTACCCACTGCTTTACTTCGCCACGCCCTACTTTGTTCTGCTGCCCAGCAGCGTGCGCATGGCCGGTGTCTACATTCTGATCATCTGGAAGTGCACTCTCGCTACAATGGCATACCCCAGCAACGCGATCCTCCTGACCAACTCGGCACCTTCGACCCTGACGCTCGGAACGATCAACGGCGTGGCAGCCTCGATAGCCAGTCTGTGCCGGGCCATGGGACCCATCGTCTCGGGATATCTTTACACGGTCGGACTGCGGGTGGGATACTGCGGCATGGTTTGGTGGTTCACGGCCTTCGTGACGATCGGCGCGTCGTTTCTCAGCTTCGGCATTACTGAGCCCAGGGGAAGGTTGGATGAGAAGGAGGAGATCGAGGAGCCTATTGCTGCTGCTGGAGATTTGGCAACAACGAGAGAAACGATCGAACCGGCGGCCACTGAGCAACCCATGGCCATCAACTTGGCCCCAACAACAACTCAAAGAGACTGATACCCGTACGCCGCAAGACTGGCGTACACAAACTTTTCTTCTTGTTTTTTATCCTTTCAGTTGAGCTTTGTCTTATTTTTCAGGGTCGGCGTTTGGTTGGGTATATATATCTGGACAGTGAACTCTTAAGGCTTTTCTGTGGACACGCATGATGTCTTGTATAGAGTTTGGAGCGTGCCGGTTCGCCCATGGTCTTTTTGTTTTCTGGTTTCGGGTCAAGGTCAAGGTGTTGGGCATTGTACAAATCTAACGGTCGTTCGCTTTATTTCGCATACTCAGTTCTCGGGTATACCATTCGGTGTTTTTGTACGGAATGGGGACAGCCATGGGCAAGAAAGGAATTGGAGTCGGTCGTTTTTTCTGGGAATCTTGTTGTACAGCATATGGGTGATTTTTCCTCCTGGGTTCCATTGTATTTCTCAACCTGTAAGCAACGATTGTATACGATACCCTACAAATGTCTTGTAATCTCGAAATGGTGCTTGCTGGATGGGCTTATCTGATCTGATCTTGATCGAACAAATGGTATCTTATTTGTAGATGCCAACACGTTTCCGTTTTGAGAGATGCTGATATGCACATGAAGATATTCTCTATAGGAGACCGCCCAGGTTGACCCAATAGTGTGCCAGGTCTAACAGGAACAGACCAACCGGTGTTCTGATTGGATCCCAACGTCAACCTCGGACGCATCTGTGATTTACGTAGTAGGGCATCTCTTGCAGACAGGAGGGAGTGGGGGTTTGTGGTTGGTGATTCGCTGAACGCTAGGGTCCTTATCAGGAGGTTGTGATCGTGACTGAAGCTAGCCAGCCTAGTGACGTGCGTATTATTCTATAGACTAGAGGTATCCTCTCAGACCTCCCTGGGCGCAAAAGTGGCTGGGCTGCTGGGGTGGATGAGCAAATATCTAAGTTCATGGATTCAAATCTCACACCGCGCGTCTTTTTGGACAGATATTTATATGTTCCGAAGACATTCGATCATGAAGATTGAAGTCCTCTCCGTGGTTGGTCTGTGTTGCGGAAGGAGTGTCCAGTGCAATATGAGGATGGGGTCACCACGGGCTATATAACCCACTTGAAAGACAAGGTAATGTCTTCGTCTGCTGTCCGACATGCTGTGCTTCTTGACACGTCTTGACTGCTCCAATAAACCGGTAATGGGTACGTGGTATGTGAGCATGAAAGTTCTCGGTGTTTGGACACAGCTGAATGGAGTTCATCCGTTGTGATGGTTTGGTACCTGTCCTGGCTGGGTTGCTAGGCGCATAGAGCAAGTAGGGGTAGTGTACTATCTCAGGTACCGGTACCTTAGTGCCGCCCCGCGATGTCCACTTGGCTGGGTTGCAGAGCCTACGACGCGCACCGGAGAGGGACCTATCAACCTCTCCACTTACTATCGACGTCCGCTATCCACCTACCCTCAGTACTAGGCCCATTATCTACAACTGCGCCGTTGCCGCTTTCCGCATGCCACCCGCGTTTGGTTCCTCTTGCATCGCATCGTAGCAAAAAGTCGGCCGAGTTCCAAACATGATACTACCGTCCGTCAATGGAGTGTGACCCGCGACGAAACCCGGACGTATTCGACCCTGCCCGCGCCAACAAGGATTGCAACTTTTTTTTCACGGCTCGACCGCGCAAACCAACAACAGCCCTTTGTCCGAAGATTGAGGTAACGGTTGGGACATCACGAGGCTCGCTTCTTGGGTCCTCCGTCTTGGTTACCACTCACTACCGTTCGATCTACCTACCCCATTCAGGCCACTCATTGTCGGTCAAGCTTCGGACCCGGATACGCAATCCCCAACAAAACCGACCAACGCAACAGCCCAGCAGCTGGAGAGGTAGCAGACGCGAACCCTGATCCACGCGCCCACGTCTCGCACGACAAACCGGACCGCACTGCGAGCCCGGTCACACAGGGACGGCGGGACTGGATTGGAGGTGCACAACTGAGCAGCCTGGCATGATGCCGGCGCACACTCCTCCGTCCCCGAACCACCATCCAAACAAGCGCCCGCGCCAATCGTCCCCGGAACGAGAGTCTCCGGCTTCGGTTCCGTCCGGGGAAGCCCCGTCCCCCGCTAACGAGCTTCTGAATGACGGGTCTGGCGCCGCTCATGGAGGCCAGGGAGGCGGGTCGACGGGGGGCAAGGCCGGACAAAGCAGCAGCTTCCGCAACGTGAGCGCTTGTAATCGATGTAGGCTTCGCAAGAATCGCTGTGACCAGAAGCTACCGAGTTGTGCCAGTTGCGAAAAGGCCAATGTTGCCTGCGTTGGCTATGATCCCATCACCAAGAGGGAGATCCCGAGGAGGTCAGAACCCCCCCGGCCGGGACCCAATTTGAGGTTCCCGCCATAACCCATCTTCACCACCGCTTCGCTTTCTGTTAATAAATAGCAGAAAGTACTGACGTCGTGCTGTTCCAGTTACATCTTTTACCTCGAGAAACGAGTAGAGCAACTGGAAAATCTGCTCAAGGACAACAACATCACTTACCCGCCGGCCGAAAATTTGGACTATTGTTCCAAGAAGGGAGATAGGCCGCGCCATGCCCACTCGACCCATGTGGACACGAGCGGGCATCCCTCACAACTAGAAACACCAGATACCACCAACAATCAAAGGCCGCAGAATGAGGGAGATGATGTGGTCAGACTACAGAAACTGGTGTCCAAGTCCGACCTTGCTGGCGTATCTGCAACGGCAAACCCTCGCTATCTGGGATCTACCTCGGGCATATCGTTTGCACGCGTTGTTTTCGCCGCGGTACAGTCGTCGGTATCGGACCAGAAGTCCACCTCAGAGAAAGCTGGCATCCGACCCTACAAGCCTGCTCCCAACAATGGCCCCGCCACCGCCGGAACGTCTATGAGAGACTCCTTCTTTGGCTTGCATACAAAACCAACGATCCACCCGGCAACATTCCCCAGCAGGGCATTGGGCGAAAAGCTGGTCTCGCTCTATTTTGAGCATGCGAACCCCCAGATTCCTGTGCTCCACAAGGGCGAGTTCATGGTGATGTTCGAGCAAGCTTACGCCGAAAAAAACCGCGTACGGGGGCCACGAGAACTCTACATGTTGAACATGGTCTTCGCGATAGGCGGCGGCATCATTGTGGGAGAATCGACCAAGGCCAGTGGATCGGCAGAAGCGCCAGGTAAAACTGATGACAACACAAGACAGTGCCAGCCAGAAGAATATCATGCTAGTGCCATTGTTCATCTTGAGGCTTGTCTTGGCAACAGTGCTGGTGGATTGGAAGAGTTACAGGCCGTCTTGCTTCTCGCCAACTTTGCCTTGTTGAGGCCGGTTCCTCCCGGGCTGTGGTACATCGTCGGTGTCGCCGTCAGGTTGGCGGTCGATCTCGGCCTACACTACGAAGACGGTAAGGACATTGAATCCGGTCTAGGGATGGGAGACCAGAGCGAAGCATTCTCGCGGGAAAGGGGACGACGGGAGTACATGCGTGATCTACGACGGCGTCTGTGGTGGTGCACCTATTCACTCGATCGCCTGGTCAGTGTTTGCGTCGGCAGGCCATTTGGCATATCAGATCAAGTCATTACCACAGAGTTCCCCTCTCTCCTAGATGATCGGTTCATTACGCCAAGCGGCTTGCTTGAACCACCTCCCGAAGTAATAGGACCGACTTACAAACTCATCGCACATCACTATTTCCGTCTTAGGCTGCTCCAGTCAGAAATTCTTCAAGTCTTGCAGTTCCAGCAATCCCAGCTTGCGCGGGCCTCTGGGCTGAACCAGAAGAACCCTTATATGCATACTTCTCTTCCATCGCCGTTTCTGTCACAGTTCGAGACCTTCCGAGCATGGCGCATTGATATTGACAGGAGACTATGGGAGTGGAAAAACTCTGCACCAGCAAGGCAGCAGACTGGCGTACAATTCTCGCCTGAATTCTTTGACCTCAACTACTGGCAGGCTGTCATCATGCTCTATCGCCAGAGCCTAAGTGTGCCGGCCTTGTTCGAAGGTGAATATCACACTTCGAAGGAGGTCAACAGTCCCACAATGTTCAACATGGAGCTTCGGGAGGATGAAGACCGCGTGTACCTCAAAGTCGCCGAGGCAGGTCAGCGTATCCTGCGCCTTTACCGCCAATTGCACCGTGTGGGCTTGGTCAACTACACCTATTTGGCCACCCACCATCTTTTTATGGCCGGAATATCTTATCTTTATGCGATTTGGCATTCGCCTATCGTGAGGAGCAGACTTGTAAGGAAACACGGCTTTTCGACGATTCTTTAGTGTTTTTTTAATGCTGACATCAGACACCCTCTTCATAGACCGTAGACGAAGTCGACTTCACGATTCTGGCTGCCAAATCCGTTTTCACAGACCTGATGGATAAATGTCCGCCGGCTGAAGCTTGTCGGGATGCTTTTGACCGTACCGCCAAGGCAACCATCAAGATGGCAAACTCGACTGGAGGCTTCGGCCAAGGCCAGGATTTGTCCGGCGAATATGGAAACAATACTTACACGCGACGTCCTGGAGGAAGCATTGATCAGCGTTTCGACTGGAGCTCACAGAGTGATTCTGCCGCTTCTAGCTTGCAACACTATAGAATGCAGCAGCAACAACAACAACAACATCAACAGCAGCAGCAACATCGCCATCACCAACAACAACACCGCCACCACCCACCAATGCTCCGAAATCCTTCGTCACAGTACAGCGATCTCGCTTCTGACGCCTACTCCGTCTCCTCAGCATCCCAACTTTCTGCCTTCCAACAAGCCGCACAGTTCCGCATGTCCGGTGCCGCCGCCGCCGCAGCCGCCATCAAGAGCGAGCAGGAAGGTGGCTTCTCTCTCATGCGAAACCTCCCGGCACCACCCCGAAGCAATGCTAGCTCTATTGCAGAAGGCGGACCAATAGCTCAAAGCCCAGCAGGCGAAACCTCCATCGATCCATCCTTGATGCCTTCGCCAAGCGCCATCCAACAACACCAGCAACGGCAAGGACAAGGACTTAATAACCCCTTGACGCCGCCTGCTCCTATGGGCGGATCGCCCATTACAGGGTCCACCCCGCAACAGCAACAGCAACAGCAACAACAGCAGCAGCAGCAGCAAGCATACGCCAACAGTCCCGGCGCACTAAGCTTTAGCGACTTACAAGGCTTAGAGTTCTTGCAAGGTGTTGACGGCGGCGGCGCTGGTGGTATGGACGGCAGTAATGGGGGAGATCTTTCGAATCTGAACATGAACTTGAACCCGGCTGAGGGGGTGGGGCAGATGGACCTGGGCTTCGGCATAGGGTGGGAAGGAAACCATCATGACTTTAGTGATGGCCAGCAGTTGGATCTGTTTGAGGGATTCTTCTTTGGTGGGCAGCAGGGTGGTGGCGGTGGAGGGAGTGGAGGAGGGGTGGGGGGGAATCAAGAATGAGAGAATGAGGTTGATGAGGATGGTTAGGTTGACGATATATACCACGAGCAAGGCAAGGGGAGGAAAAATTGGTAGAATTATTGTTGTACGAGACCTGTTGATATTAGGGACATCTACGCAGACAGCCACATGGAACTTGCGTCCTTTCAACTAGGGGAGAAGGTTATATGTATGAAATGATAGCGGACATCCAGAAGACAAATACCAAGAAGGCTTGAGGAGCTGATAAGGGGATGCGGAGCTTCAATTTCCACAAGGACACTTTAGGTCATATGGAAGCAAATGCATCTTTTATCACATCAATCGACGTGAGTGTGAGATCAGATGGATTCATTCACGATGAATTGTATTTATACGTTTCTTTTTTCAGCAAGAAGCCCTTATATAGGACCACGTGGGCATAAACGGACAGATAGCGGAGCGCGTGAGTTGAATGGGTGTATTGCAAGCAAATTGATTATCAATGACCCCCAGACTATGTTATCACACTCGTCAAGTGGATACTTCTCATACAGCCTTTGTGATCGTTCAAGAAAGGGTCAGGATACGCATAAGCCTACAAAAGGTGGCAACCTGAGATTGAAGGTAACAATCATGGTATCAAATGAAAGGATTGGCCAACGCGTAATCGCAGCATGGGTATCGTGCAAAACGATAATGCTTATGTGTGGTCTACTTCGAAACCCGAAGAGATCAGTAAATATGTCGAGATGAAATTTTCAAAAACAGTGAACAGAAATATCTTCTAAAGTCGAGATGGCCCCAATTCTTTTCCATATACAAAGCAAAAACAAAGTACGCCCCCAGCCCCCCTGCTCCAGTCCCGAGTGTGTATCCCAGTCCCAGTCCCATTTTAAACTTGTCATTGAGAAAACCTCTCTCTGAAAAAAGACAAGAAGGCTCTCCGATACAAGAAAGTAACCCCCTCTCTCGTGACCACGGAACTGACAAAGACTGTACTACCCCTCTTTTGTGTGTTGCCCGCTTTCTATAATAACATTTCCATATAGACAACAAACCACCCCGATGTGTGGAAACAAAAAGAAACTCCGGCCTTGCTTTCCCGTGATAATTATGCTATAGTACAGATGGTATCAATGTCGAACAGTACGGAAAGGAAATACATGGGGGACCCGATACCACGGTTCGAAAAGGTGTCTGTCTCACTCATAAGACAGAACCCCGCAAGCATCTTCTTTCATCGGGAAAAACGAATAACCCATTCGTCGCCAAATGCACAGTTAGACCCAGCTCTTAGTTTAGAAGCTGGCCTGCTGGCGGCGGGTAGGACGGCGATCGAGGTCCTGAGCCCTGTGGAGGACGTTCTCGAAGGGATCATCGGACTGGCGACGGCGGGGCGGGGGGAGATCACGGCGGTGGCCAGGTCCGCTACCCATGGGGCGCATAGAATGCTCTCTGGTCTCGACTCTCAGACCCTGGACACGGCCCATGTGCTTCATGATGCTCGCGCGGACAGCAGGAGGCTCCGGCAAGCCCCAACCGAACTTGGCGAGGTCGTTGAGAGCATAGACCAAAGCCTGGCGATCGACGCTCTGAAGAGCACCACCGAGGTAGGACGAGTAGCAGTCCCTGAAGAGATCCTCAGGGAGTCTGGATGCCGCATCAAGGATGTGCTCGAAGTTGGCGGGCTTGTCAGCACCGGAATCAGCGGCGTTGACGGAAGCGCACTCGAGCTCGTCGTTACGCTTGATGGGGAGACCGGGAAGTCTGCTTCTTGCCACGTGGAGCTCGATGTCGGGAACGATAAGCCAGCCCTGGCCAGGCTTGTTGGCTCTGCCGGTACGTCCGAGACGGTGAATGTACTGCTCCCTGTTGGGGGGCGTGTGGGTCTGGATGACGTGGGAAACGTTGGGGAAATCCATGCCTCTGGCGGTAACGTCGGAGGAGAAGAGGATACCGGTACGAGCGTTCTTGAACTCCTCGGCGGCACGAGTTCTGGCGCCCTGGGTGAGCTTGGAGTGAATGTCCCAAGTCTTGGGAATGTACCTGAACTTCCACTGAAGACGCTTGAAGATCGCATTGGCCATGATAACCTCAGCGGTAGTAGGCAAGAAGACGATGGCCTTGAAAGGAAGAGCCTCGGGGTTAGTCTTGGACTCGTTGATGGCCTTCTCCACGAGCTCCAGCATGGTCGGGTAGATGTTCTCGAAACCCTTGCAGGGAACGATGTACTGAGGGATACGGTCGTGGGTCAGGACCTCATCGGCCTTGACGGTCTGCACGAACTCGAAGTTGTTCTTGTCGATGTAGCTTCTGGCGAGACCAACAACATCCTTGGGAATGGTGGCAGAGTAAAGCAGAGTCTGGCGGGGAAGAACCTTGCGATCGGGAAGGTAGTTGATGATCTGGCGAAGCTCCTCGTCGAAACCAACTTCGAGCATTCTATCGGCCTCGTCGAGAACAAGGGTCGAGAGTCTGGGGGCGTCGATGCCGCTGTGGCTGTCGGAAAGCAAATCGTTCAGGCGACCGGGGGTGCCAACAAGGATATGGCAGCCCTGCTGGCGGGTCTTGTACAGCATAGCGTTCTTCTGGGTACCACCAACGGCAGTCTGGACGATAACACCGGTTCCCTTGACCAACTTACGGGCCTCCTCTCCGATCTGCTCCGCAAGCTCGCGGGTTGGCGAGATGATGATGGCGCGAATGTCATCAGAACGAGCTCTCTTGCCACCAAACCTGTGGGCGAGATCGGGATCTTGGGCGATGATCTTCTGGATCACAGGGACGAGGAAACCAAGCGTCTTGCCAGTTCCGGTCTTGGCTTGAGCAACACTGAAAGCTTCACGTTAGCAACTGTTGGAAGCGCGGAAATGGAGGTGAAGGATCTGGGCGTACATGTCCTTGCCCTTGAGAGCGGGGCTGATGGTCATAGACTGGACTTCGGTCATGTTCTCGTAACCCATGCCATGAGTGATGGCGCGGACGACGTTCTCATGAACACCCAGGGAGGCGAGGTCGGCGAAGCGGGTAACGAGGCCATTGGAGGCAGCAGTGTTGCTTTGGACAGTGGCCTCGGCCGAGTAGAAGCGGGGAAGGGAGGCCGAGGGAAGGGACTGAACAGCGGCGGCGCGGGTGACCTGGCTCAAGAGGGCGGCCGAGGGCTTGGAGGAGATCTGGAGATGGCGGGCAGCGAGGGCGGCACGGCAGAGGCCGGCCTGGCGCAATACGCTGGTCCTCATGTTGGCGACGGCTACAGCGACGCGACGGGACTGATAAGGTGGCGGCACACACTCGGATCCGTCAACGACTTAGTTTGAGGGATTGATCGTGGGTTGGGACGATAAGAGGCGGACAATCAAACCAGGGAAATCGGTCAAACTGTCGTCGGCGTCGAGTGTGATGGGATGATGGGCGGAAAAGGTGGGAAAAGACGAGAGATGGGAATGGGCCTGGTACCTGCAACAGCAAAAAATTTCCATGGCGTCAAAGTCGAAGCTTGAAGTTAAGATCCCTGTCGTATGAGCCGCCTTTATCTTATCAGCCGTTACTCCGCACTGAACCCCATCTTTGACGTTCAGTATCCTAGGGTACTTCTGCACCATCAAAGAGAGACGAGCTACCTCTAGGTACATAGTCAGGAACGCTGGAAACTAATCCTCTCCGCAAAACATCGATGGGGCCGAACAGGACCCCCTTTGCCCACTTCGACCTTTCCTGGTCCTTGTCTCATACCTCTACGAAGGCGATACACTGAGTATATTTCTTTCTTAGTCTCAGACCTCAAACCTGCTGGACCTCCGAAACGCGCCCGCCCGCCCCACCCCCCACACCACCCACCAATCAGCGGACGGGCACACTTTTTCTTCTCACTTTGTTCGAAGAGACCCACATTCCATGTGGGGCGGGGGCGCGGGGGGGTCGGGGAGAGGGGGGGGTCGGGGATGGGGGGGTGGGGGGATGAGAGAGGTCAATGTAACAGAGACTATTTCTTTCTCTACGTTGTAGAGACACGCAAAGGTTTTCAGGGTGATCACCTCAACTTCGTGTTATGGAATGTCATTCCGGTCGGCCCCGAGTTCCAGCTGTTTCGGTGGTTGGACCAGGGAATGGTTCGGGGCACCTCAGCGAACTTCTTTAACTGGCTCTGTAGCAGCTGTTGTCAGATTGTACGGTTGTGTGAATGTAGAGAATATGGGTTAATCGCTGTATTGATTGAGTGTGTAGAGTAGAAAGACTGTATATACAGGTTGGGGGATCCCAAAGTATTAGGAAGGTTTGCAGCGCTGTTGGGATGGCTGGGAGGCTAGTCCTCTTATAGAACTCTCGTTTTATTGGCTAGATATAGCCTACCAAATTGATATACTTCCCTAATTGAAATCTCTTTTGAGGATAAAGCTAAAGCTATTTATACATCACCTTCCCATTTCTAACTATTTCCTCTACATTTTCTAGCTCAATATAATTTATTATATATCCCTTTTTTTCTTTCTTCTCCTTACTTAAAGTTATTCTTAGTAATTTCCTAAATTTTATATACTTCTGCGTAAATAATACCTTCGTTAAATTATTTACAAGTATTTTTACTATCTTTAAATATTTTACTTTAATAGTCCTAATTATAACCTCCTACTGAAATTAGTATTTATAAATATTTATATATTTTAATTTAATTACTAATTTAGAGGTTTCGACTGTTATTACCCTAATTATTTATTTATTATTATAATTAATAGTAAGGATAGGATCTACGAATTTTATAGTTAAGCCTCATATTAAAAGTATTGTAAAAATAGCTTCCTTTATTATATTTGAGAGGGTAATAAGTTCTACTTCAATCGTTAATATAGTTATAGTTGTTTATTTAGTAGTTCCCTAATATATTAGACCGCTAAAAAATTTAATTATAAAATTATATAAGCTCTTTCGATTTATAAAATTATTTATAAAGGATATATCTAACGTAATTTATAAAGTGTCTTCGCTTTTATAATATAATACTATATTTATAGTAGCGTATAAATAGTATAATATTTTATTTATAGCCTTATAATAATTTACATTAGGGTTGTAACTATATTTAGCGAAGTAGTTTGTAGCGAAAATAATATCCGGTTGCGTTATAATTATTACGTAGAGAATAGAGCCGATTTTAATTTAATATAAGTATATTAATTCATTAAATGCCTTATCTTTAAAGGGTACAAATTCGATATTAATTATAGGTAGCTATTTTACTCTTGTATTATTTATAAAGTAATATATTTTCTATAAGTATAATTATTAAAATAATTAAATCTTTTATACTTTATAATTTCGTATAATTTCGATACTTAAAAATTATTGTTACTCTTTATTTCCTATAAAATATTATTACTATTTAAAATTATTTATATATTTATAAACTTCCTTATTTTTATTATAATAGAAAATAGAAATAATATTATCGATATAATAGAAGACGAACATACCGTTATTAACGAGAATATAGGGTTCTTCTAAGATTGCTTCAAAACCTAAGATAGTAAACGTGTTAGTAAATTCGTATTATTAAAGAAGTAGGGAACGCCGCAATTTATATAACGCTTTTATAATTTTAAATATTTTATTTAATATTTAGTATTTTAGGGGCATACGTATATAGATTTTTTTATTTATATAAACGTTAACGAAAGTATTAACGGCGTTGTATTGAATTAATTCGAAATTAAAACGTATAATTATAGTAATAATGGTACGGAAAAATCAGCTGGCGAATATAGAAGTATATATTCTTTACCCTATTTTCTTCTTTTATTAATATCTTTGTACGACGAAATATACTTTAATTTTATTAAATTTATTATTTTTAAAATATTTATATATATATACCTATATATAATCGAATAATTACTTCCCCTTAATCCTTAATTCGTCCTTATCGACCTCTACCTAAATTTTATCTCTTTATAACTATTAAAATAAACTTACTCTACTTCTCTAAACAAGTTTCTAAAAAGGTAGTAGTTAAAAAATTTATAGTTTTTTAATAGCGGTAATAATTTCTAGCGGTAGATAGTTTAAAGTTTATCTATAAAAACGAAGGAATTGAATTCCTTCTAGATAATAATTTTACTTTTCTAGGAACGGCGCTCTAATTTTACTTTTATAACTACTTTATTATAATATTTAGCCGTAAGTTAATAAAATCTTCCTACGTTAAATACGGCCTTTTATAATTCGAAGCCGTAATAAATTTCGTTTTCGGTATATTTATCAAAACAAAAATTTATAAAAAAGAATGCGGGCGGTAGTATATTAAAAGGAATAGGGTAACTTTTATTAAAAATGAAATTGAAAGATATTTTATTAGTGGGGGAGTTCGAGTTTTCTAATTAGGATTCTAAAGAGCCGCGGTTGGTCTCTCCTTTTTTAAAGGTTTAATTAAATTCTAATAATAAACTTGGGAGATCGTATATTTAGGTATCCTTAAAATTAATTCGGCTATCTACAAAGTTTAATATTTTTAGTACTAATTAAGATTAATTATATTAATTAAATAATACTATAAATTAGTTAAAGGTGATTTATAAAGATTATATTTCTTTTAATACTGCCTTAAAAAAAGTGTATTTTCGTTAAATAATATATTGCGGGTATTAATAATCGTATTTGTAATTGGGTTCTAGATTCAGTAAATTGAGGAGGTTATATAATTAATAAAGTATTTTATTTAAGTTTTAAGGTTTATTTTTCAGCGTTTTTACTCCTGCTTCTAGGTAGCGGTAATTATTGTATATATTTTATAATTATAAATATATAGGTATATTATATTTAATTTACGCGGGGACGACGTATAGAAGCTGTTTCGGTAGGCGATAAAGCTATAGAACTGTTTATAAGGGGATTTCTAATTATAGAGCTATTTAAGCGATTGGTTATTAAAATAGATCGCTATAGAAATAACGTTTAGCTATAAATCTTTCGCGAAATATATATTTAAATTTATTATTCGAAATCTCTCTTTAATTATACTTCCCTAACGCTCTACGCTATTATTTTATATTTAAGTATTTAGAGTAAAGGGTTTTATAATTATACTTTTGAAAATAAAGAGGTTTTTTATTACTTTAGAGCTGGTAATTTCATTATTACATTCGATAATTTTAGGTTAAATATTAGATTACTTAACGAATATAGTAAAAAGGTCGTTTAAGAAGGAGGTAATAATTATAGCTTCTTAATTTATTATATAATAGTCCTAAATATACCTAGTATATTGGTAAGTAATAAGTATAACGTTAGAATATTCTTAACGGTTCTTATTATAATTTAAGAAATCAATAGCGAATTTCTTTTTAAATTTCTAACTATAATTTCGAAGTTTTTATTTAATCTATTAATTTATTTTCGATATTGCGTAAGCGTTACAATTTATAATTATAAATCTTTTAAAGCGGACCCCTATAACGTTATTAAAATAATTTAATACCTAAGAACCGTAATAATCGAATTGGTAATATTAAATAATAGTTTCTTTTTTATAGTATTTTCGGCTAATTAGCGAATTGAATTAGTTTCGTTGCGTAAAGAAGGCGGCTCTTAAAAAGGTCGAGGAAATATTTTCGAAAATTATTTAATAGTAATATATAGAAAGGCTATAGAAAAGGGAATTATTTAGGACGTGTAAATAATTATTTAAGGATTTTTAGTTTTAATAGAGACCTCTTTTATATAAGAAGTAAAAAAATACGAAATTGGCTATAAAATTTAAGTAGAAAGCTACGTTATTAAATTGAAATTTTTTAAATCTGTTTATTCTTTTTATAATAATATCTATATTTCCGTATCCTTTAATAAGAATATAGGAATCCCTAACCTAGAGCTTATTATTATATAGGGTATAATGAAAATTGAAAAAGCGAGAGATTTTATTAAATATATAGAGAGAATTCCTAAAGTCGAAGATTATGCTATTTTTAAGAGGATAAATATTTAAACCTTCCTTAATATAGAAAGTAATTTTATTAACGTTAAACGCTATTTTATAAATATTTTTCTCGTTAAAGAATTAATTATTTTTATTATTGAATTCGGGGAAGGGTTAGGCGTATTATTTTACTATTTCTCGTTTATAAACTTCGACCTCTTTGCCTAATTCTATATTATCTTCAAAATTCTTTATAATCCTATTTTAAATTTTTTTATTGGGTTTCTAGCGTAGGTTTATAGCTATAGTTAGGGCGGAGAATATATATTAATATTATTTAGTAATATATATACCCTCTTTATATATTTTATAACCAGGGGAATAATTTTTAATTTTTGTATTGCGTTTCCTTTTACGTTAATTATAGGTTCTATTAGGTCGAACGCTTTTACTTTTAATATTATTACCCTACGAATGATTAAAAGTAATACTTATTCTAAATACTCTTTTATACCTCTTAGTTTTAGCCGTAGTAATTAAAGGTCGTTTATATAAGCCTTTATAACGAAAATTCTTAAATATAATATGGAAGTTAAGAGTATTAATTATAATTTTTTCGTTATAGAATTTCGAAATTCTAAATATTTAATTAAGGCGAATAAATTTTAAGTAATCTAGTAGATTTTTAAATTAGGCAACGGCTATTTTAATTTCTAGGATTTTATATTATATAACGTTAATTATAATTAAATCTTAACCGTTAATTTATTTATTTATTTTATTAGAATTCTTATTAAGTTCGTTCGACAAGGGTTTAATATAATTATAATAATATTAACGTACTTTAATTATAATATTTTCTTCGTAGTAATTATAAATACTACGGACCCGGGCATATTATACGGCGGTAGATTTTAAAGGCGCGAAGGAGTTAGCTTTATAATTTAGGTATACGGTTTCCTAAATTTACTTTCAAAAATTAATATTATTAATCTTAAACGATTTATAAATTTTTTAACGGTTATTATATATAGTATCATTATATTTATATTTTTAAACAGCTAAGAGGTTAAAATCAGCTAATTAAATAACGGTATCGGTTAGCTAATTTTCTTCGGACTGGTTGATAACTTCGACTTCGTTATTAAGGATTTTATTGGTAATTATAAAGGTAGCATTGAGGGTTGCCAGGGTACGGTAGATTAGGAGTTTAATTTTAAGGCGTTGGAAGGATTTTTGAATTTCTTCGACACAGCGGGTAATTGTGACTTTAAGGGCGTAATTAGAATAATATAATTCTTAAAATTTAGTAACGGCTAATTTGAAACTTTATAAATAATTAGTAAAGTTTAAGCTTTTAGCGTACCCTAAGAATTTATTATTCTATTTACGGAATTTTGAAGGGGTATCGAGGTAAGGTCGGTTGGATTTAGAAGTGGATTCCTTAGATAGGGACATAATTTCGGTCGTGTAAGGGGTTGTATAAATAAATTTTATACTTTTAAATATATTTGTATAATATAGGGATTGCAAATTTAGATTATTAATTATTAAATTGTACGGTTATATGAACGTAGAGAATATAGGTTAATTATTGTATTGATGAAATATATGGAGTAAAAAGATTATATATATAAGTTGGAGGATCCCAGAGTATTAAGAAGGTCTGTAGCGCTGTTGGGGTGGCTGGGAGGCTAGTCCTCTTATAGAACCCTCGTCTTACTAGCTAGATATGGCCCACCAAATTGACAGCTGTCAGCAAATTCTGCTAGGATCGGTTTCCGTCATGGCCCCACATGAGATCCGCTCATCCCGCAACGTCGGGTCACTCTTCCGTCTCATGGTGACCTCTCCACGCGGGCACATTCAACACCGAGAAACTTGGGAATTGGACATTTGTAAATATGTAGGCTTGAGGTACGATTCTACTCCAACCCGGTCCCAATCAATACCTCGAATATCATGCCGCTATCCCAATAATTCTTGCCGCTGTTGCCGTACTCCTGCTCGCCTACCACAAGTATCGTTCCCACTAAGATGCCTTCAGTTTGACCTCCTCGCGCTCCTCCTCTCCTCCTCTTTCTCCTTCTTGCTTCCACTTCTCCCAGCAACCTTCATCGCCACAAAATCCGCTACAGCACCCGACACCCCCTCATAAACCCATTTGCTAATCGCCTGCGCCGCCTCCATCACGGGTTCCTGATTCACAACGAAGATGACAGCACCAGCGACCGACAACGCGCCTCTCCCCAGACTGCCCGCCACCTCTTGTCCGTGATCCTGGCTGATCTGCTTCATCCTAACAGAGAAACACAAAACCTTTGGCCAAACAAACCAGACCCACCGATCAACCAGGCAGAAAATCCAAAGAAGGAACTTGTGGAGCAAGTTTTCCCTTTGGACGTTCTTGTTGTGTTTTGTATCTGAAGGCTTGTTGTCTTTGGTAGGACTACTCTCTTGGACGATCTTCCTCACCACCGCCGGCGGGATCGCATGCTGCAGTGTGGCTATTTCGGCATTGCGTAGGTCTATGGGTAGCCCGTTGAGCAGGTTCTGGAGACCGGTTATGTAGGTCGATCGCTCGAAGTTGGAGCTGAAGGTGCTGTTGCCACTGCGGCGAGACTCTTCGGCGGCGTTCACGAGGAGACTTGTGCCTGAAGACGGTGACGGTTAAGACAGGAGAAGTTTAATGACTAGCTTGCGAGCAACCCAAACGAAACAGGAGAGTGAATCGGCCGGGTCATGCTTACCTTGCGCCCCATATCGCCAGTCGATTCCCAGTGTCTTTGGTGTTGTTGCAAAAGGCACGAGTCCACGTCCTGGGGTGCTCACTGGAGAGGCCAAGTCGGGCATGAAGTATTCCGTTCCAGCCTCTGACATCTTCTCGGTGGCGGTTCTATCGTCTTTTGATGGCGGTTCTGTCGAGATAGGTGTGGACGGAGCGGAGGCGGCTTTGAGCTGGCTAGGGGAGGTTTCCGTGTCACTGAATAGAGATATGTGGTGCTGGAGCGATGATATTGAAAATACAGAACGCAGTAAGGAAGGGCGTCCATTTGAAGGCGTCAGCGGGACTGCCTTGGGACTGGATGTTGTTCCCTCATTTGAGTTCATGGAGGCTGATTGTTCCTGCATAGCCTTGATGATCTCTAGTTTGTGTTGTGCGAAACGGGCTCAGATGGACCAAACCCAGCTTCTAAAATTTGAGTTTGGAAGGTGCAAGGTCTTGACCAAGAGCGGCTGCAAGATTTTAACGCCGGATGCTGCCACTTTTGAGAGATGTAGGGTTTGACCTCCCACATATGAAAGCTTAGGAAAAGCTGCAGTGTCAGATGCCTCTATGCGAGGGTTGACTCAAAACACCATCCCGCATCTGGTGAAGTATCGGGCTCTCAACCCTATAACTGAGATTGTCTTCATAGAAAGTGGTAATTACGCTCAAACACCAGACACCACTTTGACCACAGAGGACGCTTCCGGTCTATCCGACCTGTTTTCGACACTTTCAGCCTGATGATGCCCAGTTCGTCTCTTACAGTCTATACACGCCCCAAACCGTGACATGTGCGCGAAATATAATTTCAACTCCCTCCAACACCTGTCCACCATCGAAGTTCCCGCTCTAGAGTCGTGTTGCCGGTCCTATACGCTGTTTGTGCCATACAAACAACTGGCACCCCCGAACTCGGCTTCACAGGACCAACCTCGAGCCTCGAGCCTTTAGAACTAGTTATTCCCGCCGGCAGCGCCAGAAGCAGCAGCAGCAGCCTTCTCCGCCGCAATCTTAGCCTCCATTTTCCTTCTCGCCTCAATAATCATCTGATCCCTCCTCTTCTGCAGCAACGACTGCCTCTCCTCGCGATTCGAGCTCCATCCTCCAGTCTTAGGGGCGCCTGCCGTCGCCGCCCCAGCATCATCTGAAGGGGCGCTGGCGAGTTTGTCCTTCAAGTTGTACCTCGTAATCAGATCCGGGTGGGCCTTCTTTTCCGCGTATTTATTGGCGGCGGCTGCGCTTTGCTGCGTGGCAGTTGTCTCTGGTGAGGTGGGTGGGGGCGGAGGTTGGAAGGTGATCGGAGGCTAGTTTGGTTGGCACTCAGGCGTTAGCGAAAGCTCTCGTGACTAGGCATGGAGAACAACACTTGGAATAGTAGTAGTAAAAGAGGTGGTCAACTCACAGTCTCCGTTCTCCCCGCCAGGATCCTTTCCGTCGTAGCCTGCAGGTTCCCCCCATGGCGCTGCAGATCCCACAGGATAGTCCGCCTGTCTACTTGCGGAAACATCTGCTGTATCGTTTCAACCGCCGCCTCCCGTTCTCGCTCCCTCCGTCTTTGCAACTCCTCCGGTGATGCGCCACCTGTCCCGCCCGGCTGGCGATTTGCCGAAGATGCATTCCCGCTAAAGAAGAAGTAGCGTACTGCCAGACCGGTTATCAACAGTACAATCACCAGGGAAGGGAGGTTGATCTCTTCCTCCGCCATTTTCTCGTTCGGTTGTTTCTGGGCCCCTTTCGAAATCGTTCGGTTGCGCAAGGGGGGGTTGGGCTGTCGCTGAGTAACCGGTTCCTTCGAGCGGACAACTAAGGCCGGGAAGTCGTGGAATGTGCTGAGCGATATATACAGATCGGTAGTCTGGTGTTCCTGTCCCGGCGAAGTTCTATCTTGGGTTGTTGTTTGAGAATCTCCGTCACAAAGTGCTTCGCTCCCTAACGCCTGACGTATGATGCGCGTCGCAAGACGATGCCGATGACTAACGGGATTAAGGGAAGTAGCGCGTGCCAAGGGCAGTCGATGTCGACAAGATGTTGGTGGCAAGGAGAGGATGAAAGAGATGAATGCTTTGTGACGAGATATAGTTGATGGATACGGTAGTCCAAAGATAGTGAAGCCAGCGAAGTTGGAATTACATCCAGATGCAAAAGGTGGTTGCCTACAGACGATACACACAGGTGAGAGTGATGAGGTAGCCACTGGCAGTGGAAAGCAGTGACATCCATGGATTTGGGTACGTTAACAACCGCAGTGGGGTCATGCCAAGCCACCAACGTAGCGTAACAATGAACGGAATGATTACACAACTTTCACGTGTGAACAGGAACTGGTAACAGCAAGGAGGTTGCGTGTAATTACCAAACGATCGACGTTCTGTGAGCTTGCCCAGAAACGTAAATGTTTTGATCACAAATGATGGAGCTTGGAAGTAATCTGGATATCAAGCAAAAGTTGTCCCAACCATGATTATTATGCAGATAATGATCTGTCCGGTACGGCTGGTATTCCTATGGAACTGCGCTGACCGAAACCCATGGGATCTCTAACTCATCTCATCTGAGACGAGCCCCTTCGCTATAAACCTTTCAACAGCGCTGTACCCTTAGTTGAATCCGGCAGGTTCAGATCATCTAATAACCTCCTAAGCCATGTGGTCCGCTCAAAGAGCTACCCGGTTTATCCTCGCTAGATATGTCCGCCCCTGCGAGGGATGCGTATTCTAGATGTGTCGAGCTAACCTCTTCCCTATAGCCCAAAGCACGGATGCACCATGCATTCCGTGTCAATGAGACTGAAAGCTTATGCTCCTATTGCTGGCATCGGGACGCCCAGGTTGGTCTCCAAATCGCAATAATACAAGGTAAACTCTCGCTGAACAGGTCGTTAGCATATTCCACGCACAAGCAAAAGACCGAGCCACTGCACGCTACTTACCCGCTCCTTGTGCCAGTTTACGGTGTCCCACACGATATAGTAGCCCCGTTCATGAGCCGGGCTCAGCTGAGCCGTGTTGCCCACCTCGTCCTTGGTGAGCCACACTTGAAGTTTCTTGTGCCATCTCCAGTTCCGCGTGGTTCTGAGTAGATCTGTCAGCTCCATAACAATGACCAAACGGAAGGTAGTGAAGGTAATCTTACAGCTCAGCTGCAGCCAATTGCTGCTTGATATCTCCCGGGCAGCTGTAGAAAATCCACATCAAGGTCTCCTCGTTAAAGCTCTGAATCTTGGCCTCGATAGGTTGTACATTCTTGACCATGTAGCATTCAGGTATCTTGAACTTTGGCACAGCCGGCCTGGGAGGGACATCGTCCAGTACAGAGTAGATTTGGGTGGAATACAGCCTGGAGAAGGTCAGCTTGATACGTGGGCTCGCGGAAAGTCCGGTTACACATACTCAGAAGAGTTCAACTCCAACCCTAAACTGGAAGGATCAATCCCGATAATGAGGGAGTTGTAGTCAGGGAAGTTATTCATCAAGGTGCGCAAGCCCTTCAAGCCGAATTTGTCGATTGTGGGCATGCCCTCCAATGGATCTTGGACTTCATTGGCACGGCCCTTCTCCTCTTCCTTGCCCTTAGCAGACGGAGGATCGTTTCCGATTGCGCCGAGCGGGTTCCTGGTACCAACTGCTTGCGAAGCGGCATCGCCCACCGAAGAGCGTGAAGCCATACCGTCTTCCCGATACACTGGCGGCTTTTGGCGTCCTTCTTCCTCGTTGACCGGGCTCCTTTGGTCCTGCGGACGTCCAATAGCAGTTGGTGAGCGCCCGTCTGCGGTGCGCGCGTTCCCTGTTAGTGCGTTCAACAAGCCGTTATTTGTCCGATTGGGGTGAATCGATGGAGTAGATCCGAATCCCAAGCCTGGCATGCCGCCTAGTTCGCCGTTTGCGCTCCTGTTCAACGGAGGGAAGTCGTCCGTAACGCTAGAGGGTGTTTGGGATGTTTGCCCCGAGTTCCCTTGGTTTCCAAATCTGAAAGCTCCTTGGGCCGATTGTTGTCGAGACGAAAAAAAGTCATCCTGTTGCCCTTGCTGCGAAAGCGGTGTAGAAGGACCGCGGTGAACTGCTCCTCCGAGGTTACGAGCCCCCGTGGACCACATTGAAGCCTGATTCGCCGTTGACAACTGCGACGTGTTGGACAAAGTGGGAAACTCCCTAGGTAATGTTAGCACAGAGGAATACACCAGCTGCAGGGATGACCTAGGGAGAACGAAGCGTGAAGTCATAGGGGAGGGAAGCAGGAGCCGCGGTATTGCCCAAGCCCCCGAGTTTGACAGGGTGAACATGATACCTATGAATGAGGACTTACGACAGATCCAACGGGGTCGCTGGTTGTGACCCGCTTAGACTTTGCGCGAAGCTGACGTTCCCGCCGCCCAACTGTCTGGCAGAACCAGGAGGAACACCAGGACTGCCGCCCATGGGCATGCCCGAGCCAAACGCCCAGCCAGAACCGCCGCTCACGGCCCCTATATCCAGACCAATCGTCAGTCATGGCCCAATTGTACCCAAAGCATATTGTAATCCTGACCTAGCTTTCCGTTCGGTAACCTGTTCGCTACGCCACGCCCAGACTGTTGTGGTTGTTGTTGTTGTCCTCCGAACCCAGACATGCCGCGCAAAGATTGGGGAACTGCCCCTGTCAATCCGAGAGAATGTTAGCAACTATCGACCAGTGGTGTCCACAAACTTCAAAACAACATGTAACATAAGGGGTGTATGTCTGGGGTAGGAGAGACTGCGCCGCTGCCGCTGTAGGAAAGAGCGGAACCGAAAACGTCGAGAACAGCTTTGTGAGAGGCTGGTGAGTGGTGTCGTGACGGGACGCAAAGGTAAATTTGTCGCGGTGGCCGGCCCTTAAAACAAGTCCTGCCAAACACCGTAGTCCGAGTTACGGACAGGACAAAGAAGCAAGCATGTTGACGTCCACGGGCTCGCGCCGACGCCTCGGCAGCGGCACCACCAGCTTGTCCACCAGCCTGTCCATGACCTCGACCCAGCCCAATATCCAGCATCTGTTTCGGGTAGGCGAGTTGTAGGCGGTGGCCATGATCACAGCGGTTGTCGGCGATCGCGGATTTCGAGAAGACAGGGCAGCAGGGCAAACAGCGGGGTAGTCGACGAGAATGTTGGAATGAAGAGGGCGGGATTGCCACCGTACCTGGCCGATTCATGATATTATGCGGTTGTTAGACCAGTCTCTCGGAGAGGTGGAGCGGAAGGGAGGGGAAAACGGATGTTGTCTTTCGGTTGTTGCGATCAGGAAGTTGTGCCGTCGAGTAGAAGGTGACGAATGGTTGAGGTGGTGTCGTGGTGCGCTGCCAGAGTGAATGGATGTTTGCAGGTGAATGGTCGCGCTTTGAAAACGAGCGGGAGCTGCAGGCCAGGCGGGCGGCACGCACTCGCTGCAGTGAGTGGTCACCGGGGTGTGGGGACGTTGTACAGTGTACATAGGTACGTACCGGTTGGGTGTTGCAGGTTCTTGGTGTTTGTTTGTAACTTACCTGCGATCCCGTATCCCCAGTCACTTCGTTGTGGTGTATACTTGCGGGGTCGCCCGTTAACAACCAAGGAAACAGTTTCTCAAAGGCTGACAAGGCCATACCGATCAAAAACAACTGAATTTGCGGAATGAAAGCCCTCTTTTCATGGATTCAGAGACTTGAAGATTTAGGTCCAGTGGACGGGAACTTGAGGATATATGGTCCGTGCTTCCAGGCCATGTCTCCCCCTTTTCTCGACATCTATTATATGGTGCCCAACGGCTAGGTGCTTTGTGCAAGACCAACAGTTTGCTGGAGGCTTGTTGGGAAGTCAAAATCGACCAGATGACGCCCGATAAGCACGAGTTTACCGGCGGTTTGACTCCCACTATTGTCTGGGCCATCGAAAATCTCAAAGATCTCCCTTACTCCCTGAACCATCTTCTCGCCACCATCCTCGAGGATTAATCGACCCTTCAGACGATGGATTTCGAAAGCTGGCGTGCCAGCAGCGTTCTCATGTCCAGGAAGAACATTTTCCCAGAGAACCGACCTCAGCCAAGCATCCAGTTTTTCTACTTGGCCTGATGTCAAGACCGGTAGAGGAATAGATAATGTTGATATCGTCTAAACTCATGTCAGTTGGTCATATGGGAACAGGAAATGTACTAGTCCTGGTAGCCTTCACAAGGGAATAAAGGGAGCCTCTTACCTTGTCGAGATGGCTGTGGCCCAGACTTGCCTTGTCCAATTCCTCTACGCGGTCATAAGCGTGCAGGTCGAGCAAGAATCCCTCCAACTCCGGAACCACACTCTGTTTGGTGATGTGGATCTTGGCGAGCCCGTTGATGGACGTGATTCTGTCCTGGACGGCCTGCAGCTCGTCCTCGCTAACCAAGTCTGACTTGTTGATCACGATGACATCAGCGTGTGAGATCTGGACATGAGCGGTCGTCATGACTGGCCCATGCCCGTGTTCATCACTCTCTTCATGTCCCTCAACCTTGCCAGCTGGATCATCCAAGCTCCGCAGGATGTTCTTGGCGTCCACCAGCGTCACAATCCCGTCGAGATAGATGGTGCTTCCCAAGCCATCATCCATCCAGAAGAGAGGTGCAAGATTCCCTGGGTCTGCGAGCCCGGTGGTTTCGAGCAAGATGTAGTCGAATTTTCCCTTCTTTTCCATCAGGGACTCGATGGCATTCACACCGGTGTCTCTGAGACGATCATATTTTGGTCAGTGTGAGTGTACTATAGCTGATGGGGGCAAAGTGCTCAGCCATTGGGAACTCACTTCACCGAACAGCAGATGCAGCCATTGCCAACTTCCATCCATTCTTCGACTGACTCGCCGTCCTTGTTTACGGTGAGAGACTTTTCAATATCCAAAGCTAGGTTGAGCGTTAGCAGAGATATGCTGAGGGGTTGCAGCAAGAGGATGACAAACAATCTCCGAACTCTGTACATCTCATCGTCAGCTAACCATCCCAATGTAAGGACCGGAGTGTCAGCCATACCGTTCATGATGACGGCAATTTTCTTTCCATGCTGGGCAGTCAAAATATAGTTCAAAAGGGTGGTCTTGCCCGCTCCAAGGTAGCCTGAGGTGTAATCAGCGGAAGTCGACCAACAATGAGATTGGTAGTGGAGAGCAAACCTGTTACTATGGTGATTGGAACCTTGACTGGCTTCTCCTCCTCATTTATGACCTCGTTGGTCTCGATGAGATCCGGCGGAGCATCGTCGTCGTAGTCCATATTCAATTGAGGTTGAGCGGAGGTTCTTGGTCGTGAATTACACAAAACGTTGTCGTGAAGTGTAGTGTTTAAATCACCTTACCCATAGGTTTCTTGTAGGGCCAGTGGTACGTATTTACCTGGGAAGAACGGATCGTTGGCCCACGCCCTTCAGATTACAAAAGGCATCATATGACGCACATCTATTACAGATACCGTAATTTACAATACATACGGACCATAAAGGAGTAATTGGGAGCTTGGGCATCTCCTTGATCTTAGCGCCAGGCACAAGGTAAGTTCCCCGTATTCCCGCCTTCCGCTGGCCTCCACTGCTCGAACCTTACCCCCCCTTGTCCCCCTCCCCATATCTCTCGGCTCCAGCTCAGCACAGGGGCAGCAGTTTCCCAAAAGACCCCAGATCTGGACTGTCAACCTACCTTACCTCCAGGACCTCACCCAACCTGCTTTCATCCCGCTTGCATGACGCGACCCAACCCGTCTCGATTCATCTGTTCCACCGGCATATCGATCTGAGCAGAAGCATCTACCATCCATACCGCTTTACGGGCGAATAGTACGAGCAAGGAAATCGGTTGCGACAGACACAGCTGGGAATCGCTCGCGCTGAGCTGGTCCAGTGGCCTCGTTTGTAGCTGTCCAGCTTCGCGTTTCAACTTCACCCATTCCATCCAGCATCGCGCCCAAATAACGAAGCACCATCATGTCGCTTCCTCCAAGCTCTCCTCGGCTCCCAAGCCCGCCGCCTGCCCCCGAGATCCAGATTGGTCCCAAATCGCCAGCCATGGGCCCCATCGCCAACCGCCAGGCGCAGCAATACGAGATGCCTACGATAGACCTACTATCTCATCGTCGCATCCATCCGGGCACCAAGGCCGCCGATATGGCTGCCGGCCCTCCGTTGGTTCCTTTGCACCAGGTTCGTCCGGCATCCCACCTAGCTGTCTGAAAAGTTATTGAGCTGTTCAAGGATAAGGCTGACATGCTCTGTCTTGCGACGCGCAGCTCGACTCGGCCTTCCAACTCCAGGAGCACTTGGCAGCACTCCATTGGCACCATACGGCCGGTAACACAACTCCCATCACAAGGGAGACAGCCAAGATTCTTGCGACGCCCCCTGCTCATATCGACAAGACGGTCTGGTTGTATGAGCTTTGCCGCTTTTTGATCACACAATGCAACAACCTCATTGTTGGTTTTCTGTTCGATGAGCCGCCCTGCAGCGCAGCCACCTGCCCGGAGATGCGTGCTAGCGAGTGGCAGTTCTTATGTGCCGTGCATGATGCACCCAAGAGCTGCTGCGCAATCGACTATTGCTGTCACACCCTTGATTGGGCGGCCAACACTGTGACCAATCCCAAGTATTTCCCTAGCCGCTTCTTCGTTGACACCCATGACAAGAATCTGGCTTTGAGACACTTGGTTAATATCTTTCGCCGCCTTCACCGCATGTTTGCCCATGCGTGGTTCCAACACCGCAGCGTTTTCTGGGCTGTCGAGGGCCAAACGGGCCTTTACATCTTTTTCAAAACCGTTTGCGATCACTTCAAGACTCTCCAACACGAGAACTTCCAGCTTCCTCCCGAGGCCGAGGGATTGGAGAGCACGACCACTTCATCAGGCGACGATGAGGTTCCTCAAGTCGTGATAGAGAAGCCCAAGACACATCAACCTGGGGGGTCCGTTACTTTTGCGAAGCCTCCGGTGATAGCAAGCCGGGGGACACCTGTTGGGGAGCCCGCTGATGATGATAGTCTCAATACTGCCGCAATGAGGACCAATACGAGGCGGCATATTAAGAGCAGCCCTTCGGTTGGCAGCGCCGTGACTACTGTTCCGGAAGCGGAGGAGGAGGATGGCAGCAGCACAGCGAACTTGAGAGGGAAATCAAAGGTCGCGCACAGAAGGGTTCCCGAATTGGAGCCGGCCACGGAAGAAGAGATGGAAACAGACAATATTCCCGTCATTGTGTACCATGGAACTACAGAGCCGCAGACGCCCCATCAGCCAGCGGGTGAAGCCGAAACGACGGAAACCGAAGATTCGACACCCGCCGATACAGCAGCAGCTTTGCCTCCTGTCGAATTGCAACAACCGGAGTCGGAAAAATCAGAGTCGGAAAAGGACACACAGGAGGCAACAGCAAGCGCTCAAGAGCCTGTACAAGAGGGCGAACCTACATCTGAAGATCAGCCGACAGAGGAAAGCACTCCTGACGAGTCCAAAGAGGAATCAGCAGAAGTCGGCGATGATGAAGTAAGAGAGCGAGGCAACGAGCAAGAAGAAAGCCCTGAATCAGCGGGTGTCACTGCGCATAATGAGGTCGCAACAAGTGCAATCCCAACATCAGTGTTGGAGTCGGAAGATAGTGATGTTGATACGCCAGAATCCTCTTCTGGATCCGCCAATGATGATCCCATTGGGGACGATCACGAGTCGGACAAGAACCCCACGACGAACCCTGTTGCCGATGCTGAGAGTGAGGAGCAGCCGGCGGGCGTGGAACCGACACTGGAATCTACCGACAATGGGTCCGGGGAGAAGCAAGATGATCATCAAGATGAAACGAAACGAAGCCCCGCCGAAAACGACTCGGCGCAGTCTGACGAGAACGTCGCCCAGGAGGAGGAAGAGAAGGACGAAGAGGAGGAAGGAAAAGATGAGACAAAGGTGGAAAAGTCAGATGGAACGGCTCTTCCCGCTGAGCAGGCCGCGAAGGCGGACTAGGTAGTCCGTCACTGGGAGTTGCCCATGTGAAAGGTTTGCCGTTGTAGGAACAATATTGTTGGTGTATCAATAGCAGCGGGCGATCGCGGAGTAACATGCTGGTCATCCTTTGCATGGAACTTTGCATCTACGCTTGGGAACTTGGCTACTGTTGTATCATAGCGTAAGAAGCATCGTTACGGGACGTAATAGCGAAGACGAAGAAGGCAATTGGAGTGATCGGAGCGGCTGGGCTGGACTCACGCACGAAGCTTCTTTTTGGTTGTATAATTTATGGCCGAAAATACGGGCTGTATTATGATTATGGAAGAAGAGAGTTGTTCTGTTCTAACCTCATTATTTCCTCGTGCTTCAAGGGAGAACAACCAAGTGGAACTTATGCTAATGATCTAAAAATGTATCACAATACTTCTGGTTCCGAGAGTGTTTTGCGGATACTTTAATGTGTATGACTCCACTTTTCGGCTTCTCTTCCCCTTGTTGGTCTAAAGGAAACACCCAACCCATTTTCCGCCCCCTTTTCTTTTTATTTACTCTCAATATGTGGTGTGTCCACGCCGATCTATCAGCCGCCCATCTTCCACAACGGCGCATCAAACTGCTTCAATGCAAAGCCAAAGTTATGAAAGGAGGTAAAAAAAGAAGGAAAAAAAGAGATAAACAAGATGAAACCACAAGAAGAACAAAACAAACCCAAAAAAAAACAGGAGGACAAAAACAGAAAGAAAACAAGCAAAGAGAAGAAATAGAACACGAAAAGAAGAGAATATAAATTCTCATCACACTCCAGCCAGTCCCAAGCGCAAGGAACACCGACTTGTTGAAACATAGTGACAGGTACAAGAGTACCGTTTACTGTCCTACGTCCAACCAATTACATATGTTACATAGCCAAAACAGAAAAAAATATAACAATAAACAAATACATAGAAGTAGAATGTATATCGAAGGTGTTAGCTGTTGTTGGTGTATTGCCCCGGGGATGGTGGCTTATAAACCTCTGTTCCCTTCGTTTTTTTGGTCTGTCTCCTCTAGCTTGGTTCGTCTGTGTATCAAATATAGGCTACTAGGTAGCACCTAAACGTTGCAGAGCCGCACGTATTGAGTGAGTGGTTGACCGGTAACTGGTGAGCCATTCGTTTGGATGAAATTTTCATCATTTCGCCCCCAACCGAAGCTGAAAGAAAACAGATGAAACGTTGCCAAACAACCAAACCATACACAGAGAAGATCAGCCCATGGGCTGCACGGCATGGGACGAAAGAGCCGCATCCAATCTTCCTGTTTGTTGGCCAACGTCCGGTTTTCTTTCTGATCACGCAAGGGACGTGTCGTCATCATCTTGCATGCTGGTTCATCGGGAAGAATAGCACCGAGGGTGAAGACGGATCACATTTTTTGAGAGGCAAAGTTCTGACCAAAAAAGTTGCTGGGTTGTATTATTGATCACTTCACTGTCCTCTTGTCCCTGAGTCAGGATCGGTATCTCTGCTAGTTGCAAGGACTCTAGTCTAATTAGTGTATAAGCCGCAGAGACGAAACGACAATCGTCCAGTTTGAAACGTAACATCGGTCGTAGCCCTATTAAGTTCATATAACTCGGCCGCTGGGACACGGAATCTATTTTGTAAGCGATTCTCCTGTCCCGTACTGTCCTGTCCTGTCAATCTACACTCTTCTCATTCCAAAAGCATAGTATTGACCCCATCGCTCAACTGGCCCTGGCCCGTGGCTGTTCGTCGAATATCCATCCTGGAAAACACGGATCGTATCTGTCGCAGGTTCTCACTCTGTGTCGACACGGCCGTCGCGTTTCGCTCGTCCGCAAAGGCCCGGATGCTTTGCAGCATGGGCGTAAATCCTTCGTCGTTCGGTAACCACCAACGGAGACAGCTCCCGTCGCGGAAGAGCTCTGCCATTCTTAGGCGCATTGTTCCGGGTGATATGTACCTGTTTCAAGAAAAGAATTGTTCAGTTAGCATACCTGCAGTGGAACGAAGAGACAAATGTTGTAAGTGCCCGTTTATCATGCCATGACAAACTCTTGTCGATAAGGGGAGATGAGGGAATATTCGCACTCACCCCATTCTTTCGAGCAACGCGAACTTCTTCCTGATCCAGAGCTGGTAGGCCTCCTCCTGGGGGACAAATAACGCAGCGATACCGAGACATGGTTGCATGATTATCAAGCTCCCCGCGGGGCTAAACGGCCATGTCTCTACTGCCTCGCAAATCTGGCATATCTCATATGCATGCCCCCTCAACTTCTCCAGAGTCTCGTTCGAAGGGTCCGAAGCTCCCTGACTTCCGTGCATCAGTGCGATTGAGTTCCATTCGCAAGTCAAGATCGTCGAGGAAAAAAGGGGAGGCCGGAAAAGTAAGCCGGGTGTGAACGGCTGGAAGATGCGATCTGCCTCTGTGGCTCCGTTCATCGGCAAATCCGTTACGAGGAACTCTGGATTTACCAAGGCAGGATCCCAGCTGTTCTTCCACTCGTGGAGGGCGTTGTATAGTCGACAGTGCTCGGCAGTATACTCCTCTTCCGTCAATTCCTGCCTGGCGCCTCTTCCAAACAAAATGGACATCTCCATTGATATCATGCGTAGTCGTCCTGAGCACACCTCGGTTTTGTAGGAAAGTTCGGTGGGGTTTTCTGCCGCTCGAGTCTCGTAGTAATCGACATAAGCTGTGAACCATTCCCGAGGAAGCATAGTTTTGGAGCTGCCCATTATGCCAGTAAACACGTCAAACCGTGTATACCACGTCAGGATCATGCGCCCTACAGAGGTCTGCATGACCGTTTGTGGCGTGTACAGTTCGGTCAGTACTTCTAGGGCAGCCTTCTGATGGCCCATGAGGTTGACCCAGTCGCCGAGATATTCCTTGGGTACTGTCAGTGCCTATCCATAATCGTCATGTAGGGGAGAGATGTTATACTCACTTCGATTGTGGCAAGTTGCAAGATAGTTAACAGAGTCATGTCCGTATGGCGCTCTTTCCTTTTCAAGAACCCTAGCAGTAAAGTAACACTGCGATTATAGAACTGCAAGAAGTCCTTGATCTCTCCTATCGGATTCTGTAAAGTATAATGGTAGGCGGCAAACCCCACCACGGCATAGAGAAGGCCCTCGTCCTGAATTGCCAATCCAGTCAAGATCTCCTGGAAAAAGTTGTCGCAGTCATTCACCACGGAGTAGTGATAGTGCGTGATATTGTCACGGTAGTAGTTGAGATAGAGCCCCTGTCCAGCGTCTAAGGGTCCATGGCTGAAACTTAGTGATGCTACCGATGCGCTTGATCGAGGCGGAGGAATGGTCGGTGTCGAGGATTGCATTGTTGCGCTTTCGGCTTCTTCTTCATCCTCATCCATGATCGGCGTCAGTGATCCGTCTTGTCCAGTTTCGTCGTCATCGTCATCGCCACGTGAGGATGTAGGGCTCTCCTGCTGGCTCTGGCCCGATGAATCCTTCACGGATCCCTTGGGTGGTGTCGGTTCGGGATAGACACACTCTCGGTTTCCCTTTCTGCATCCTAAGGTAATGTCAGCATGTTGATAAACGGCGGCTAGGAAGGCTGGTCGGCGCACTCTCGCAGACTGGGTGGGTTTCATCACACTACAGCCCGTTAGCACTGCCATCATCCGCTCGTTGTCAGGGTATAATACCTTGACTCGCCTGCTCCTGCAAGTATAGCAGCCTGACCTTGTGCGTCGATGTTTGATGTGATCCAATCCAGGCGCAGACTTGCGACGGCTTCTTTGAGCCTTGGGTGCGCTGAACATAATAGGCTCGGCATATCCGTTAAAATATCCACCGAGGTTTTGATAAGCGGGAGACATCGGCGTCGTCCCTAAGCCCAATACTGGGGCTTGTTGCACAGGTATAGAAGCGCCATGTTGGCTTAGAGGAGGATTTCCTCCAACACCTGCCATCGAGGTGAGGAAGTGGTGATAATAGTCGCTCATGATGGCGACTCGGAAGCTTTTTGTTGAGCGTGCTATAATCGCTTGTCGATGTTTGTCCGTACACGAAGAACCTATCCAAATCCCAGGTTCCGTGTCTAGTTCGTTGTACTACTTTCGGACCACATTGAACTTGTCGTGCTCAAGACCCGCCTCCGATAGAATGCTCTGGCTTACACTGCGTATGGCAGACAGGTAAGATTTGTGTAGATGTGCGAGATGGAGCTCGTTGATCGTGGCGGGAAGGTTTCGTCAGGAGATTGTTGATACGGGAGGCTTGAGAGATATGCATCCAGTCAGGGTAGGGTGAAGATGATCTGATGTGCAGGACAACTGAATTAGAGGAGAAAGTCGATGTAGTGTTGGTTGATATGATGTATCTGACAATGCCACGGGGCAGCCTTGTTGTAGGACTCCGGAGATTAGAAGCTTCGTGATCCGCGTAGATCGGGGGTATACCTTGGGGTAATGTGAAGGGACCCAGAAAGCCTCGCAAGACGTGTATGGCAGGTGGCCGGCGTCCTCATAGGGTTGAGGAGAGTATCCTTGGTCAGAAGGAAAGTAGATCCGCCAAGCTAGGAAGAATCTTCTCGGGCACAGCTGGCTACAAGATAGTTAGACAGCTTGCCAGTCGCAAGAATTTTCTCCCAGCAAGCAGGAAGCGGAGGGGCCGTGCATGAGAAGTCGATCAGTATGATTGTTGGCGGGGATGTAGCGGCTCTCAGGGCCCTCCCGATGGTATGGTATTCAAGGAAGGTGCTACTAGCTTGAGGGGTGTCGATGTCTGGGTAGAAGTGTGATCGTCCGATGAACCACTGGTAAGAGGGCGGGTATGCGGGTGAGTTCCCACCAAGTAATCGTTGGTGGAATAAGAAGTTGAAGGTATCCCTGTAGCTCTAAGTACCGGTTGCATGTGGGTAAGCAGAAGGGGACATGGACCAGGAGGTATACGTCTTGCCCTTGTTTGATATGGGAATCAGATAAGGTAAGTAGCTCGGCACCGTGGTGACATGGACATACATCCAACTAGAGACAATCACCTGTGTATTGCTCGTCGAGGAAGTCTAAGGGGGTGAACTGAGTGACGGTGAAGGTAGCTGGGCCGCTCGACCGGGGGCGGGAGAGACCGATTATACCCCCAGATCTCGACATGTCCGGAACTGTGACAATATTCACAACAGGTCGAATCTGGAGGAAGCTACCAGAGAAACGAAAAGAGAAATTGAGGTGGCATTCCCGAGAAAGCGATGAGTGTTTACCGACCAGTGAAAGGTCCGTGGGATGAGTAGGAGGTAGAAGCGTCAGTAGCCTCACATGCACTCATTCCCTTGGTGCTGCTAGTCGATCAGTCGATGGCAGCCGGTGAAGAAACTCCAATGGCCAGGATAAACTACCCATGGTCAGCAAGGGTCCCAAGCAGACACAAGGGGCTAAAAGGTGTACGCGGGGGGGCCGTTGTCTTTTTTTTAACCCCGGTTTAGCCACATTCACGCAAATCTCAGTCGTAAGGGTTTCCTACATGGATATCGCCGAGTTGAAGAGTCGAATATCATACGCGTTGGATGCCGGGTATCTCTGTGAAAATTTGGCAACAACGGCAACCGAAGAAAACCGCAGAAACCTACATCCAAGTGCCTGCCAGGAAATCCATCGTAGCTCAACCGCAAAAGCTGAACTATCCCCAATTCTAGGGAGCTGAGATTTGTTCATGCAGCATGGATGAAGCTTAGTAGCTCACTTCTCACTGTAGAGATACTTCCGCTCCGGGCTAGACTGTCTTGTTCCGAGGTAAAGGTAGCGTTCCCTGACTCTTGCTCTTGTTTTTTTTTCTCCTTGTTTCTTTTTCACACTGGCTCCTGTACCAGTCAGCCATATGGTTGATGGAGTTGGAGCAGGGTTGAGGGCTTGAGCTGTACTCTATAGGCCACCGGAGTTTCCCGTAGAGAGGAACTGAAGCGGAGAGCAGCGAATGATGCGTGATCCATAACCACACCAAGGCCGGAGAGTCTTGAGGGTGTCTTTGACAGCTGAGATGTGGATTTTCCTCTGCCCCCTCACTGTCACGGATGGGTGATTCGACAGGACAGTACATGGCCCAGTTGAACCCACGTCGGCGCGGTGGGGAGCAAACAGGGTTGGGTAGCAAAGTGTCAGTCAGTCCCATTGCCAGTGCCATTCAGTCCGCCAAAGGAGGCACACAGATGTAGGTAGCTCTGGGAGCTCAGATAGATAGGACAGGGATCTGTCAAGTGAGGGTAGCCCAGGCGGGAAGGATTTCAGTGCGGCTGGGCGGTGTCAAAAGTCAACCATATCTGTACAGTACCGAGGACATGGCTGCTTGGCTCTAGCTGTGTTTTCGTAGCTGGAGGACGAGAGCTCGACGACTAGACAGTGGATTAGACGGTGTATTTCGGAAGGCTGTTCGGAGCAGCCGTCGAGCCGTCAGTTTGAAGGGCCAATGAGAAGTCTCTGGGTTCCCTTGCCATGCTGCTCCACCACCACTGAATACAGCACCATGGCGGTGGGTCCTTAACTGTGACGCACATTGAATCTCTCTGACCCCTGGGTCAACATCGGAGACGGGTCATGGGCCTGAGAAAGTGAGAACTGACTCCTGTCACCTTGTTAGTTCGTCCCATATAACACGCCCTTCTGAGTTCTGACACGAATATGGCCTTTCCATGCAGCCCCTGCACAACCGCCCAGCGCGTGGAAGACGTACCTTGCCTTTTAGTATCAGCCATGAATTGCAGCCGTTGAGGGCTTGGAACACACCGTCATCGAGGTGCCATTGTCTGGTGGGCTTTGTGAAGCTTGATCCAGCTGAATGATACCCCATTCACAACAGTCACCGGCACAATTGGGGGTCGGCGGGGGTTACGATTGAGCTTGGAGTGAGTCAGTGTTGTTGAGACGGGAGATGGTCGTTGCAGTGTCGTAGTTGATTCTCGAGGGCAGTTTGCATGACAGGAATCGGGCAGAGAGAGCACGAGCCAGTGATTGGAATTGGGTCAATCGATGGGTCCTGCAAGTCTGAGAAGTGGATCAGGCCTGATGGGCACAACCGGGACTGGATGGCAGCATGGAGCGTCCTCCGGAGCGGCTGCCGCTGGTGTGGCACAGCGATCTGGACCCTGTACGGTGTGGGGTTATGGTGCCATGTGGATGCTCTCCCACAGGCTCGTAATTTTACGGAAATGTTACCTCTGCGATCCACTTCAATACTCACCTTATCTCCACCAGCTTAGCCCGGCTTGGGCTGGCGTTTCCCTTGGACAAGTCTTGGCTCTTTCCGTTTGCCAACAGCACGTCCGTGGGTACGGGGTGCCGATCCCGGCGCAGCCCGCGACAATGGAGGTTTGACAAGTCCCGTCTTGGTTTGTAAGTTGGCTCTTCACGGGCCGCGCAAAGGGAAATTCCAACTGAAAGGGTCCAGGGGCTGAACCGCGATCGAGATGGGAAACGGCTCAGCTTGATCCTCTTCGAGAGGACAAAGGACTTCCGTGGTGTTCCGATCATGAGGTACCTACATTCCGAGTCGAAGTGGGTTGCGTGAGCACGTGTGTTTGGGTGGCATTGGCGGGGAGAAGATGCTCTTGCGAGACTTGCCCAAAGCCCAACCCCTTTAACCTTGCTTCTTTTTGGACGGCGCGTCTCGAGACAAGACCACGATTACGCAACTGAACCAGCAATTCGGTGAATTCCACGGTTTCCACCAGCGCGAATTGCAAATTCCTTCCCCAACCATGGATATCCCCGCGGAAACAGAGCTGGGCAATATGCTGCGCACCGAGAGTGCCTGCCGCCTGTGTTGTGACCAAAGAGGCTGGTGGTTTTGGCCTAGAGGTATAGCACCCGGGTGCTAAAGGCATGGAGCTGCCTCTACCTCTACAGAGGTATTCAAGGCGAACGAACAGCACACCAGTACCGTCGTCACGTCCGCGGCTCGTTCTACCCTGTTTACCCATACCAATCAGGAACATCGCCTCTGGACTTGTTGCTTGGTTCCCGGCTAAGCCAGTGCCAGGTATTTGCTGATACTGAGGTACTGTCAGAGATGAGAGACGGCGGGAGTTCCTTTAAAGGTAGGTTACCTTGGAGGTGGCTAGAGGGAAGGACAGGAAGCATTCGCTAAGGCCTGCAGATGATAGGATGGTAAGCAGAACGGAATGGCCGTTGGGTTATCACAGGCCAAAGTCTTGAGATTGCTCAATCCAGTTAGTGGCCCCCTATTACCAAAACATTCAGAGGGGATCAGTCAATAGGAAGTGTCTTTATCAGCGCCTCCGGGGCCATCTCGATGGCAGTCCGTATGGAACATCATTCATACCATGGCCTACCCTCGCGCGCCTCGGTGTTCTAGCTCGATTCGAGAACACACCGCGGGTGAGAGATTACAACGGATCAGGATGTTCTTCAAAGCTTCTAGAAATCCAACATGAAGTCTGGTTGGATATCGAAATGAGCATCTCTTTTCGGGTCGAACCAAGTTTATGCAAGATGGCCACGACCTTGCTATGCCATGTGGTCGGTATGGTGTGGTACGTACAAGTGTCTTGACGGCCCGAAGAGGTATGTTCTACGCTCGTCGCCAGAGGTTGTGTGTCCAGGGGAAGCTTCAGGGGTCCAACGTCCATTGCCAGGGGTGTCTGCAGGGGCGGCGAGTCCATAGGGAAAGTCCAAATCAACAAGCATCTGACGCCGGCACAATCACATTCACAGACGACTTCAGAGTTACACTACATACACGACAGCTGAACTTGTGTTGACGTCTGACAGGGGAACGCAATTTGTTCCGTCATAGGGTAACCTCATCGAATCCATAGACTTTTTCTATCCGCCAGGAAATACAAATACGAGAACTGCAAAGCGTCAGGCAATGCAAATTACGCCTTCTACGTACAAGGCAGTTCATCCTCGTCCGGCTCACTGTCGAGACTTACCAGAGTTGCATTGGTAGCTCCTTCCCATAAATTGCATCATTTACCAGAAAGATTTTCGTTCTGTCGTGCTCTGGAGGGATCATCCTGACATTCATCTTGGAGATTACCACATACAAGGGAACCTAAGCTCTTTTACGATAGAGGGTTATCAAGAAGGAACCGGCTCTGGCTAATGGTGCCGGGAAGGTACCCCTTGAGGCCACCCAGCAAACCCGGCATCTTGGATACCACGACAAGGGATTCGGATGCCGTCCGGACCTTACCTGTAGCCAAGAAAAACGGAACAAAAACATGAAGCTAAGGAACTAAATATTTATTAATAATATTCTATACTATATTAGGGAAATTAATAATAATTTAGTAATTTACTAAAATAAATAATAAATAAAAGAGAAATTGGAAAAGTAATGGTATTTATATTTGATAGGGTAATCCCTAGATTACCCTACCTTTCCTGTATTATAGCTTAGACTAGTAATAACAGCCCAGATTAGCTGGGCTGCCATGGAGGCTGCTATGCCCAATCTGGCCATCCAGACTATAGTGCTCAGGCTACTCTATAGCCTATACTCTGGCTCTCGCATAGTATATCCTTTCTATACAAACGGCTGGCTAGGATAGCCTCCTCCTTTCTTTTACATTATCTCTTCTTTTTATTTCTATACTACGTTTTGCCTATTGCATCGTAGTATATGGAAGCACCTGTCTAATCGTGACAGCACCATCAAACCCCCCGTATCAATATCCTACTATAAAAATTCGTCGAGCGTTTCTTACCCGACGCCGCTATAATAATATTTAAATTTACGAAAGGCTATTTTATATTAAATTAAATTGCCGAAGACGGAGGATTTTTAATTTAATACGCGCAAAGTTAATTCAAAAATATTCGAACTATAGGTATAATAGGTAAAAACGACTCTGCTAATTAGTATAGCATTATAATGCAAATTTCAAATAGTCTAAATCTTCGTATTAAATAATACTTCCGCCCGCTTACCGATAGTAAAAAAAGGAATATTTTCGCTAACTATATAAAGGTTATCACTAAAGTTAAAGTAATCCTAATTATAGTAATTAAGTAGAGAGCAGCTTCTAATAAATAATATTAAAATAAAAATATATTTAATAAATTGTCTTATAATAAAGACAGGTTCGATAAATACGATAAAACCGTTCGATTTATAAAACTAAATAATTTTTCTACCCTTAAACCCGCGGGTACTATTAACGATTTTGAAAATTATAATAGATTTAAAAAACTCTATAATAAAATAGGAATCTATTTAATCGGGGAGGAAGCCGCCGAAACTACCGCTACCGAATTATTAACTAGCGAAATCGAACCGGATACTAATATCGAAAAAGTATAAAGATCGTATATAATTCTTAATACTTTATAAATTTATTATAAATATTATAAATTGTATTCTTTATTAACTAGATTTAGAGTTTACGCTTTTAAATATAAAATGAAGAAATTACCCGAGGATAAAAAGGTCCGTACTAAATCTCTAAACTTATTAAAAAAACGTACCTACGGTTATTATTATAAATTTTATAAATTTCAAAATAATATATTTAAATATTTTAAAATACATAAATATATGAATAAAAGTTCCGTCCAGCTTCGTTCTCCCTCCTTAAATATAATTAAAAAGAATGTACCTATCTCTTATAGATAAAGTACCGCTATAATTAAAAAAAATACTCCGTTAACTGCTAAAGGACGTTAATAATTCCCTATTTTTAAATTTTACTTATATACGCGTAAAGGCATTACCCTCCGTATTCGGAACACCTATCGACGTATATTAAATCCAAATACCAGTCGGACTTTTATTAGTAAATAATTTTTAAGTACGCTAGAATATTCTATCGAAGAATACTATGTAAAAATAAAAAGCGTTAGCGGAAAGGCAGTTAAAATAATAAAATAGGCTACTTTTAACGTTTACCTCTAAATATTTAATAAAGAAGGCTACCTACTTTAATACAATTTAAAAAAGGAGGCTAGGTAGTAAACGGATTAGAGCTAAATATTTTATTTAATAATAATTTCCTATATTCGTATAAAACCAGTATTAATTATAAAATGAATAATATTACGTTTTAAAATTTAAATAATTTTATAATTAATTTCAAAATTAGAATACGAGGAAAAGTTTACGCGAAGAAAGTTATTACAGTAAAAAGAATTAACCTATTGCCTGGGCAATTATTTATATATAGCGCCGCGTGTCCTTAATTAGTTTTATTAAATACTTTATAATAGGAAGCCCTAATATTAAAGATACTACTTATAGCTACGCTTTAGCCTAATTCTTATAATACTATAATATTATAATAATCTTCTACTTTTAATATAATTTTTATCCTATAATATACCTTGGCTATATTCTAATATAAGCTTTTTAAATTTATATAATAAAAATTTAAATAGCGTTCTTCTAATATAATTAAAGGTTGGATTTAATAATAATATTCAATATCCTAAGGATTCTCTTCTAATATTTCGCTCTAACTATATTTAGTTTAACGTAGAATTCTTTCAATACTTTTATATAAAGGCCGCTTTTTTTATTAACTATTATTTATTATTATTCGGATTCTAAAATCTCTAAATCGCTATCTTCGTTAACGGGTATAAATTATAATTAAATAAACGTTATAAAGGGATCGTCCCTTTCCAGTTCCTATATTGTTGTAATTTATATTTATTAAAAAAGTTATTATTATATAATTTTATCAGCTAGTTAAATGATTTTAAATTAGTTAAGGGCTAACATTTTATCAATTATAATCGGTTCTGCCTACTAAGCAAATATATATAAATATTCTATAAACGTCGTAAAAGAGCGGCCGAACGCCGCTTTTATAAGCAAGCAATCGCAAAAAAAACGCAAAATATCCATTATAATTATAAGGAAAGTACTTTACGAAATCGGATTATTAATTAGAAGGGTAATTAATTTCTGTATCCTTTATTATTTTATTCGAATATCTCTTCTTAATACAACGGAAGTACTATACGTCTTTCTCCTTAGGATAATAATTATATAAATAATTAAACTCCTAATAATTATAATACTACTAAAGGATTATATTGTATTTAAAAGAGGGAATCCCTAATAAAGTAAACCCTATTGTCTATAATAGTAACCTCTAAGAGGAAAGAACCTTTTTCACTCCTATACTTCCTCTAAAATACTTTCGCTTTAATAATTTTAATTTTATTCGCTTCGGATATTTCTCTAATTAATTTTTCTAGTTCAAAATTATTAATAAGAACCTATAGCATGCTATACACTATTACCGAAATTATATAGAATATGATTATTACGTTTTTATAGAAGATATATATTACTTAAATTTAATTCTTTAAATACTAATTCCTCCCTTCCTCTCTGAATATAATAATATAATTTCCGTTAAAATGTAATTTCGTAATAATTTTAACGTTAGCTTTCGGGTACTTTTAATTAATTATTTATATAATATCGTTTACCATACGCCTTTCTTATTCTAGAAAGAGTAATATATTATTTAATTTAATTATTAAATATTACTCGGTTCAGAGGGGGATAAAGGTTTAAATACTTATCGGAATAAGGTAAAATTGCTTTAAGCTTATCGGTCGGATCTTTAAATCCGCGGCTATAGCGGCCTAAATCTTTAAGGGGGTTACTTATTTTTTCATAATATCGGCGACTATTTTCTTTAATTCTTTTATATCGTTTTTAAACTATTTAATAATAATATTACAAAATTAAAGTATTTAGCTTTATATATATAAAATATCCTTAATAGTATTGAAGAGTTTTTCCGCCTACGCTATATAGGCGTTAAATAGGCTATCAATACTAAGGAAATTTATAGCCTCTAGAAGGAATTTTTCTATATTTTCCTAAGGGGGTTTTAGGGCCGCGGAGGCTTCGGGTTCGGCGTTATTAGCCGTCGTCGTTGTTGTCAGTATTCCGGCCGCGGGATTTCCGAGCGTATATTAATTCGTTGCCAAACTGCCGCCGTTATTCCTAACCGCTATAATACCCGCGTCTCCGATACGCAATTAATGTAACATCGTAAATAGGGGTAATCGGACGTCCTAAATACGATTTTAATATTAAAATTGGTTTTACTATCGTCGTCAACTAAGAACCCGCGTTTCAACATTTCGCGGAGCTTTTTTTTTTTATATAACTTTATAAGTTATTACGCTACGCCGCTATATTATATAATTAAAGTTACGGTCTATAATTGAATATTTTCAACTATCGCTTTATTAACCCTTATTATTTTTTTCTACGCCGTATTTTAATTCATATTATCGTTTTAATAGGGTAATTATCTTCCTTATATTTCTTTACTACCTTTCTATTTAATGCTATTTTGATTTAAACCCCCAATTTCTTTAGTAGTCCGGGTTTATTTAAATTCTCTTTATAGAAGGTAAATAATTTCTTTATTATATTCTTAAAATATTTTACCTTATACTATTCAAGGTTAGAGTCCTAGCCTTTTTATTTCGCTTAATATTGGAGGATATTACTTACTAGCTTCGAAGTTAGAATTTTTTTTATTTCCTACTCTTTTACTTCTCTTTCATTATTGTTTCCTTTAATAAGAATCGTTATTAAATTCTTATTAGCCTATTCTAGTAAAAGGTTATTTAAGTCCTTTTGTAGCGTATTTATATAATATATTTAATTACCCCTCTAATTTTCTAACAAATTTAATTCGTAGAATACCCCCTTTATTTCAATAATTTCGTAAAGTATTTTTATTAATAAATAATCTAATTTATTACTAGGGTAATTTATAGATTAACCTTTTTTAATAATAAATATTTTATTACTTATTTAGAAGTCGGAGGTTCTCTAGTAACGATTAGTCTATTTTATTTACTATTCCTAAATTTTTTGAATAACTGTTTAAGCCTATTCGTAGTATTAATATAATATTTTTACTATTTTCTATACTTCTACCCGTTATAAATATCCTTTTATTACCTCTATCTTTCTTTCCTAATAGAACGGAAAATTTATAAGGAACCCGAACGATACTTCGTATAGTATTAGCCCTACCAAATTATTAT